TTGTTTTGATTGATACAAATAAACAATTTTTTGGCATCGTTTTTGATAATTTTGGTAGAGAAAATCCCGATTCCTACAGGGGGCCGATTTCGGCTCTTAACGCCACCCGTCCTTTTGTTTATACATGCATCTCAGTTAGTTCTCTCTATAGTAAAAATTTTAGCTTCTTTGAGCTAAGCATTCGGTCATGGTACTTTGAATAAAAACGAGTCTTTCGTGAAAAACTCGATTTTTGACATCGATTTCTTAAACCCCTCGCATCCAAATTTTTGCCAGTGTTGTCCAGTTTGAAAGCATTTACTATGGTCTATAACTTGATGTAACAATCAACTCTCGGCGAACGGAAACGACGTTTAAATCGATTCATCTATTTGAGCTTCGAACCGTTATTTCAGTCAGTTGTATATCGGATCCTCATGAACGGATTGTTCTAGAGATGTGAAATTTTAACCTGAAAGAGATATCATTGAATACTGGTTCTAGTATAAATTTCAACTTCCCAACTAGTTCCGATCGTTCAGAGTGCTTGGCACAATATTCTTCCACGCATCAAAAACCATGATTTTGGCGTGCTTGAATTCCCCAGAAAATAAGTCCTATAGAAATCAGTTTATTGCTATACTAAAGTCCAGTAAGAGTAGTACAAAGTCATATAGAAATCGACGGAAGAGCTTCTAAAACAGTCTTGGAAATTTCATTACAAAATAACAAAAATCACTTTTTTTTGCGATCCATGATTACTAAAGATCATCTACAAATTCATGGGGTAAATTCATGTATTGAAATAAATTCTATTCATTATTCATCAGTAAATCATCCATTATTGTTATGCATGAAAAAATTCTACGAAAACCCAAAAAAATTGCTTACAAGAAAGTTCGTCACTCAAAGTGTTGCGTGGGGGACTACAGGGAATTTAGAGAAAATTTTTTTTCACTTTCGAAGGATATTTTATATGTAGATATAAAAGGTCATCAGCTGATTCAAACTGGACAGAATTTATCTGAGTGCATCCATTTATTCTGTAAATTTTTGAATGACTTTGAGTTTATATGAACTCAACAGTCTCATTTTTTGATACTTTGTAATAAAGTTCGAGCGACTATTTTACAAGTACTCCGGCCACTTTGTATATAACTTTGTACTACCCTTACTGGGCTTTAGTGTAGCAATAAACTGATTTCTATGGGACTCATTTTCTGGGGAATTCAAGTACGCCAAAATCATGGTTTTTGATGAGTGGAAGAATATTGTGCCAAGCACTCTGAACGATCGGAACTAGTTGGAAAGTTGAACTTTATACTAGAACCAGTATTCAATGAGATCTCTTTCAGGTTAAAATTTCAGATCTCTAACAGGATTGGTTCATTAGATTTCAATTCGAAAACCAGCTAAAATATTAGCTCGAAGCTAAAATATTAGCTGGTAGCTCAAAAACAGATACGAATTTCAAAGCCATTTTCCGACATCCCAAGTTTCTTTTTGCATCATTTGGTAGACCATACTTTACTCTTTCGGGGTAGAGAACTCCAGTAAAAATTCAGATGCAAGGAGCCTAGGAAATTGAGGCGCAAAATTGTGTTTTGGTGAAAAACCAGATTTTGTTCAGAGTTTCCTGGCCGAATGCTAAGCTCAAAGAAGCTAAAATTTTTACAGTAGAGAGACTCAGCTGAGATGCATATGGAAACAAAATTTCAGACCCGTATCTATTTCCAGTCCAGAAATATGAGCCGTCAAATTTACGAAAAAAAGTAGTTTGCACCGGTTTTGTGAAATCGATAGAATACCAAGGAAGCGACTGATGGAGCTGAATTTTTTTCTTATACGTAAAACTAAATGATGTATAGAGCTAGAAAAAAATTCAGCTTAATCGGGTGAACCCTTCTCGAGATATAGGGTGTCTAAAATCGCGTTTCGAAAAAGTAGGATTTTCTAGGGGGGTATTCGTAAAATCCCCATAAAAACCCAACGGTTACATATTTTTTGAATCGACTTTCACCAAAATGTATCAAACACTTGCCTCTATCATATATATGAAAATGAGCAGAATCTGACGATACCGATTGAGCAGTTTCTACAGCAGTCGTTCGTAGCTTACGTGGACTGGCTCATAATAGCAAAGAATCGACCAGTGGAGCTGAAATTATTTTTATATGTAGAACTTTAGTGCGTAAGAATCTGCAGAAAATTTCAGTTGAATCGGTTGAGCCATTCTTGAGATAGAGTGCTTCAAAAATCCCTTATTGACATAATTCGCTTTGCTAGTGCTCTTCGGAAAAATACGATAAAAAATCGACATTTCAATATTTTTTTAATTAATTTTTGCCAATAGGCATATAAAGTTTCCGTCTATCACATATATTAAAATGAGTCGAATCGTAGGATATCGATTGAGCACTCTGTGGCGAGGCGAACATGGAATGGTTGATAAGTACAAGCGCTGATTTTTTATAATGTAAAAGTTAATAAAGCTATCCTATACATTTCTCAGATCCTTTTATTTTAATCTAGGTGTTTTCGGCGTTTTTAGGCCTGTTAAAAATACTTGGATATAATTTAAAGTACTTTGAACGACTTTAAGCTACTTTAAGTTACTTTTAAGTACTTTTAAGCTACTTTACGCTACTTTAAACTACTTTAATTTACTCTGAACTACTTTTGTACTTTGGCGTACTTTTCAGCTTAAAGTACGCCGTTTCCCCCTTGCGTATTTTACCGGTTTTATACCGGTAGGCTGATCAAACCGGTAGATCAGCCGGTTCGGTTCGATCTGAATCTTCCAGACTGGTACCGGTACCGGTCGTCAAAAAAGTAGATCGGTTCCATCTATGTTTTTTCCTCTCATACACACATGTACGAGTTTATCAAGTCCACAACGCTTTTCAATCAAACTTTATTATATTAAAAGATGTTTGATAAAAACAAGTTTACAACTCAGAAATGTACTATTTGTAACTTTTCATCCAATTAAAGACTCAAGCAATTGTGTTTCATTCGTACATTTATGTTCACCTTCTTTAACTGTAATCCATCCTTTCTTGCACGGTCTACATTCGGTCTGCTGGTACAAATTGTTGTAGTAACCTGGAGAACACGGTATGGGTGCCTGTGTTGTATCGGGACATCGGTGGCCTTTTGGACATCTTAGGCACGCTGACGATCCACTATCCAAATTGTAATAACCACGTGTACAAGGACGACATTTTACTTGGTTGAAGAGTGGATTGTAGGTTCCTGGTAAGCATTCCGTGGGTTCAGCTGTTGCGTTTTCACAGCTATGGCCACGAGGGCAACGGTCACATCCACTCTGCCCATCGTGGACTTGATAGTAACCCTGAAGACATGGGAGACAAACAAATTGTCCTGGCAGATGTGTATAGGTTCCTGGTGGACAGGGAATGGGCTCAGTAGAGGCATCTGTCGAGTAGAAACCACGTTGGGCACGATCACATCCTGATGAAGCTGAATAGATTTGATAGTCACCAGAACGACATTTACGACAGGCTCGTTGACCATACATATTATTATACGTGCCAGGTTCACATTCTAATTCACGTAACCCATCTGGACAATAATGATTTTTTGAACATTTTTGACATTCATCATATTGATTCGGAAATTGTCCTGGTGAACATTCAAGATTAGTTCGTAGAGATGAATGAGGAGAACAGAAAAGAAAGACAAGGAAAATACGATACATTTTCTTTCGTTTACAACCAAAATCGAAATGAGTATATTTTGAAAAAGTGTTTTATCTGTGATATGTATCTTGATATTAATTCACTATGAAACATTGTCTCCTTTTCGCAGAAGAGAAGTGTTTGGCGGGGAAAAGTGCAAGCTGTTTGATTTATCCTTTAAAATTAATATTATATCGGATTAGCCTTGAAAATAAAATATGAGAACAAATACATCTGTCAATTTCGGGGAAAAGAGAAGAGAAGAGAGGAAATTTGATTATATGCAAAGCAGATTTCTTTTTTAAAAAGGCATTTAGTGTTCTCTCGAATTCAAAATAAAAATATTCCATTTCGTTTCAACTGCTTCTTGCATTCAGATTTTCTATCAAACAGACTTCCGGTAGGTGCGTTGAATTTATTTCGAAATGAGCTACTTTTTTCTATTACATTTAAAGAATATGTCGCTCATTATCTTGCTTGGATGGATTGTACTACTTTCATCGGTATTAGGGGCTGTTCCACCTTGTGATCCACGTACATTTAGCACAGGCAGTTATCCAGGACGATTAATATCAATTGATGTTACTGGTTACCATCCGTTAAAGCTCCGTGCACATATGCGTCTGGCGAACAGCACCGATGAAATTTCATTTGAAGGCATGGTCTTCGTAGGTACTACGCTTCCTTCAGCCGCTGCCACAACAGTTTGTCGTTCGCTTGGTTGTAGCGAATATACTGTAAATGCGAGAGTATACTGGACTCCGCATGAGGACTGTCTTTTTACCTGTCCTGATGGCAAAAGTGCAAAACGAACATGTTCATTTATGTTAAGTAGTTTTGCATGCAAGGCAGACGCAATGAATTTGGCTGAATGTCAGACTGGAAGCTTTTGGGCTGAATCTAACATGAATCCTTCAACGAACTCCGGTGTCCAGGTTGTATGTGCAGACTGTGGTGAAAATTAATCAAGCAAAGTAGTTTTTTGTGTGGGTGTGTTTTTGTAAGCAACCATGACGTGTTTCAACCTTACTTAATGGTCTCATTAGACAGTTTGATTAAAATACATATGAATTTTGTTTCTTGATGATCCTGAAATCACAAACAATGCATCCTTATGTAATTGACCTATACACTTTCGAATGAAACGATAGTATGTCTTTATAATATAAAAAAGGGGTGTCTTTTGATAAGCAACTATGACGCATTTTGACTGTGTTTAATGGTCTCACCAGATGGTTTGTCAGGTTATTACTAACCAGGTGATCGAATATATCACAAATAAATTAAAGCCTACGTGTTCATCAAGTAATTTCATTGAATGTTCTTTATAATATTAGATACTGAATGAAATATTGATGGTTTTAGCAAACATTACCTAGATTCTATCTCGACAGAAAGAATCATCAGATGGGTTTTGAATTTGTAAAATTATTCAAATAGGTGTGTTAAGCTACCATCATATCGATATTTCGTCTCAACAACGAGATTTTTTCAAATGGCACTCATAACGAAAAAAATTCAAAAGAAAATTTTCGAAACAAGGTTAATTCTAAACTGTTACTCGAAAGTAATGTAAGAATTGTTTTACAGTAGTGTGGGTATGTGTTATAGCTACCAAGACGCGTTTCGTCTCTGCAAAAGGACTCATCAGTTGGCTAAAGCTCTATCCAAGTTCAAAAAAGTTTTTTACAAAATTTAAAACTAAATACAAAAAATCTAATTCATTATTATAAACATTGCGGGTGTGGGTGTGGGTGTGAGCTTCTTCTTTACCCCCACACCCACACCCACACCCACACCCACACCCACACCCACACCCACACCCACACCCACACCCACACCCACACAAAAAACTACTTTGCTTGATTAATTTTCTAATGAGACCATTAAGTAAGGTTGAAACACGTCATGGTTGCTTACAAAAACACCCCCACACCCTCACCCATATGGATACCCACCTACACCCACATCCACAAATCCTTAATAAATCTGAGGAAGCCTTAATTTTTTCTTCAAAACTTCTTGATTGTTTTTTCAATAAAAATTTGAAAGCTGAAATTAATTTTTCTCTAGAGCTGGTGAATTCTTGTGTGTTTCTTTTGTTGATCCCAAAATGTCAAAAGCATATGAAATTGTTAGCGATGCTGCCGAATGCACAGCAGATGGTTGCATTGGTGCGAAAGCTGGTACAAGAGGGTTTCAAATGCGCATAAATCCCACGAGCGATGCAGCAAAACCTTGTAAGGTCAATGTGTTAACAAATCCGGCAGTTGGAAAGCCTCAACCAGTATTTCGCTTGGATGCAGCTCATTCACTAAACAATGCTGCAAATCCTGGAGCTCATGCTCCTCATGTAAACATAAACCCTGCAGTTAATACTCGTTTTGGTGTGGGTGTGGGTGTAATGATCATGATGTTTTTTCTTTGAATACAACCACACCCACACCCAATTGGTACAGCGAAGGCTCCAGTTGTGAGTACTTTCGTTTATTATTCACCAGAACTTGTGGATATTCCACCGAAACCGCGTACGATTCAGGCTGATATGTAAACCATGGGTATTACTTTAGTTGAAGTTGCCGACGGAAACATCCATGTCTAGGGTCGAGAGAGTATGAAGAGTTTTCTGCAATCCAATTATGGGAGCCCAAAGTAAAAGAGACAATTCGGTTGCCTCCTATGAGAAAGTTAATTTCATCCTTGTGAGTATAACGCTATTTGAATTTGCATTATAATGATGACAGCGTTCAATTTTCACTAGATTTAGCAGAGAACCTAAACAACGACCACAATCTTATGCAAAGATTCATGATATAAGATGCGGGTAATTCAAAATTACATCACCTCTTCGTTTTTGCTTAAACATACATCAGTAGATTCCCCTTTTCACGCTGATCACGAATATCTACTCAGTTTTTTTCATTTGACAACACATTCGTGGAGAAAAACGCAAGATATCAAGAGGGTCTAAAAATCAGCAAAACAATTACTTTTCAACAAACAACGTTTATTTCTTTCCCGTTCCACTTTCCTTTCTCACCAATATGATTTTCGAATTCCTCATAGGCAAATGAGTCTAGCAGCAATATCTAAAGCTTTATCAGATATTACATGTTCAACCTGGTCAACAAGCATTTAAGGTCAGTCAGTTTTGTACTTGTGAATTTTGCAAATCTATCTAGTTTTTGTGCAGGCAAATAGAGCATCCATTCACCCGTCATCCGAAGCGCCATTCGACGGGCTACACATGTATAGCTCGATTTTTTCAATATCATTTCCCATGCTGAGAAAAGGTGTCTACAATGACAGCATGGAAAAAACGGTCTAGTGATTTTTCTATAAAAAATTAATTTCTCATACAGAACTTGTAGAAATAAGGTGGAATAGATAAAACAACGATGCAGAATTCAATGGAGGTGGTTTCAGGAGACTATGCAAAACTAAGATAATTTGTGAAAGCCTCATGAAGCAAAATTCCATTTGTATTGAGATTTATATGCGATTTTTCAGTTTTTTATGTTCTTTTATTGAGATGCTAAATCAAAAATAGCTGAGCAAGAATAAGAACCTAAAAAATAGAATTTTCGAGTATTTTATTAGTTGAATAAATTAAACATAGCGTGAGAATTATACGTATTAATCGTCAATGTTACTGTTTGTGATTTTACGGTGACTGATGATTTTATCATTGCACAATCCACTAAAAAACAATGTCAGTACTTCAAGATAATTTTTTCCTTGATTGTATGCTTTGATCGTTCTCCAAAATCGATGAAAAAGTTTCAGGTGAATATGCTTATCAATAAAATTTGTTTTTGCTTCAGGCATCAAAGTTAATAATCTGTGAAAACTTTGATCTGCATTTTTTCGTATATATTACTTTGAGTGATACCAATATCCTTCAATTGGATTAGTTTCACAGTGGTACTTCGGCGAAAAACGTATTTTGACATTATATTCCGCAGCTAATTTTTCAAGTTTGGTGACCTATAATGGAAAAAGAGTAAACAAGAGTCGTGGAACATTTGTCACAATGAACAGTAAAATTAATCTCTATACTCACGCTTTTACAAGCTGCATGTTGAGACAGCAATTATTTCAATTCATTGACTTTGCATTTTCTTGGGGCAAAGACATTTAATTCATATGCCAAAGCCAGTAAATCTTTACTATATCCATCATCATTATAGCATTCCATAGTTTGTTGTTTACTATTCTCATCAATATAATCGATCTTATCAACAGGACACCGAGTCCCTGGTCTCATTCCAAAATCATTTATATGCGTGTTAGCTGCTGTATGTGTTCTGGCATTGTCGAGGAGGCATACGAAATTATGATTTTTATATTCATTTTTAAATGCCAGTAATTGAAATAGACGTTTAAATTGACTAAGAATATCTTGATTGTCAAAATAATTATCACCACTGACATTGATTGCAGCAGAAACACTATTCTTTTCATAATTTGTGTCACAGTCATAATTTAAGTGTGGATATTTTTTCAATGCTTCTGAATATTCTTTGTCGGTCAATGAAAAGAAAGGTTTGCTTGGATGCATGACTAACATAGATCCGAACACATTATACTTCTTCCTCTGCCTTTGTTGTAAAACGGTGCATTATCAGACATAATCCATCTTTTGCCTGGAATTTCTCCACATTTGTATGTACTTTCATCATGACCTACAACAGAGGAATGCCAAAATGAACATATTGACGAGTTTTGGGATGAAGAAAGGAAAAAAAGCGCTTACAAAGCAAAATTGTTGGTTTCGTTGTTGGTGTTTTCCATTGTGGCACTGTGTCATTCGTAATTGTATAAGAATGCTGTTCTCTTTCAATGAAGTATCTGACAAATTCTTTTCGATGTTTCACCACATCTTCTCGTTCATGTTCAAAAAAATATGGCTGACTTGAATTTGCTGTAAATTTTCCACCAAATCGACGTAAATCTAATTTACAACTTTCGACTGATCTGACTAATCGTTGAATCATATCAGAACGAAAAAAGATCACTGATATCATTTAAGACAGATTCATTCGAGAAATCAATATCGGCATTTGAAATAAACAAAATTTCTTCTTCTTCTTCTTCTTCTTCTTCGTCACTTGAAAATGTTTCAGTTTCATTCGATGTAATACTTTCTATAGATCTTCTAGAATTCAGATGACGTGAATGATTTCGTCGTCTATTAACTTTTGGCATCTTGAATTACTTAAATAATGATTTCAAAATTGGATAAGTTTGAATAACCCTTTGATAGTAAATTAAGAAATCATTTCAATTTTTGTTACGAAAAACGTCCTCCATTGATCATCAGACAGTCCATTCAAGGGTATGCGCGATGGTTCCACATAACAATTCATTCAGCACACTGTACAACGAAAGTTTGAGAAAATTCCTCTTTTTCTTTCGGAATTTTGGTATAACCCTGTTGGATATAGTCTGGAGTCCCCTGAAACCACCTCCATTGACTTCTGCATCGTTTTTTTTATCTATTCCACCTTATGTCTACAAGTTCTGAATGAAAAATTTATTTTTATTGAAAAATCACTGGACAGTTTTTTTTTCACGCTGCCGTTGTAGACGCCTTTTCTCAGCATGCGAAATGATATTGAAAAAACCGAGCTATCATTTCGTAGTTCGTCAAATGGCGCTTCGAATGACGTATGAATACAAGGTCTATCTACCACCAAAACAAACTAGATACGTTTTCAAAATTAACTAGTCCAAAAGGGAGTGACCCTGAATGCTTGTTAATCAGGCTGAACATGTAATATCCAACAAAGCTCTATGTATTGGTGCTAGACTCATTTTTCTATGAGGAATTCGAAAATCATACTGGTGAGAAAGAAAAGTGGAACGGAAAGGAAATAAACGTTTTTGTGAACAGCAATTTTTTGCTGATTTTTAGACTATCTAAGTGTCTTGCGTTTTTCTCCATGAATGTTTTGTTAAATCGAAAAACTAAGTAGATATTGGTGATCAGCGTAAAAAGTGGAATCTACTGATTCATGTTTAAGTAAAAATGTAGAGGTGCTGCAATTTTGAATTACCTCTACCTTACAATCTAGTTGGTCTTACTTTAGCAGAATAGACTAAATCAAAACAAATACATGCGTGAAGAAAATAGATTTCGAATTTTTCCTTTTTACTAGAAAGAAAATAGGTCAAATTTCACTTGCCTCTTTCTCCTAAATTTATCTAAATAATGCGCACTGTCGATTATCTTTGAAATTAGCAATTATGCGATCGAATTTGTTCAGCTTATTTATATGTAAAAACTCATTTTTTTCCCCAAAGATGAGTCAAACTTGTTGTCGCTTATTCTGGTATTAAATTAGTTCTCTTGAAGTTCTTTTAAAGTAAACAATTTAATATGACTCATCTCAATATGAAGACCAACCTGTCTCAGCATATACTTACGAGTGAGGTTTTGAAGCATGAATATTTATTATTACGTTGATTAAAAAATATTTTGGAAAAAATTAAAGATCATATTCAGTAATAATAGGTACGTAACTGTCTTGCTGTCACCACCACCGCGATCCACCCGACATTCAATAAGTTAGATAATGACGGAAAACGACTATCGTTGGATTCTAAGTCAAAATTATGAAAAATCGTTAGAGAAGTTGAAATCTCTACGGGTACATTTATATACAACAAATAAGAAATTCTTTCTGTTACACTACATTTGCGCGTTGACTTTGGCGTGAACACTGCATGGACCTTAGGTTGTGGGCGTGAGAATTGAGATAACTGACACCCACACCGAAAAAACACATTTTAAATTTTCTAAGATTGGTACCTTTACTCAGGGGCTGCTAATTATAGCTCGATTTCAAATAAATATTCTGTAGCTTCGCAATTATTTATATAAACTGCACATTTTTCTTTGGTAAATCCAGCATTTTCTTAATAGTAGTCCTACTTTTTCGCTGGACACACAAAATTATGCAAGATCAGCAGAGGACTCCCTTTAATAGAAATGGTTAAAGTCTCACTGGTTGTATTCGATTTCATCAAGAACTTTACTAAATTAACAACTAAATCATAAGTAATGAAATAAAAGAAAACAAGATAATGTGTATGTTTGTTTAGTGATATCTTTTCTTTTCTTTATGGTCATGCTTTCAGTTGGCCTCTACAACAATACTCTTGACAAAAAACGCCGGCCGGTGAGAGTACTCTCTGAAAAGGAGGCACCCTGGGAAACTCTAAAGGGGTTCCGATAGTAACAAAATAATCTTTGGGTGTGTGTGTGCTCTTTTCTGATAGCCACGGTTACGCCATTCCAGGCTCACAGCAATACAGTTTACCCCACATCCACCCCACCCATTAAATTATGATTCGATATACTATAAGCTTCATCGGCATTATGGGTACACTGGAACAAAAATAGCACCACATGGAACCATTTTTGAAACGAATTCGAAACCTTCAAAAAGGTTTCGTAACACTCCAAGATAATCTCAAAATAATTATCAAGAATCCAGGAAACGTTTTCGAAGGTTTTGTGGAAAACCTAGGAAACCTAAAAAGGCTTCAGAATTCATTTCAAAGTTCGAAGCCCTTTTTACGAGTTTCGTACTGAGGACGAAACTTTTTGGTTCCGTGTGATGCTATTCTTTGTTCACTATAGTGAACAAAGGAATTGATGCCAATCTCGAAAATCATGCCGATTTTTTTGTATACATGTATTAAAAAAGAGAATTCAGAAGATGAATGCAAAGGAATTGTTCGTATGCAATAAAAATTCTATGTCCATATGTATCCATACTTCTTGTTTTTCTCGAAAGTTATTCGTTTTATCTTAACAATACGTAGACTCTTTGAAAAAAATCGATGTTCAAGTGCAATTCAACAGTTGTAGGGGACATTTAATTAGAAATTCTAGAACTCATGTGAAATGAATCGAAGAATGGATTAAAAAATGCATCTTAAATAATCGTGAGTTGTTTGAAAAACTTTAATTCGTAATTTGATCCGAAATTGTTTCATAGGTATTCGATTACGATTTTTACTTATTTTTGTAACAATTTCCAGAAGAAAGTCTTACATGATATATTTTTGTGTGAATAATTCTTTGTTATGTTATTAAAATAAACAAAAAACTGTTGTTTGGGTTCTATTTTCTCGACTATAATTGACTTAAAAGTGCCGTTGACGCTCATTATAGCCACTACAGACCGCACCTGATTTTTTGCCCATTGGACAGAGCGGGTCCAGTACCGTAGCATTTGCATTGATTGATCGTACTTCCTTTAGGTAGAACTGGGCAATAGTTTGGCACAGGACGACAATTACCTCCGAGGTATCCCTTACACTTGCATCGCTCGTTACAACTTTGCCAGAGATATCCGGTTGCGCCTGATGACCATTCAGTGCATCGACTCCATGATTTCCAACACGCTTTGCCATTCTCATAAATTATCTCTGCTTCGTTGAGGAAATCTTTGTACCAACCACTGGCTGCTGAGTAGTGTACTGCGTGATCGTGCGTGATTAGAAGGTTTTTTCGTGATCGAAATTAAAAGTTGATATTTCACGACTATTATTTAAGTTCAAAATTTCAAATATTTATTGAAAAGGTTAATGTTCACATTAAATTGTAAAATCTGACAGTTCATTTGCTGCTTGTAGCAATAAAAAACAAGTAAAATACATAACCTGATTAAATACAAGGTGGCACATAAGTAACGAAACAAAGTTTTTTTTCGATTTCTCTCTTATAGATCGTCAACTAGGTCTCATATTGATACTATATATACTACGTGATATAACTTAACGATACAGCACATGAACAATATCCGAATGTAGTAATTTGTTCAGAACCGTACAAATACAGAAAAACCAAAAATATAGAAATAAGTCTGAGCTCTAGCAAAATGTTTTTTAAAGTAGCAGCTCAACACAGTAGCACGTACAAAAGTATATGTTGAAGCATTTTCAGTACAAAGCTTTTCACAGAAACTGCTCAGTGTGAACATCTTCTAAGTCTTTGCTATGTTGGAGTCTCTCGTGTATTGATAGGTAAGCTCTTCGTCATAATTTCACCGGCACGCTTTATACTTTCATTGTAGTAGCATCTTATAGCTGTATTGAAGCAGACGAGCAACCTCAGCTGTATTCTGGTACATGGTATACTACTCTACAGTTACAATTCTTTCAGGTGACGACATGCGAAAAATACAACTGATGGTCAAAAAAAAACATCTGAAAAACACACTGTTAGAACTATGGAAAAGATGGATAATGCAGAGAGCAAAAACTCAATCAGTCGATAAAAGAGATGACAACTGGCATTGTTGTCTATCGGATGCCACCATTCGCACATAAGAATATCACCTAAGAATGCGAAATAATTTAAGTTATGAGGAATATTGTCAAGTATATTTCCATTTTTTTGGTTTTTATATGATATAGATATAGGGTTTTCTATAATCAATCGTGCTAAATCTGTTTTATTGAATTTAAGAGGATCAGTGGTACACATTCTAGAGTCTAAAACAAGCTAAAGGTTTTTTTTACATCGTCAAAGTATTTTCATAGAATGAATATAAAGAAAGCAAACGAAACTTTGCTGTTGATATTCTTTCTTTTCAAGTCGAAGCCTTTAACTATATCCAATAGAATATATTATATAGATGACACGACCAATCAATAAAATATTTTTCTTTTATAGCTGAATTAGGGCACTACATGATCACTAAATTCACGATCACGATCACGCAGTACACTACTGCTGAGTCGATGAGATTAATGGTAACAAAGCATACTAAGAAAAGTGTAAGTTTATGCATTTCTTTCGTCGAAGATTTGTAGTTGAAAAGGTTCTTAGCTCTAGCAAATCTACAAAAACATTATAATATAGCAAGATAATGTAAAGTACAGTAAAGGTATTTCACTGGAAAATGAAAATCATGTCGACATATTTGAGGCAGTCCGTTATAGTGGTGAATAACCTACCGTTTTACGCTAAAAATCGGATTGTTTTTTTTAGGCTTTGAGATTTCTAATAGATTTAAATACTCACCGATCGACAGTTCGTGGGCCTGAGAGTTAAAAAATTTTGAACGAAATGCTTTGAAAATTGCAACTGAGTGGTTCTAAAAACAATATTAATATACTTTTATGTTTAGCACGATCTGTGGTCAAAACATTCATTTTTCGTGCTAATAAATTTAACAATTATTTCCAATTCTGTTTCCAAAAAGATGATACTTACTCTTTTTGAGTGTTTTTATTGATTTCATTTGCTTCTTTCTGTGCAAGCCTTTTTATAATACATAAAATGTAAATGGCGTCACAAAGGAAGTAAATAAGCGTCGAGATCAATTTACTGATAAGAAAAGATCAAAAGAGCAAATTCTAACAACCAAAATTCACAAGAAAGCAGACGGTATTCAAAATTTTATTGTGATCGGCCCAGCTTTGGATCATATGTGCTAGGACGTGAAAAAGATAAGTTACGTTGCCACATTTCAAATCAACAATTAAAGTGTAGGTATCATCTCGTACACAAAGATAAAAGAAACTTGGACACTGTAAAGTTTACTTCTGTGCTGTAATTCAATATGTACCGATCGTAGATGCCTACAAAAAGAATCTTTTATATAATATGTCACGTATTGATGATTACTATGACTCGCAGGAGCATGAAAAGTATTCAATACTGCCAAAAATTAACGCAGAAGTTTAAAAGACTAGCAATCAAAGTTTTACGAAAAAGCAAGTTGCTTTTCTCTGTGTGAGAGTTCAAAAAAAGTATAATAATATTGTTATATATCATCCTAAAGCCGTTAAACTTTTATGTATTCAAGAATAGACAGCTTTCTACAAAATGATCAACTAGAGAAGAATGTCCAAGGACTGAGAATTAGGAATTCCTCTTCAGTTCCCCTAAAGTTCATTGCATACTAAAGGTAAAAATAAGGAATATTCACAATCATTTTTGTTCTTACGCTCATGTTCACCTACAAAATTGCGACAATCAATAGTTCCGTGCACAAATTATTTAAAAAAAAGTAATATCATGACTTTCGTGAATGATGGAACTGTGAAAGAACCAATAGTTGATTTCCATTTTCTCTAGAAATTATCATAGAGCCATTGACAATTCCTCGGCATATTAGGGATTCCTATTTCTCAGTTCTTGGACACTGCTGATACTTGAGAACGAATCAAGTGCAAATTTTCATCGGTAATTAGCTATTTACGGACTCACTCAACCCGTCTCTCTGGTTTCCCTCTGATTATTACGGAACAAACTGAGCATGATCGATATTCTCAGTCATCACTTCGACACAATGAATAGCAATCAAACGCTAGTTCTGGCCAGTAAAGAAGCGAATAGTTCGATTTCGATTCTCTGAAAATTTGCTTCAACACAATAAAAGAGAAACTCATTTCACAAAGATAGCCACTGATTTTCCTGTAACCATGCACATTTTTGCTTTTTTATTCTTTTCTGAATAATTTAAGAATGTTTCAAATCAGATTATCTTAAGCCTCACACCCACACCCTTTCTATTTATTAAAAACATCCAAAGGTACTTCAATTTTTTTTCCTACGAAATGAATGATAAATAATCATACGAATCAAAAAATTTTCATCCATATAAGCAGATTATTAACGAGTTCTTTGATTGTATTTCAGTATTTTCATTAAGAATAATTTAACAAATCAATAGAGAAAAAAGTTATCTCAAACATACAAACATCAATTTTCTCTCGGTACATAATGTGCATCCACCTTGTACCGTATATCATAGAGTGGCCTCGTTAAAAACGCTTTTGTGCGAGATTTTGAATCTCAAAGCAAGCAGCCGTTGTCAAAATCGAATTTATATGTCTAAATATTCTTGAGTAATAATGAATTACGTTCAAATTCGGTTGTTAAAACGTACGAGTCAGGTCAACCGCCTAGGCTGGATGCATCTCTATTGGCGTAAATGCATATTGCATTGGTAATCGGTAAAATTGATGATAAAACTTCAATCAAAGTTAATGTCTTGTTCTAAATTTGACTTATTAATATAAAACTATTCGAACAAACAGAAGAAAAAAACATCGTGTAATTTGCAATTAATATAATGATAAATCAAAACCGATAGAACTTTTTCAAGTTTAGCTAGGATCAGCAACCCCGATGAGAGTTTCATGGAGAAGTTAAGACTGAGAAGCACCCTTAATTCTTCTTATTTCTAAGTGCCATGTCACACTGTCTCACTTAATTATCATTCACAAAAAAGAATTGCAACTAGTATCAAACTATGTGCATTTAAACAAATTATCCAGCATTTCTTTTGAATTTTTTTTCTCAAATATATCATATTAGACATTGAACTTGAATTTATTAACCATGTATAAATCTTTTTCGACATGAGCTTTTTCAGCAAATGTGATTAACAATGTTGAAACTTCTATAAGAGTTTCAATACAATCCGTAAAAACTGTATGCATAGTTTGATTTAGCATATCCAAGTATCTTGTCTTCACTGCTTATGTTGCAAACCATAATAACATACAAAACGTTTCAATCTGGTGCTGTTATTATTATTGATGACCTTCTTAATGCTCTGGACGATTTGAACTTGAACAAGGATCCTCTATGATTATATATATATATATATATATATGTATATTTCGGGGAAATGAATAAGTTGTAGTCTGTATTTTGACTGCATTATCTTTGTCAAAATATATTTTGAAAGAACAAAAAAGTAATAATTACATATTCTGAAACAGTTTAGCAACATTTATCTCCATAGACTTTTTTGTTTCAATTTATACTGAAAGTTTGAGAAAAACTCACAGCAAGAAAAGCGTTTCTCATCAAGCGTTTTCCCGCGTACTTGATTTCGTTCCTGTTCTCATTGTAGAATTGTCTTGGATTTGACCAGGATAGATTCCCTACTGTAACAGAACTTTAAATATTCTGCTATCCTAGATATTTTTCATTCACTTTTTGAGATAAAAAAATTGAAGCACAAAAAAAATAAATATATAGGATCATAAAGAATTTCATTCTTTTTTAAAACATATAATTATTATTATTTTTTTGTAGAGATAATGCATTCGAATACAGACTAACACTGTTCATTTTTATGGGTCTATTTTAATGTTACATTTCATATTGTTTTCAATTTAGAATTATAAACTACAATTTGACATCATTATACATACGTTGTATTACAAATATCATTACTACAGATACTAGAACATGCAACAAAAAAAAGAGGTAGAAGAAAAAAAAGAGAAGACCTTGTCATTGAGAATATCTATTTTAATCTCTCATTCTCGGTTCTGTTTTAATATCAGTTGATAAAAATCTTTGATTATGCATATGATGATATGTCTGATGATCATGATGGTGATGCTGATTTTCTTGTGCATTAGATTCGATAGTTCTTGAACGAAATTCATCATTAATACTAGTAGTTATATGTGTTTTAACCTAATTTGAAGAGAGAAAAGAAAATTTCAAAAACTAATTCTTTTATTCAATCGAAACTACCTACATGTTTATTAAGATGATCACTTCGCATAAAACGTTTTCCACACATTTGACATGCAAATCGTTTTTCACCTAAATATAATGAGAAAATGTTGCTTTATTTATATTTGATATCTATCGAAAAGAAACAGTGGGCGTATTCCATGATAAAAATCTTGTTTGATTGATGTCACCTATGATCGTACATGTCAAGTATAAATAATAGGTATTCATTCGAAGTTAATTATCATGTGTATGCGTTGTTATTTCTCTTAAGATTAGCCTTAACAATCGTTACGGTAGAAAAATAGAATAAAATCGAACAACATTTTTATATGATAATTAGACTAAATAAAATATGAACAAACAACTATTTATGTTAAATAAAAATACCTGTATGTGTTCGTGAATGTCGTTGTAGTTCATCACTACGAGTAAATCGTTTTCCACAAAATAACCAATTACATACAAATGGTCGTTCGCCTATGAATATATAAATTAAAATGTCAAAAAATATTTTTCCTTGTTTTTAAACATTATTCAACCTGTATGCCAACGTAAATGTGCTTTAAGATGTGATGTTTTATGATATTCTTTTCCACAGCCTGGTATATGACAATTATGTATATTTCTTTTTCGTACCGTTGATCCAGTGATATAACCTAAACGATCAGCTTCACGACAATTCGGACAATCACATTGAGCACGACTTGTTTTAGGCTTTTTTAATGGATTTTTTGCTGTTGGCGACGATGTTGTTGCTTGAATTGTCGGCGGTGATGGTGTATGAGACGAAACAATAGGTGGATAAAATAAACGAAATTCATGCCGATATGAATCCGTATTATAGGGATGATTAACAGAAAGAAAATCATTGTAATGTGTTGATTGAATATGGGGTGGATATTGAACATTAGACGACGTAGAAAATAATGATGGAGGTGGAGATGTTTGGTGTTCATTATGATTTGAAATAGGAGGTGTTTGATTTGTTGTAAACCATGGTTGATGATGATGATGAATATCCATCCAAGGCGTTGTTGTTGTTGTTGTTGCTGTTGCTGCTGCTGATGATGATGATGATGGTGCTGATGAATTTTCTTTTAAATGTCCATTACCATTTAATAACGAATGTTCATAATGATTAATACGAACGAATGGTGATGTTATTGAAGAATTTGAATGCATCGATGATGGATTTACTATTGGTCGTTTCCAAGCGTAAACATTTGATTTTGATGGTGATAAAGGTGGACTTGGATTTGATGATTGAAATTTATTACATTGCTCAACTAACATAGCTAATGGATTGACATTAGTCATATTTAGATCCTTAGTATATTAAAATAAACAAGTAAAAAATGATTAGAAAATACCTGATGTACTTTTCTTTTTCAGGTTACATACCGAATTGTTATTTGTTGCTGCCATGAAATAGGATCCGAATAGTTTGTCATAGACAATTATTGAATTGTTCCTTGAATACACGAAGAAGAAAAAAAGAAGACTAGAAATTATACGTTTTTTCTCATGTAATCAATGAGTATGATACGTATATCTTTGAAGATAAAATGTTTAGCTCCACCCCGAAACAACTAATTTCGAAGTAGTATTGTCTTAATAATTAGATAGGTCAAACGAGATGAATGGACATGTGAACATATAATTTAGTTTTTTTTTTCTTCTTATTATTTTTCAACCGGAAAAAGAACTTCGCTGTTTTTTCTTATTGGTTGTCTGAAAAAAAGAATAAAAACAACTATTTTTCCTTCTCTTATTTGAATTTGAAAAGAACGAGAAGAGATTTATTTTATTGGTTAGTAGATTAGACAAACTATGATTGGTTTACATGGACTTATACACCTGATTGTAATGCGAGAGAAAATATTCAATTGTTTCCTGTGGTGAAATAATCAAAGAGACTCAGAACATATGGAAGGTTTATATTTTCAAGGGTTTAATTTACCACTTGATCATTAGTTTAGGAAGAAAAAAAAGTGTTCTGATCTCATTATGATTTCCTACTGTTTCGACGTTAGTTGTCATAAAACTACCATTTATCTTATGAATGTCTTTATTAATCGATCGATGTTCGTCTTTATTTTAATGAGGACATCGTCACCAACGGCAGAAAAAAAATCTTATCTATTTTGCTCACCTATAGTGTAACTTTGTCGAAGTAGCAGCCGTTCAAGCTGTGTTTAATTTATAAAAGACTGGCGCTTGTTTTCTTTTGATGTCATAATATGTATGTCGTCATATCAAACTCATCTTTAAGCCTTCTGGCAAAGCCTATTCGTCTTTTGCTCATCGAACCAATCTATAGATCAATCATTTTATATAGATATCTTCTTCTTTTTCAAGTATCGAAATGAAATAATAGATTTGACGATTGATATAATACGTTGTTAAGAAATTTGAGATTAACTGTCAAGTGAGACAGAACCAACTACTAGTCTACTCAACGTGCCGATATAGAAAAGAAGAAGAAAAAAAGTAGATTAATTCGATTAATGGTAGTGACATGGTGTGCAAATGAACATATTATAGATTGTTCACGTAATGAACAAAATGGCTTAATATAGGCCGACTAATTATAGAGACACATAGGAGAGCGAATTATCGATGTTGGAATTCTATGTTGTTATTGTTTTCATCATCTTTCAGCCGGATATTTGACTACTGTTGTTGCAAATGGAAATAGAGTTTGATTTCATGTTCTGTATTAAAAGATCAAAATCTAGACGGCATGCATGGCATTCGTTTGACACTTTCAATTTTTTCTTTCTTTTTTTGTCTGCATGTAAATGCTTGCTTTCAATATATGTTGTTCATTCACACTTGATTATTGAAGATAATTCGAAGAAAACGAACTCAACATGAAATTGTCGTTGATGTTTTGTTCGTCGAACTCTTATCTACATGTGAAAAGGTGTTAATGAATCGGTGTGTATGTGTGTGTATGAAAAAGAAAATCGTTTTCACGCCTGTACATTCGATCAATCCAATCAGTAAGTTAGAAGATGATCGGCGTCTTCCGGCATTTATGCGTTAGGACAGCTGACATGATGAGCTTCCTCTGAGCATTCATACGAGAAAGTTAATGATAGTCGGCGCGTGTACGACAGCTTTCGAGCAATTAGAGATCTGTATATACATACTGAAAATGACTCTGAAATGGAAGATTGTTTGGATTCGTTGACATTTTTTTTCTCTTTTTCTAGCGTGCGGAACTCGATGTAAAATTGTGTCTGTCAAAAATTAAGAAAAATGGCAACTTCCGTTTTCAACTGTCGACCATTATTGTAACTAGCAATCAATGATACATGCTTCTTTTTCTTTTTCTCCTGGTCAGTATAAAATAAAGATTTGAGAATATGATCGGAATCATATGATTATGTCATTATACATTTTGACTACCTTATAATTTTCATTCGATAATCATTAAATTCTTATCAATATATATATTTATGTAGGTACCTATATACATATGATCGTATCATTACATTGATTGAAATACGCATGTGGAAAATGATTCTTTTGCCGTAAGAGATTGTTGAAGGAAAATTTTTCTTTTTCTTTTGTTTAATCTTTTGTATGTATATTATGATTCAATTGTGTTTTTAGCGTACTTTATTTTATAGTAGTAAAATAATATTCGTTGCAATAAGTAATTAATATAATATTTTATTTGGATTTACTTTTAGGTTTTCAATAGCACAATATTGATTTAATAGAATTCCTTATGATAGGGTTACTAAGAGCGAAGGTATTGGAGATTATTCAACTTAGACAAATTTATGGAGAAAAATATGCGAGTTTTTTTTAGAAATATTTTTGTTTTGATGTAAATTGAAAAGTTCTATTCCTTAGCATCCTGCTAGTTGCGCCTAGGATTTATTTTGTGATGAAAAATTTAAAATGACTCACACATTTCTAACTGCCAATGTATCTATCGAATTTTATATTATCAAGAGATGAGTACAATCGTATAAAGAAAAGTTGTACTTTTTCAATGATACATTCACTAGACCGACGCTATATATTATATTTATTGTTCATCGTTATTTTTGCAAGAATTTCAAGGTTTTAAGAGAAAATATTGTTATAATATAAAATGACTAGTTGGTGATAATAATATCGAAAATTATTAAGATATGTATGTAGCACATGATATTTTGCTCTAATTTCCTTAAGCATAATAATTAATAAACTTGCGAAATCATTAGAGATTTACCGAATCTACTTCAAATGGGTGAAATGACCAGATAGAATAGTTCTTCAGTATTTTTGGAAAAGCGAAGCGTTTGATAAGCCTTTGTTTGATCGATACTTTGAAGATTGCATAGCTCTGGCAGATCTCAATAGTAAATGGTATACTTCTATAGTTTTCATCAGAACATTTGTTTCCTGATGCCCGGAAGCAATTGAAATCAGAAGGACAACCTCTGTAGAGTTTAATTCGTGTTTGCAAACCGGATTTTACAAGTCTACAAGCACTATCGCTAAAAGGAAAGCTTCCGGAACGATATAAAATTTCATCTAGTCAATGTCTTACAGTAGTACACCATGTAATTTCACTGTTCTACATTTGACAAAAGATAGTACAGTAGAATCGATTGAGAATAATCAGGGATCTATCATAATACTACGCATTATATCGATATGATATTCAGCATTATATATTTTTGAATATAATAATAAACATTTAGAGTTTTTATTCAAGAACTTCTATAGTAGATTGAATACAAGAATACGAAAAGAAAAATAATTCAAGTTGAACTAATAAACATAGAAGTTAAATAAAAACGTAACTTTTACAATTCATAAGATAAGGAACATTTCAAATTACTTATATTTGTTAATATTAAATTATTGATACGATGTAAAAATGGAATTTGTATTGTTAAAATAAAGTAATCTTTATTATTCATACCACGTTTAACTAAATATTGAAAAAATAACAATTCATTATTACAATAGAAAATGATCTCAAAGATATAAAGACGTACCGGCCATGTAATCATATAAAATGCTAAAAAGTTCTTCTTCAAGATATTCGATTTCTTTTGATTTATTGTTTCCTAAAATAAAAATAAATCAATATTATATAAAGCGGAGTATTAAGATAAAAAGGCTAAAATTTCAATCCTGTTGAGTTTATATGAATAACTCTGTTTATCGAAATCTAAATAATAAAATAGTTCTACTAACCAATGGAAGTTATAAGTAAAGTAAGCATCAGTGCTATTTCTTTATCATCAAGTTCAAAAATTTGAAGTTCTTTTTCAAATGAATATGTTAAACGATTTAATTCGAAGAAAAATGGATATTGGTCTTGTAAATATTGACTATGTGATGAATCGAATGAAATATTTAAATAATTCCAGTTGGAATTTACTATTCCTGAGCGTAACGATTGTATACAAAGGCACATTAGAATAACCGAATGAGTTGATAAATGAATAATTGATGTTTTCTCAATAAAATTAATAGAATTAAAATCTAAAAATGAGACAATAAATTTCTCCGTTGGTTTATCATTTTGTTGTAAAAATTCAATTAGCTACTTGGAATCCGATCAATAAACGCTCGAACACGATTTGAATATTCTTGCAGTTGAGATGTACAAATCATCCATAAATCATTTATTTCATTTGAACAAAATGGAAGTTCCTAAAAGGTTTAGAAATCCAATAAAATTGTAAAACTGAAAAGTCAATTTACTTTAAGTTGACTGATATAAGCATTTTCAATATGCGATATTTGTTCAAATATGTGAGATTCAAGGTTATCTTTTAAAGATACCATAATTAATGGTTCTAAAACGAATAATAAATCGTAAAATGATTCTAATATATTACAGATACCAAGCTCAATTTACAATGAACAGCAGAGTTTAAATTTTTCAAAGGCCAAAACTTGAATGTAATCATTTTTCAGTCTTTTTTTTTTTAAATTTACTATCGGATAAGGGAGTTCTTTCGAACTGATTAATCCCTGTTTAGCCGAGACTATGTACATAAGATGGACTCTGATGCGTTACACTACAAACACATAAGAAATGTGTTTTTTTCAGCATCGCTTATGTAAGCATCCGTAGATTTGATGTTCTAATTTTAGGATAAGAGCAAATCGAAAAGAACTGTAATTCTCACAATACACTATGATTTACATATAGAGAAATATTGAATCATAGTTTACTATAATATTCAATTTCTCATGTAACGTTTTTTTCTTTTCCTGATCCCATAAATCTCTGGTTAAGGAATTTCTTTCGGAAAATGAAAAGATTTGAAATGCATAACTTAGATATCTTTATTACTTGAACATGAAATCGACTCTTTCCAATAGATATGAACACCTCAACGCAATTTTTATTGTTTTGTTCTCGTTCATAATATTATTCAGACTAGTTAACTGAAATTCAGGTTTATATTCAATTGAATACATCAGTTATCCAACTTTCTTTTTTCAACATCTTACTTAAGTTTTTATGAAAGATAGATAATAAGCATTTCTATGACAATAGAAAAAGCAATCACCTTGATTGATATGTGGTATTTTTTTTCTAGTATGATTTAAATTTGACGTTAATATATGACATAATTTTGATTGAACTACACCTCGACGTTGCATTTCGACCATCTTATGTTTAAATAAATTCGATTGTCTACCAATACGTGAACCTTCAATAGACATTCCTGCCATAAGACATTTTCGAAAACGACAAGCTCGACACATATTTCTGGTCAAAGCATTTATTTCACAATTATTTCTTTCTGAACATTTATAATTTTGTGGTGTATTCTCTTTCGTCATTCGGCGAAAAAATCCTTTACAACCCTTAATAATCACAAATACTTTTTTAAAATCTATTGAAATAACAATAATAATAATGTTACTTACTTCACATGTTGTTGCACCAAAATGTATGCCTGATGATGCCGATTGGCAAACAGCGCATGGAATTTCTTTAAAGATTTCTTCAATTTTTGGATTTGAACTTTGCTCTATTATTAGTATTTCAAATATTAAATAATCAGAAAAAACAACAGGAACTGACATATTACCTATGATTTTCATGCCAATAGCAATACATTTTGAATATCGACAGCATTGACATTGAGTTCGTGTCGCACGTGTAATAATACATTTTTTATCTCGTATACATTTATATTTAAGATATTCGCCATTAACTGATCGAAGAAAAAATTTTTTACATGCCTCACTAAACAGAAAAAAATTAGCCTTGATATTTACCAATGATAAAAAGAAGATTCACCATGTAATTGAACCACAATGCCATCCGCTTGCATTTTCTCCACATACTTGGCAAGGTTCGGAACGAAAATCTTGCAGACACACCGCCGTGCTATTCAATGATGATATGGATACTTGCTCGGAGCAGATCATATGTGATTGATCAAGAATAAACATATCCATATTGGGATAGTATAAAATAAATGAACTAGCACATTAGTTGTTTCATCAAGAAGACTTTATTTTTCTATCCGATAATCTATATATATATATATATATGTGTGTGTGTGTGTATGTGTAGAGAGAGAATAGTGACCTTATTCTCGTTTATATTTTCTCTCAATATCTATATCAGTATGGATCAGCAAATGAATAATGTATTTACGTTCACCTATGCTGAGTTTATATATACGTGTATATACACATGAGAGAAAAGTTATCATAAACTCAAGAGAAAAAAAATAATGTACTGCACATACGATCTGAACTATGTATACTTTTTGAACGACTAGAGAGAATAAATTGAAAATTTGCATGCATACAATCATCCCATTCGCTTGAGACAATCGATCGATTTATCACTAATGCTATCGAGTAGAGCAATGTTAGCACTAGAGAAAGAAATAAAATCCAGCTGGATACAATCTATCATTTTATATGAGAATATAAAAAGATATGCGCATCGTTTAACAAATGAATTCATCGCAATAAAATTTAAAAAAAAAACAGAGTCACCTACTAGCAACATGCAATTCACTTCCCAAGAGACGAAATGACCAATTGTCCGATTTTATTATGTATTCTCTGTGTTCTTTAGATAGAATAGAGAGAATATGTCTGGCAGATACTTAATATGACATTTATAAAGTTCATCAATGTTCAACGTTATTAATTATGTACTATTTATTTGCATTGTGTTTCAAAAGCAATTTTTTAAAGTTATGACCTTTTTTTATGTCATCACATATGTATATTCACTATTTTTATGGAAAAATAATATTACAAAGCAATACGACGGATTGATAATGGATAGCACAAAAAAAAAAAATAAAGAAATCAAAAATATTATAATTATTGACTCTTACTTTTGTAAAACGATAAAATACAATAACAAATAGTACGCTACTGCTGAATCTCTTTCGAACAAATCTTAGCATCGAGAAGATCGAAATATCACAAAATATAAAAGGCATACATATATTTTAATCATAGGTTACTTTTCCTCTTTCTTTAATTCGTGTTTAAAAAATAATAATAATAATACAAACAACAATTACAGATAAGAGAAAAACAATCTATTTAACAACAAAATAAAAAACATATTTTTTTTTCTACTTTTCTACGTTTTTGTTGTTTTTTTGTTTACTTTGCAATATTTTCCATTAAATACAAAATAAAACTTACATACATATACTTCTATAATATCACGAACTGATAGCAAAATATAGGGGGCAGCTACATATATTGCATTGTAACTATTAAACCATCAGAAATCTTCTTCTTTTTCTTCTTGCCTCGACTAAGCAATAGGAAAACAAGCAAACAAGCAAACAATCCGATCACTCGAGAGAAAAGCTTTCGTTACATATTTGACAACATATTTATGAAAAGTCGATTGGCAACAAGTCAAAACAATATACATGTATGCTTCCTATTTAGACACCAGTTTTCCGTTGAAAATTGTTTACAAGTCCATTTTTTAGTGTTGCCGTTACTGTAGCAAGTGTTGCGATTTTCATGCGAAGGTCAGAATTCACACGTTCATATTCTTCACTGAAAATAAAAAGAAAACTTAGTAGAAAAATACTCTTTCTTTTTCTTTTCTTTTAATTTAATTTACCATTTATCATCCATATCACCGAACTTTTGTTTTCGAGCAGCTCGAGACATTTTCGATGCTTCATTATTTTTTCGACGTCTTTCCAAATAGTAGGATAAATCTTCAGCTGTTTTAATGTCTGTTGCACGATTAACATTACAACTATGTTTCGATTGTGTTGAACTAGTTTCTGACGATGTTGAACGAACTGTACGAGATTGAATGCGTGAAGATGTCCGACGAGATCGTCGTACAGGTGTTCGTTTAGAACTAGTCACTTTTGGACTATCAATGGATGGTGTTCGTTTGGACAGAAAAGCATGGTCATGTTCGAAAGCATTCAATGCACCTTGATTGCAATCATATTTTGGCGTAACTGGCATTGATGTTAACGAATCAAATGAACTCATTTGAGTATAGAGTAATCCATTATTAGATTCAAGTCTTAATTGATCGGGTTCTGTAGGATATGCATTGTTGGTTATTAATTCAGGTGATACTGGTCGGAGTTCAGAAAATGACAATGATGAACAAGTAGCTGCAGGTGGATTTGTTAAAAAATCTATATTATGTGTTGCTGATGACATTAATTTATCAAATGATTCAGATCGTAACTAGAAAGAAATATTGCTCGTTAGTTATTGTTGACATTTAGCATCATTTGTAAATATGAAATTATATAATGATAAAAACACGCTTGTTCTTTTTACTTACAAATTCACTGAGAGTTCGTGACTCAAGTAATTTAGTTGAATCTAGTTTCATTAATTCATCTGCATCAAAAGTATCAGTGGCACTAAAGTCGCTTAATAATTGCCTTAAAGAAATTTCATTTCCACCTGCAAACAGTTCATTCAACATGTCAGATGATTCAAGATCTATTCAATATTTAATATAAAATTATAAATTATAATTTATTTATCCATTTTTTACCTTTGTTAAATTGGCCACTTGTCTTGAGGAGAGAACGTAGTCGAATACTGAGACTCCTCAACATTGAAGGTGAAAGAGTTGGTGGGCCATTGCGACGACATATAGGAGTCTCTTGTTCCTCCAAAATCACTGTTGAGGTCGAATCCGAACGTGCCAAAGTCGCATGGGGTGAATTGGGCGAGTTCGAATGTGTATGTTGTATCTCGTTTATCTGTTGTTGTTGTTGTTGTTGTTGTTGTTTTTGCTCTTGCCGTTGATGCATATGACTCTTGTGATTCATTGTAGGGGTCGACATTGCGATTGCGTTCGTCGTCACTATGAAACATACCCGAGTCGTCGAACAGACTAAATAGCGCAGTGGATGCTTTTTCTTCTTTCTTTCTTTCTCTTTTTTCTCTGCCTCTTTTTTTTGTCGTTTCTTTCTTCGTCAATTATTCTTGTTATCGTTGTTGATGGTGATGATGCCCATGTATTTATTGTATGAGTAGCAGTAGTCTGTATTTGTATACTTTCAACGAACACTCACAGACAATATCAGTCAATTCAAACGAGCTCTTTATTTAATGTAAAAATAATTTTTTGTTAATTGACTACAACAACCAGAAAAAATGAAATTGGCTATTATATCTAAAAAAAAGATAGAACAAAAAATTGTAAATTCATAGACTCTTTTTTACAGTTTTAAAGAATATTTATTTTCGTTCGTTTCGAAGACAAAAAATAACGAAGTATGAAAAGATCTTTGTTTTTGCTCTTTATCTATTTTACATAAACTTCATAAAAACAACCCACATGTATCAAAAACACAAACCTACTGTAGGATATCTGATCGTTTTATTGGTATAAAACTTGTAAAGATAAAAGTCTACTGGTTTCAATTATCTTCTACCGACTGAGTATTTTAACTGATTAAAAAAACATACAAAATCGCATTGTACGGAAATATCCAAATGACGCAATTATTTTTACTGGGAAAATCTGTACATACGTGTATGTTACTCTCTCTCGAATATTTACTCGCGGAATGAAATATTGTTGTCAATATTCATAGTTGGCTAATTTGGGTCTCTGAATCAACTAAAAAGAAATCGACAGAATCAACGACGATATTGCACAATGCTTTTATGGGAACGACTCTCAGCTCTGTTTTTCTCTATTTTTTTCTCTTTATCTCTCTCTTTTTTCACCATGACTTCATAGTATGAAGCAATAACTAGCAGATGAAATGAAAGAAATGAAGAACTAACAATGATGATCATATTTATAAACATAAAATTGCATCAGAAACAAGAGGGCAAATCAATACTTCTCTCTTAACAACCCCTACATATTTTTCTTATGACACATAATAATCAACCTTTATTCAACAATACAAGGACTCTCTGATACAGGAGAATACAGTTTATATCATTTCCCCAAAATTTCTAAAAGGGAGAAAGTATGAGTAGCTTGGAACATTCAAGCACTCATAAGATATAAAAAAATCATCATTCTTATCACTTGCCATTTGTCATACCTTGTCTTTCTGTCTAGCAGTAGTATACATCTTATCTAACCGATTGACATAGTGTTGCAGAGTGTTCCTATCGATCACTATATCAAAAATAATCTAACATATTGTATTATTTATATAAGGAGTCATATAGTACGACAGTAGAAATGAATAAATTTAGAAAATATGTAATTGTCCAAAATCGAAAAAATATCAAAACAATCGATTTTATGTTTTCCTATGAATTTTAATAAAAAAACAATTGTAATCGCCAATCATTCAAAAAGTATGTTTTTATTTAATTTTAATTTTTGGTAGAAAAAAACCCACACAGATTAGGCGTTTATTTGCTTCCTTGTTCGACGATTCATTTCATCATATCGATGTTAAATTACACCACTATTGCAAAACTCCTTCTATTGCATGAGTCAATAGAGTGCATATAATGAAACCAATAGAACAGCAAGTCTCCTTCACTTATTTATGAGAGTACATGCAAAAGAGTTGAAAAAAAAAGAATTAGCTAAATATCAACAGATGGTTACACCAACAGAGGTCGTGGTTTTGGTGGGTGACTTCCATGGGGAGGGTTTACTCTCTATTTTGATTGCAGGTAGAAAGTAAATGAAAGAAAGTTTTTTTCTAATTCTCTTCCGATTGAAAACAGATTGGAAGAAAAAATGGTAAATTTGTTTTTCTGCTACTGAAGAGGAAAGAATAAAACTTGTCTCATTGTACTTCCTTACCAAATACTTTTGTCTGCTGTCAATATACTACAGACGGAAGCAAAAATAATAGATGCAATATGTGCCGTAGACATTTCTATTGCTTGCAGAAATTGCACGAAAGTTATTAATTTATTGATCAGTAGGGGAAATAATTAGTAGCGTTCGGTTTTCTCAAGAAACACTTCAAAAATCGAACTATTGTAATCGAAAAAGTTCCGATGAAGTCTTTAGATATTGAATAGAAGTTACTAATGGAAAATGTTTTTCTTCAGATTATTTGCAATATTATTGTTATCTACAACTACGTCAGTGAATCAGATGATGTCATTGACTAATACCAATAACGATTATCTATCACAAGGTAATTAACTTTACACTCAAACACAAATGTCACTGTTCTAATTTTTCCTATATCTATTATTCCAACAGAAACAAATCCACTAGAAGATGTTCCTCTCAGTCCATCATTGACTAAATTTCGTTTGTATGAAATTATGTGAAGTACTTCGATTGATTTTTTATTAATTCTATTAGATACTTCTCAAGTGACGACTGATGATATTCCACTCAATATTGCTCGTATGCAACACTCACAAACCGTTACAACTATTTCGGTACCATTGACGAAGACGTTAAGAATTCGTCAAGATCAAAATTTATCAAGACGGAAGCCAAATCCAAATGTAACAACTCACATCATTGCAGGTTGGAAAATTCAAGAGAGTTTAGAGCCATTTCAACAACAAGAAAATAAATCATCTTCATCCAAAACACAAGAACAGAACATCACTTCTGACAACTTGAATGTTCATCAATGGAGTGTAAGTGCTATCAAGCATCGTGACCTAAGAGAGTCCATCTTTTGATCTATGAATTTTTTCTCTGAAAAGATAGCAAACATTCGAATATTATGTTAAGAAATAAAAATAAGCTCAGCTCAAGAGTGAAGACTTCATTATGATTCTTTTCCTATTCGTTTAGATCGATCAAGTCTGTTCATTTTTCGAATATGTGCTTGGCAGAAATTCGTATGCGCCAATAATCAAGGAACATCTTATCGACGGGATAGTTCTTTTCCTACTAAAAGACGAACATTTGAGCAATACATTTCAAATGCCACTCGAACATCGACAGATGTTACTCAATAGAATAAGAGAATTGAAAAATGGCGATCTTTCTCTACTGTGATTCAAATATTTCTCAATAAATGTAATCCATTTTAACTTAAATTTTAATAAATAATAATGAATTCATATAAATCTTTCAAAATTAATTGGCCAGAAATCGAGCAGCTATTTTCTATTAAGAATATTCCTTGCTGCTAACAGTCTGTTGGAAACGATATTTTAAAAAATATTTATCTGTAATCCAAAGAGATTCTAGGATAGTTCAATTATTGGCACTAGTTCATCAGATTCAACAAGTTTTACAATATTAGATTTTACGAACTCGGGAAGCTCACGGAAACTGATGTGTCATTGCAATTGATACATCTAATGTTCGTTTACTAATAGGAACTTTGAATATTATGCTGTGATTAAATAGTAATAATTCAAAATTATAAGCTGAAAATATGATAAAATAAAAGAATCATACTTCGATGGAAATATTCATCTAGCTTATTTTCTTACCGTCCACTCTTATTCTTTACGGTTATGTTGTTTTGTTCTACTGACGTAAATGAATTTTTACTTGTTTTCTCAGTTTCATTTTACAGCTGTTAAAATAATATTTAACTAGCTATTTTACACGTCATTCTCACACTAGTAAATATTTTAAAATCTAGAAAATGAATTATTATGTGTAAATAGAATACTACATTCATGAACAACAATCTTTTCCTCGGTCGGTAATAGAGAGCTGATAAAATCTGTGTGCACTGTTCGTCATCAATGTAAATCCATGCTCTTACCTGAATTGGCTTGAATAAGCGCATACTGTCATCAGTACAAAGATTTGCAAGTACTACGACTTATATTTACTCTGAATATCGGTTCACAATTTCAAAAAGTTGTTGTCTATATTTTGAGACTACTTCCTGAAAGTAGTAGAATCGAAGTTTGCACTAGAAAAAAATGACATTGGGAAAATTATCTTGTGTGTGTTAAGAATTTAGAGACACCAATAGGCAACTAATAAATCTCATCGTATAGCGAAAGAAATATCATAGAATGAATTTGAGTTTCATATAGGGATGTGCAGGGTCGGTGTACTGATCATCGGCTTGCACCGACTACACCGACTACACCGACGTTGTTTCCCAGTGGAGCCCGACTACACCGGCAGTGTGCGCAGTGAAACACCGACCACACTGTCACCGGTGTCACTGAAACACTGAATATAGAGACAATGAAGGCCCCGACAGCGGTGATCAGTTTTTCAGTATTTACATCGACACTACACATCCCTAGTTTCATATGAAAATATTCACAATTAATTGGATATCTTAGAAACAAAATTGTTAGCTGAAAATAAACAGTCTTTTCAGATTATGAAATTTACCGTTTAAATTAGTGTTTCAAAGTGTTTTTGATTAAGTATTATATTTTCTTATAGAATTCAAAACAAAAAAGTATTTTCAGATGATTGTTGTTATTCATCAGGTTTTCTTTTTTTTAAACTTTCCTTGGATAAAAACACGTGGTACACAAATCTCTTCTTTAACATTTACTGTGTCTTTAAATACATAGGAGAGTTCATCAATATGAAATTGACATGCATTTAATAGATTGGTTAAATATTCAATTGAAAAAAAATACGCTCTTGTACCATCTTGTCTAACATAGAAATTGTCTGATAATTTATGTTGTCGTTGACGAGCAAAACGAAACATGGCATGATCATATAAACCATAATCACGAAATAAAAGATAACCATCGGGTTTTAAAACCTTCGAGAAAATGAAAAAATAAGAATTTTTGAAGTTTGATCCTTTCTTTCTAAGAATTTTTACTTTATGAATTTTTTTCAATACACTTGACATTTTATCTGGATGTATTGCTGAAAGAACAAAAATCATTGAACATAGATCAATCGAATTTTCTTCAATAGCAATTTCATTATCATCTGTTAAATCACAAACAAATGATTGTATACGTTGTGGATCATAATTAGAATTTTGACGGAGTAATTCAATAGCAGTTGAAGAAAAATCACATGCATATATAGACAAATTCGGTATTTCATTCAGTAATGGAAATAAAAAATTGCCTACACCACAGCCAACTTCAAACAGTTTCATTGATTCATTTATATTTATATTAAATTCTCTTAGTGTCCAATGGCGGTCTTTAAAAAAATTACTTGTATTTCGTTTATAAAATTGATCCCAATATTTTTGAGCATTTTTGTCGAATTGATTTTGTTTGAATGTTGGTACTTGTTGGCGATCTTGTAGTTCCGGAGAATATAAACATGCATATTCATCATTAGTTATAGATCGTTCTTTATCGGAACGATAACCATGAATTGAATCACTCGTAGTATTATCAGCCATGGATATCTGTAATAGAAAAGTATTCATGCTGAATAGTCATATCAATAAACTAACAAGATATTCTTTGTTCTCGGCATAATACTTAAATTTGAGGGTGTTAATGTGACAGCGAGAACGTTTATACTCAGTCGATCAATACAAGTCAAGAAATATCGTCTGTTGACTACTGGGTATTGGTTGGAGTTTCATATAAAAAATATAGCTACATGATTTGTTCAAACTTCATTAGCTTTCCTTGCGGATACTATAATAAAATCACGTAATCGGGACTTATGAGTCATTGAGCGAGTGGCGTCATATATGCGAAATTTTGCAGATGCTACGGCATCTCACGCTGGAGACGCCTCATCTCTCGCGGAAGATGCACCCACATGCTGAGAGATGTCCATACCCGCATAAGATGCCGCAACTCCTGCAAGAGATCCAGCGTCTCCCTTGGGATATGTCGCAGGTTTTCCAAAATTTCGGATGTGGCACTGCTGGAGTCATTGGTCTGAGCAACTTTTTATACAAATCCAAATAAAGTTGTGTCGATAGTAGTGGAATCTTCTTCATCAATATTTCCAGTACGACTCCGTTACTTTGTTTGTTTACAGTTTGAGAAAAAGCTCATCATATCGCTGAACGTAAAGGACGCATGTTGCAAGCAAAAATTTTGTCTTGCATCAACTATGTACAAGAGTCAAAATCATGTAGATAAATTTCTTACGTTACCGGAAAGTTTAGAAGCGATAGTACGATCTATACCAAAACTGAAACGGACAAAAATTCATTTTACAGAACTCTAATTAAAGATCATGATAAACATAACATATACAGTAACGGTTTTACCATTTATTAAAATTAAAAAACAGACAAATGCGAATATTAAAAAAAGGAATGGTCAGAATTAATTGACTGGATTTGCAGCTTAATCCTTTTCATCATTCATTTTTTTGTACATCTTCAAGATCAGGCATGGGTTCATCATCACTATCGATTTCTTTATGATCAACATCCTTCAAATCAGTTGAAGCAGCGCCACTAACATCACCACCCATTTGTTTCAACATGGCATCTGCAAAAAAAAATGTTTTTGATTTTATAAAAGTTTTCATTAAGTCTTAAAATCTGTTTTACCTATATTACCCCAATCTTTACCACCAGCACTACCCATATCATCAGCATCATCGTCATCACCTAATTTTAAGACATACAAAATAGACTTGTCTATCGATAAGATTTACCTTCAGCAGTGAAGTGATTCCAGTCAACCGTTATCCATAGACACTATATTATAGAAAAAAAATGAAGAAATATACAATAAGAACAAGCATAGATATTTACTTTTTCTGTAGATTTTATTAGTCGTTTCCAAAATGGTTTGTTTGGATTTTTCTTTTTAAGCATAAATTCCCAATGATTTTGACTTGTTTTACGATGTTTTGATGTCTAAAATTATTTTATTTTTTCTAAACGTAATCCATTTAGAAAGAAAAATCTAGTTAACAAAATTTCAGATATTTAATCGATACGAATTTTTCAATTCAATCCTAACTCGCTAAATTTTGAAAGTAGAAAAGCACTCACTTTTGGATCAATTTCATCGAAAAATTCAAGTATTGTATCATATTTTAATCCTTTTGTTTGCTGACCTCTAGAATTAGAAAATTTATAATTTTTCAAAACAATTTCAGCATTACTTTCACTCACTTGAAATGAAGTTTCGTTGGTTCAATACTTATCTCAGGTTTTTCAATGTCTTGTACAGCAATTGTTAATAGAATGTGGTCTTTTTTCTGACCCCATTTGATTGATGGATGAGTATTGGCCCTTAGAAGGAAGAAAAACTTTAACAATCTATATTTTAATAGTAATACAAAAATTTTACATACATTTTCTTGTCAGTCGAATGCGCAAATAAGTAAAAGCAGTATACAGTAAAAGTAAACAATAACTATGATTGGTTGGTTGGAAAATACCAATCAGTTTGTGTTTCAATTGTACTTCATGCAAAATGTTGTTTTTTTTGTGCATTTCAATAAACCATGAGTCTTGGATCATTAGCTAGCGATCCCGAATTACAAAAATTCGTTGCTACAAAAGAACTTGAAAATCAAATAACTGCTCAAGTATTTAGAAATTTTTTGTTAAATTCAAACTATACATAATTTGGATTTAGGTTCATCATTTAACAAATATATGTTTTGATAAATGCCTTGAATCAAGTGGTAGTGCCAGCGATTTATCGGCAAGGCAAACAGTATGTTTACAAAATTGTGTCGAACGTTTTCTTGATTGCTCGGTATTAATCACAAATCGAACAGTTCAACGTATTCAACAAGGACGTTAAAAATTAGTTACCTGATTGTTTGTTTGTTTTCTTCTTTAATAGAAAAAAGATTTTGTTAGGCAATGTTAACTTAGGATTCTTTCATTGCAGATCTCTTACATAAAAAATGGCTTTACGTAATTTAACACGTGGCTTATTTCAATTAGCTACGCATCGAAGATTTTATTCATCGATTCAACAGCAAGTTTTCACGCGAAAACTAGTATTGAATAATCAACGATTTACATCTGTTCGATCATTTTCATCAGTACAAACGAATGAAAAAGCTTATAAAGATTTAAATCAATTTCTCGATAAAGAAATTCAATTGGAAAGAGTTGCACAAAAACATCCAACTAATTTACCAGCTATTCAAGGTTTTGAGGTTAGTTTTATAATAATGATACGCATAGCAAAACATTTATTCTGTTCATTAATATTCAATTAAATCATTTTAATGGATATTTCGTTGGCTGAGTAATGAATATTCTATTTGAGTTTTATTCAATGTAGTTAAAATTACTGAGAACATATAATATCCTTGTTCCAATCTTTACACTGAAAAGGATGAGAAAGAGGCTTTTCGATAATATGTTCATAAAACAATAGGTTTTAACCAATTGAAAGACAAAAAAATCTTAAGCGATTGAACAGTTAGTGTTGATTGCTCGTTAACCAACATTTGTTTTTGATATGCAAAGACTTCAAATTGGCTATCTCTACAAGACAATACTGTTCACATCTTTACTAATCAGATTCACAATCAGAAAATGACAATATATTGTCTTTACGCAGCAATTTTTCTAATTTGAATTAATTTTTATGTTTATTGGGACCTTTTTCATTATATATAATTCTACGTTGTTATTTAGGTTACAACCGAGGGTCCTGAAGTAACATTAATACGTCAATCAGGAAAGGAAAAAGTCACTATTAAATTTAATGTGACAAATACCGTTAATGCAGCTGACTCTGATGATGAAGCCAATTTACATGCACCAGATCGACAACAATCCGATGCTGAAGTCACACAGCCATCATCGCAATTAAAATCACGACCAACATTCACTGTTGATCTTAATCGCGGTGGACAAACTTTATCATTTTTGTGTTCATATTTACCATACGATTATCCAGATGTACCAGAACAAAATAAAGGCGGAGAAAATCATCCACAACCTGGAGAAAATGAGAATGAAAAATTAGAAGATTTTCAAATTGATGAATTTGCTATTCACGAGGGTGACTGGAATGAGAGTGTTTATAGCGCTGATTGTGCTGTTATTGATGGAGAACTTTATGATAAATTACTTAATTTACTTGAAGAACATGGTATTGGTGAAGGTTAGTATATCAATAGCATTTTGCATTCTGAATGATCATGTTTTTTTTCGGCATTGCATTTTGAAGTATTGAATAGAATTTTAACAAAAGGGAATATGTAGTGAGTAACTGTCCCAAAGTACTTTCCAATAATAAGTAATAGATGCATATATTTTGGTATTCGTTGCTCAATACTATTTTCTATGCAAACTCTAATCATTAAGAAAATGTATTAAAGATCAATTTATGAATTTTCGTTTCCAACATTAGAGCTTCAGAATTCGAAAAAAAAAAAAATATATATATATATATAAGAGAATTGCATGCATAATGAAGAGCGTGCCATAAAATAAATAAAGTTTGTCTAAAATAAGAATTATTTTTGTTTCTATCTTAGACTTTGCTAATCAATTAATAGACTTTTCAACAGCCTACGAACATCGTCAATATATTGGTTTACTTGAAAAATTACAAAAATTTTCGAAAAAGTAGAATAAAAACAAGAAATAATTCTCGTTAAAACTAATGTTTGAGAAATAAAATCTAACATCATCTAGCCTTTTCATGTGAACAATAAAAGCTGTTGTTTGTTTTTTGTTTTTGTTTTCTAGATAAAAATAATTATGTCAATGATCTATTATTTCGTTTTTACTTCATTTATTTTTTCAACACTTTCTGCTATGCCTGCACCACGTGACGTTTATACGGCTGTTATCTATAATGCACAAAATAAATCAATTCAGTGTAGTGTAATCTGGTCTCAGCCATATGGTCTTCAGCAAGAAAGTGCCATATTTACTGTCGAGAAACATAATTGTGAATTAACAAAGAAAAAAACAATTGGCATGGGCACATGGGAAGCACGTGGAGTAATAAAAGAAATTCAATGTGACAATCTCGTACTTAAAGCTCCATTTTATGGAGTTACATCACCACAGACAAATTGGGGATTCCGCGTTGAACCAAATGAAATTGTATCTATGGGATCGGGTTCATGCAAAAATACAAATTAACAATTTTTATTTTCATCTCTTCCATATAAAAAAAAACAGTACACGTATTTATATGCATATATCAAATGCAGGAAAATTTATTTGTGTTTATTATCTTTATCAGAAATCTATGAGCGTATCATCCTAGACCCGTTCGCTATGAAACACTATTTAAATTCTTGGTGATACTGACATAGTTTCAGTCTGCAACGTTTCATATTACAGAAATGAAATAGTCAGTGTAGTGTAAGTTCATGATGAAGAATGCATTTCATGCCAGAGATGGTTCATGCTTTATTTTCCACAGGCATCTATGAATATTAATTTTAACTAAAAATATATATTGTTACATTCCTTCTTTTTCATTTATTTCTCTATCTATGGCCTACATCTTGATATGCTTAAACGAGCTAATGACATGATAAATTTCCTACTTATCTCATCGGTTTCTAATCTCTACGTTCTTTCTTCTCTCTTTTTTTAATGTATCTGCCTATATATGTACGTATTTATTGTTCTTCTTCTTGCTTTCCATTTATTTTATTCATGTAATCTCGATTGGTCTCATGCTCTTTATTTCTGTACTGGTGAACTCCATTCATATTTATTATAAAATAAATGAGGAAACATCGGATTCGCATCCGATTGTTATGTGTACTGCAAAAGCTGAGTCGATTTATATATGTTTTAAATATTTCTCAGAAAAAAATTTTTGAAAAAACCTGTACCCCACTCCCTCAGGGATGGCCTGGTCAATAATGACAATTTTTTCGATAACGAACCCATTTCTTGACGAACCCTTCTCATCTTCGAATTCGACTGAGATATTGATGAGATCATTCTGTGTACAAAATTTCAAGGTAATTGGATGAGGCTTTCAAGAGTTATCGTGTTAACGGTCGGACACGCTGATCGAATCTAGAGTGTACTCACTTTTTGAGTACACAAAAAAAGAAAAATGATGCCTTAGTCAATTTTTCATATGGCACAACTACTGTGAGGAGGCAGTGATTGAGATCTTCAACAATAGCTTGTTCAAATAAACTGAAACGCAGAAATTATTTAATTAGCATGAATAATACTGAAAGATAATTAAGAAGGTCATTTGATCTGATGAGAAAAATTCGGATAAGTCAGCTCTTCTCAATTTACTTGTAATATCTTTCGAAAATATCATGAGATCTGAACATTTCTGGTCTAAAGTCAGTTCTTATGTGGGGAAGCAAAGACTTCAAGCAACATGTGTCAACCAGTAATGATTTTATCTGGTCTATTGTACTTTTAGGCCACACAACACAATACATTTTTCAGTTCACTGTAGACATATCAGAATTGATCATTTCTATATGGAACCTTTCTAAACAAATCAATGTAAAATTTTTCTTCCATCTATCAATCACATTTTAACCGTTATTAATAGTGCAAAGAAGAGTCTCACTAAAATCTAGTCTCAAAGCTGTTAAACAAAGACAAACAATCATAAAATGATTAGAAACCAAAGTTAAATCTGTCTATACGTCGTTTACATCAGCTTCACTGTATACAGGATTAGCAGATGAAACTTTCGTTGATGAATCAACCAATGGTGTACTTGCTACTGCAACTCTTAATAATACAATTGAATTTTGAAATAATTATTATATAAGAAGGAACTGTTTTTAAAATTCAAACCTCGCAGCACCAAGTTTCGATGAAAGAAAAGCAAATACTGAGATAGCTATACCAATACCACCAAGTGCACCAAAAACTCCACCCAAAATAGCAGCCACTTCAAAAAAACTCCAGTTGCCGAAAGCAGTATATATTTAAGAAATTTAACACATACAGTTACTCTTCTTCGACGGTTGTTTTTTATTTTCACACTGTGGACCATTGTAATCACTTGTACATCTTTCAAAATAATTTGAATTTATTTATAAATGACTGTAGCTCATTTCAATAATACTCTTACTCGCATATTGCTGCTCCAACTTCTTGTTTACAAGAACCACCATTGAAACAGACATATGTAGCACATACTTATTATGAAAAGCAGAACACTTATCATTTCCTTTCCCACTGGTAAAACAAATTTACCTATATAAGAATTTGATGTCACATTTATGCTGTCAGGTGCGGTTGTTTCACTAATCACGGGCAATGTTGATGAATACGAGTCAGATGCCATTAATGAACCAGTCTGTAGGGTTGACTCTTCTGAATATGATGATATTAGCAATCCTATAGATTCACTACCCACTACGGTAGTGGATGTTAACGGATGTGTATCTCCTGTTATTGATGGATTTGTGGATCGTGTTGTCGAAGGTCCTGCGTAAGGTGTTGTCGGTCCAGCAGTTGTTGTTGATGTACCTGTGTATCTTGTTGTCGAAGGTCCTGTGTAAGGTGTTGTCGGCCCAGTAGTTGTTGTTGATGTACCTGTGTATCTTGTTGTCGAAGGTCCTGTGTAAGGTGTTGTCGNTACATCAACAACAACTACTGGGCCGAGTAGTTGTTGTTGATGTACCTGTGTATCTTGTTGTCGAAGGCCCTGTGTAAGGTGTTGTCGGTCCAGTAGTTGTTGTTGATGGACCTGCGTATCTTGTTGTCGAAGGCCCTGTGTAAGGTGTTGTCGGTCCAGCAGTTGTTGTTTGGGTACATGCTCCTGGTTGTGTTAGCAAGTCATCGATAGCAAAGTCTAAAAAGATAAATCAGAAGGGTTTGTTGGTTGATTTTTCATATGAACTGCTCAGCGCATACCTCCTGTGTTGGATCCGACGATTGCTTCATAAACAATTGTATACCCGGTAGTTCGATTGACCGTTAGAATTGGTGGAGTATTTATCTCTCTGTATACCCAGAATGGTCCTCTAGGTTTATTGGTTGACCAGATCAAGCTATATATATCTAACTGTAGATCATGTATGTACACATTCAATTCAGCACTCAAAGTATTATTTAAATAGGACCAAAATGATATACATCGAATACCAATTGGCATAATTTCAGATTCAATGCGAGCTTTTTGTCCTTTCACTGATTGTTCACGATCAATCCATAAATAAAATCCTATAGACAAAATATTGTGTATTGCTTATAGCATTTAGAAATATCAATAAATATTTACCTCTTTCACTATTTGTTGTATGGTCTACCTCTAGTGTGTTTAATACTTCAGTACTGTGTGATGTTCGTTTCCAACTGAAATCAGATCTGATATTTTGGAAACCGCATAAACCATTTTCAAAATCACATGAACCTAATTCTTCGCATACACCAGATTTCATCTCGATATCATCAATAGCTAGAGAATCTATGATTTTATTGGCATTGTTCAAAATGCCTTCAAATATCACTTGATAAGATGATGTACTACGTATTGTTGTCTGTGCCAATCTCCATTGTTTGCCATATGTACCATGAATAGTATAAAGATTAGTTGAATTCAATATGTTGACAGCATCAATTTTAATATTCAACGTAGGTGCATTTTCCAATAGCATGTACCAACGTAGGCACGAACCACTTGTACTAGGATAATGTGGTGTTATAAGACGGCTATATACTGGCCCAGTTGTATTTTTGTCTTTTAATAGCATAAAGTGTCCATAGGATGTACTATAAGTAACATCGATGGATGGAAATGATGAATCAGTTTCAGCTTGAGATCGCTTCCAATTGATGGTGTTTGTGGGATCGTTAATATAATCGCATTGTTCACTACTTTCAAAATCACAAACACCTTTAAAGAAAAAATCACTTTAATGCTCAAAATAGAAGAAGAACAAGAAGTCAAATTTACTTGATATTGGACAAGGTCCGGAATTAACAGCTAGATCATCAACACTAATATAACCAAGAAAATTCTTACCAATAAGATTTTCTACAACTAATTGATATGGTTGGCCAATTGTTTGCTGATGATTACCACCTAATGATAAACTACCAAATAACCATTGATTGCCCTAAATATTAATAAATGACTGTATTTAACTATCAAATATTCATTACTTGATTGCCTTCTCTCCTCCATAGAGCTTTACCGAGATTTCCATCTAGAAGATAAAAACAAATTTTTGAACTATATGTTTTTAAAACAAGATCAAATTTACTGATTCGTGCATATATATTTAATTGATAGATATTCGATCCATACATACGATAATAAAATCGAAAACACTTCTCATCATTTGTACTAATCAAATCAGGACTAATTAAACGAGTTGTATCATTAAATTTAGCTGATGGGTTTGTTTTAAAATACATGTAATAGCCAAATGTTGCTCCTGTCGTATGATCACTGTCATCTACTATACCAGAACTCCATATCATCGCTTGTGTGACTGCCCATGTAAAATTTGTTGTATTATCATTTTTCCAATTACATGTGCAATTACATTCAAAATTACAATCATATATCGTTGGTGCTAAATGAAAATAATCATACTCAAGTGTTCTTAAATATACATTTTTACTTACGATAAGTTGTTGATGCAACAGGTTGACTTAGTGTTGTTGTTATTTTTTCAGCTGAACATATAGTATTCGGTGACCAACCAATATCATCAAGTGCAATATCACCAAGAAATCCGCCTCCAACCACACCGTCAAATGCAATACGCCAACCATACATGCCAGTTGAATTAAGATTATCCAATGTATGTGTTGCACGATGCCATTGATTGCCGTGTGCACCAGATTTAGTCCATACGAGTGTTGATGATGTACTATTTAGATCAGTTGATATCATTTGAACAAATACATTCAATGTTCCGATGTCACTGCCATACATATGATACCTATGTATGCATAGGAAAACCGTGTTTTGATTATATATTAGTAAAAATATTTTGGAAGTTTTACCAGAATGTTAAACATTGAGGTGTAGAAGATGGATATTGTAATGCAGAAATCAATCGAGCATGATCACCGGGTATTCTATAAATGCACTGTTTAATTTAGAAATAAATAGATCATATTTTTCACCTTGGACTAGATGCTTCAAGAAATACATAATAACCTGATCCACTTGTATGATCTTTTAAGAATCAGACTTCATTAGTATAAGAAGATCAAGTTTTAATTAAATTTTTTACCAAAGTCTGGTCCTGCATTGGCTGAAGATGTTTGTATATTTGTACGTGTCCATTGAAAATCAGCTGTAGTATCTTGAAAGAAATTACACCAGCCGTTCTCAAATGTACAATTGATTGATAAGCTATAATTACAAATCAAAAACAACAATCTTCAAAAACAAAAGAAAAACTCGTTTACCCAAGTTCAGGTGCAGTTTCTGATTGGCAATTATAGAATTCTACATCATCAATGCCAATAGCCGTCTTTTCATAAGGTATTCCATCAATTTCTTAAAGGAATATATTTCATAAAATTATCTTGCTTTAAATTAAAAAAAACCTTTCTATATATACCAATAAAAAATCGTCGACTTTGATATCCAATATTGATGACATTTTGTTTCCATTCTGGCCCAGTTGAATGATCTATATTCGCAATATATGTGAATGAAGTAAAGTTATCGTTTTCGTTTCGAATATACACCGAAATTCTACTCGAATTCATGGCAGTCTGAGTGTTCATATAGTATGAAAATTTTAATTGACATTCGATACCAGCTGGTCCAACAGTTGGCGAACGTAATGATGCAAATTTGTAGAAATTATTTGGTGGTACAGTAATATAAAATCCATTTCCAGTTGTATGATCACTCGATGGTCCCATATTGGTTGCTCCAGTTGCTAATATCCAATTGAGATCTGAAAACGAATGATCTTCCCAACTGCATAATGTGCCATTATTATTGTCAAATGTACATGTACCACATTGAGCTTCATCACTGCCTCCTGGTGTTGGGCAATCAATTTTAAAATCACATACTTTTCTTTTATCAATACAGTGACCATTTTCCACACACATAAATTGATCTTCAATTGCACACGGATTTTGTGTTGTAAGAGTAACTAAATTAAACTTCAAGTAAATACAAACTGGTACGTCAATCTACATGTAGGATATATATATATTGAGGTGCATGATTGGCAATATCGATTTTGTTTCGACTCATTCACACCCTTCAGTGTTTTCAAAAAACTGAAAATATCATACTACTGACCTGCGTTGGAAGTGATTGGTTGACCTTTGTAAAAGTAGAATAAAGATCAATATATTTCGTGAGAAAATTCTTTTCTTTGAACTTACCCAAAATCACAATCAAATATAAGGAAATAAATGTGAACAAAAATTGATTCATGACTCCTGTTCTCTAAAAAAAAGTAACTCCTATACAAAATACTATGGATGTCTCAAATAGAAAACGATATGAATGACATTGCGAATTCTTAATCTTTTGCACTTGTATCTCTATAGGTCATAATATGCATATAAGTTAAGTTGTCATCTTTCTCGTTAGATTGTTTTTAATGTCTTGTAAAACACAACTAAAAAGAGACGATGTAGAAAATGAGTAACTGATTCGAAATCCTATGATATTCCTGAATAGACTAACTAAAAGGATCGAACCTAAATGATGATACCCAACAAACTATATCTCAGAGAGCATCATAAGATATACACACCCTAGATATTTGGCAAGAGAACATTACAGTACAAAGTAAAAATCAATTTTTTTACGCTAAGTAATTGCATCACCTTTTCCAATCATCTACTGTCATATTGATACGAAGTTCATCATTATACTTCAGTAAGAAGTAATTTTGTTCATAAAATTCCAACTCTCTGCAATAATTCCTAGATACTCTACTTATTTTTCATCAGAGTTTGATTTGGCAAAAAATAGTAACAATAGAAAACAAAACTATCCTTTGAATCTTATATAAAATAGAACCAGCAAATTTTGAAATTACTACGATAATAGAGAGATAGAAACGTGACTGATGTCAATATTTATTTATCTTTTTCATAATCATGAGCAAGAAATATCTCTTACGCTTCTACAAAAACATAAGATCTTTTGTTTAAAAAAAAACGACAAACATACTATTCTTTCAAAAATCGTTTCAGGTAGATATTGCACTCATCAAGGGATAGCTTTTTATCTATTAACAGATATAGAAGTATATTATTGAGTCAACAACAGACAGTTTCTAGAAGGTTAACAAATATAAATTCCTTCTGAGACTTTTCATAGATGTATAATTGCCGAAATTAAAATACAAAATTTCTAAAACCGAGAAACTCTTATTGTTTAGCTCTTGAACATAGGTGAATCATGCAAGTCAAGGTCGTCAGTGCATATTGTAGAGTGTAAGTATGAGAGTTCGTGAGTATGGTAGTCGACTTTTCATGCAATTACATTTATCATACAGTATACTAGACCGCTAATATCTGGAATTTATCATCTCAACTAGCATGGTTTATATTTCAGACAAAACGGAAGTCCCATACTTTAATGATTCATTAGTATTGCCAAAAACTTATATAATAGTCTTTTCTAATTCGAGAATTTATACATGTAACACACTAAGAAAAGTCTATGTATGAATATAGCCGTTTCTGCACAGTCCTGAAACGTTTTGCTTCAATCTTTAATCAAAAAAAAACATGAAAAATATTCGATCAACATGACAAAAAGTCACTCATTTCAACGTTTGCATTTAATACGCGTTGTCTTTACTTTTATTATCATTAACTTTTATTAATCTTGAGAGTGTCAGTGCATCGAAATGGCTTCTTCAGCCACAAGCACAGTCGTATCTATACTTATGCGACCCCGATTCACACCATCTGACTAGTATTCTGCTTGACTATTTTCGTACGAAAACCATCATCGAATACTTTAATCAATAGCATTCTAGTTGAACTTGCCCTGCTAAATTTCAAAAAGTTCTTCAACTCAAAATTTCGCACAAAGAAAATTTCCTAAACTAAAAATAAAAGCTATTTCAACAGCCAAACATAAAAAGCTTTCAAATTACAAATTCTTGAATGAAATATAAATCAACATGTCTTGGATGCACTGTCAACAATCCTAATATACGATTGCGGATCAGTTGCACCTTCAGTTGAGATGATCAGGATACTACTATTTTGATCGATGCCAAATATCTGAGATGCCTTATCTGCATCAGTTCTTTCAGAAAATAAAGCCAAGAGGCCAGCTAAACCGGCTGCTCCGGACTCTCCTGATATTATTTCATCTTGTGCCAATAGACACATGGCTTTCTCTGCAAAACTGTCATCAATTGCCACGGACCCACTCAGACCATTGCGTAGGAAAGGCCATGCAAGTGGAGATGGTTTGCCACAATTGAGACCGGCCATTATCGATATATGTGGACCCGGTACTTCTTTGAGCTCATCTGCTTCTAGTGAACGAAGTACACATGCAGCACGTGTTGGTTCAACACCGAGAATACGTGTTGTATGATTCGACGAACGATAGTGACGAATGACAGAGGCTGCAAGAGATCCGACACCCATCTGTACTGCTACTACATGGGGCTGCTCCATTCCGAGTGTTCGTAGTTGCTCATCGACTTCTGTAAATATCGTTCCATATCCTTCAACAATCCAAGTAGGTACACGTTCGTAGCCTTCCCATGCTGTGTCGCTGATAACAAGATATTTGTCACCTGATATGTGAGCTGATTTTGCCACAGCATCATCATATGTTCCATGAACGATTTCTACTTGAGCTCCTTCGTCTTTAATTGCTTCTCTTCGAGCTTCTACCATATCATCTGGAACGAAAATGCGTGATTTGAGTCCAAGCCATTTAGCCATGCGTGCTACAGCTCGACCATGATTTCCGTCAGTAGCAGCGACGAGAGTTATATCGGTATCCTTCAATTGTACTTTTAATTCATCGAGATTAGACCACGGGTGGAAAGGACCGAAACAAGTCTCCAACTCACGATATGTTGCCCATGATGCTCCGAGAATTTTATAGGCTGGTAATTCGAATCGACTTGACTCATCTTTAACCCATACATGCCGTACGCCTAGGCGCTTAGCTGCCTCGGGAGCTCCTACGAGACGAGTTGGCTTGTACAACGGAAGCTTCTGATGAAATTCGAGAACACCGGCAGTCGGTGATATCTCAAAGGAAACCACTTTCGAGTTAAAGTAAGTGTGACAAGTACACATAATCTGATTCATAATGGACATGGAAATATATATATATATATATATCTGAAATCGAACATATCATAGATTGAATGCAGTCTGAAGAAAAAAAGTAAACAGCAACTCTCTTTCTTCAGAAATAGATAAAACGTATTTTATTCATTCGTTTGAAAACATCACACTTAGTTGGTGGCAGCATAAATGCTTTTAGAGTTCTAAAATTTTATCAGAATCAAACCTTGTTTTCTATATTAAGAAAAATAACGGATTCTCACTAGGTTTCTTGCGTTGTTTTTCGGTCGTAGGCGAGCAATGCTAGATTGTGTGAATGAAGAAGAAGATAATAACTAAAAGTCTCTGTCCTTCTTTGAAATATAAAAAATAAAAAGAGAGAGAGAGCTATATAGATAATAAACTCATGAAGAATCGACATGTCAAACTCTACAAATAGCGCACAATAAATGTTGAGAGAATTAAAACGTTTTACACATTTATCTTCTTTCATATGAAAATACTAAATTACTAATAATTGGGTAGATCGTTATACAAAACTTATGTTTACAATAAATTCCTCGCGATGACAAGAAAATCTTTCGTGAAAAAACCTTCTGAATTGTTCTAGTACTATACATACAGGATATGACGTATAAAGTTAAATCCAATCTGTCTTTTTTTAGAATTACTAATACAAGAACTATTAGTATATAAAGCCAATCAAAATTTTACATTCATAAACACATTACTATATGAATAAAATCTGTAATTTGACGCCTTTATCCCATAGATTTTCGAATAACTATTTTTCTTCTTCAAGTTCTTAATTTCTATTCATTTTTGCATTTCTACAATATTTTCTTTCGTACATATTTATATAATACTTCATATTTGTAAAGCAAGATTTACATAACTTTTGATTCAATAAAATGTATTTGTCTGTCGTTTCGTTTTATTTTATTTTTGTACTTCATTCTTTACAAAATTCAAACACGTGGTTGCCAGAGTACTGATAACTTTCAACTGCAAAGATTCATTTGACGCATAGCAACGCCTACAGAGAACACAAACAAGAAAGAAAAAACAACATAGAAAATGGTGAAACGCATTGTTACGACGCACATGTAGTACAATTTCAAGTTTATTGACTTGCATTCTATGATTTCTTTCACTAAAAGACAAGACTATAAATCCTATCAAAAGAAGTGAAAACCATGCGTCACAACTTGTCTTCACATGCACGAACCATAAGAGAGAAACCATGGATATGTGGTAAGCTATCTACACCTTTTCATGACTCTTGCGTAGTGATTTATTTCTCATTGGGTTTATTCCTTTTGATTGACGTCAATTGATGGCATATAAGAATCATACTTATATATTTGTGTTTGTCTCATATTTTTTTAAATTCAAATCACGTGTTAAGCGGCATTTAGCAAGCTGTTTCTAATCGTTCGTTAACTCTTGGATCTAAATTACAACTACAATTACTTAATTACAGTATCTAAATATTAATTATGATTCAACAACAAGAGATTTTCCATCACTTTAAGCATGGCCACACCAATAGAAGAAATCACTATTATCAGCACCACTGACGAAAAGTCAAGCGGTACTAGTGCATGATTGATTTAAGAAATGAAATTAACATATTAATATTAAAACAAACCGGACCTTTCCTCATATAGGAAATACGTGTTTAATATTCATTTCGGTATTTTATCATAGCATTATGAAAATCATGAGAATTCAATAGGAACGTGCCTGTCTTTGCATAACATATACAAGAAAGACAAAAATCTATTTTATTCAATATAGCCGTATTTATGTACAATTACGGAATTCAAGTCGCTTTTTTTTCTGTATACTGTATAATAAATGTGATACTCTTTAGTTCCATGCAAATGAATCTAAAGAAAACTATTAGTAAAATGAAAAACAAACATTGTTCGTTTACAGTGACTTGCCATAGCTGAAAGTACAGCTAAAAGAGTAATCATTTTTTTAGAGGATTTTGTTGTCAAGCGCACTTTTATAAATCTAAAATGTATCTCATGAAGTTGAAATAGTTAGAAAATCCTATGCTCAGGAAACTGTAAAGATTTACAAAATTACAAAGACTTACCCATCGAAGACGGTCACACACACGTATCTGTTATTCTGGAGACAATGATTTTTAAACGTAAAAACGTCGTAAACTGTCATGTGCACGAAAGATCCAAGATCTTAGATCAACTATGGTTGTGTAGATAATTGTTACTGGTCGCCTAACACAATGCTTTACAGTAATGCTATTTTTGAATTTTTCAAAAATAATGTTTTCACAATGAGAGTGTTTACTTTCCATTTATTTTCCAACTAATGACAATAATCAATATTTGCCATTGTTGGTGAGCCCAAATTGTTACACTCTATATTTCGCTTATGGTCGACGAATTACAGGAAAGGGATTAAAAAAAATGTCCTAAAGCTGATTCAACGAACGTAAATACAAATAATAGAGTCATAGTTGAAACTTATAAATCTCGTTTCAGACATAACCATGCTCATTTGAGACGGTAGGTATAGTTACGAATGAAACTTTCTATCGGAACGATTAACTTGAAAATCAATACTCACCCTTGTCGAGAGCTTTACACATATGTGTTTGGTGTCAGTATTAGAACAAGTTTTATAAACGAAAACTATTGATAATAGACATGAAGATATTGCCTACTTTTGTGTACAGCAACATTCAAATCAATAGTATTTGCCACGAAAAACGTTCATGTGAACGAATGAAGTTCGATACGAAAAAGAAGTAGTGAAATAATCTGAGAAGTAAAAGAGATTTTTTCTATGATACTCTTTAGTAAAAAAGAAAGTGAAATTTTTATTACTGATTCAAAGGATATAATTCTTATCAATGTTTTGCTTTGATTTTTTTTTCAGAACTTTTTCTTTTGTTATTGTGCGTTTTATACTTCTCGTGATCTGTCTATTTTGTTCGTCAAAATTGTATTTTCCGCTGCTTTTCAGATCACGTGTTACTAGATATCGAGTAGGGTGAACTTCAGAAAATTTTAATTTATTTCAACATTTAGTCAAAACTATTTTAATTTTTATAGAACTGCAAAAAATGAAATATAATATAATTCGTTGGATGTTGCTTGCGGAGATATTTCATGACAGAAGCTATACATGATTTAGATATAATGTGCCTATAAATAGCGACCTCTTACAAACGTTCTATGGGATGTAGAAGAGAGGCATGTAAATCAATTTGATGGTTTTGATCTTTTCTCTTTTTTGCAAGTTAGAGAATGTAACAAAACTTTACTTATTATTTTAAAATTCAGATAATTCATTATGTTAAGATTTAGTTTATTAGCAATACATCGTCCATGTCTTGTCAATACATTAGTTCGACGAACACTATTCGGTCGAAGTAGTTCAACAGAAAAAATAAAAGATGATTTCGATGGAGAAATCATTGAGCAACCAGACTCAATACCACAATCTGCTATTCCAACAATTTCTGAATTAGCTTCTTATAAAACAAAAAACTATGTTACACGTTTAGTCACTTGTCGTCCATATACACCGCCATCCAATGTTGAACAAATTATTTCTCGAATAGCGAATGAAACTATTGATAATTTCAAAGAAGGAACTCGTTCAAATGATAATTGGAAATCGATATATCTAAAGAATCCTCTGAGTAAATATAATCTATTAACACGTTGCATGAAAGAATGTTCTCATACGGTATCAAATATGACATTAAATGATATTAAAACATTAGAAGATGTTTATCAATATTTTTCAACATCTGTTAATGATACAAATGTACTAGAAGATTTACAACAATCATCAGAATTACCTAAAAATGTTCATATACAATTAGATGCTGTTCGTTTTACACCTGAAACAAGTACATTTTTTAATGAACTTGATGCATTTCCAAAACGATCGACCAAAATTATTGATTTATGGTATAAGAAAAAATATGCATCTTATCCCAAAAATGAAGAAGATCCATTTAAAGATAATATTTACTGATAGTTTGTTTTCTTTTCTTTTTGTATTAAAAATGTTCTTGGTCTTTTACATCATTAGTAAAAAGAAAAGCACAAATGTGCAACTTTGTTACTCAATACTTTTTAAGTAATGAAATAACAATTGAAGTAGCATGGACGAGCTGTTTTAATACTTATATAGATTGAAATCACTTCTGTGCTAGTGTGCATATGAATTTTTACAACTTTTTGTTTGTGCTTCATCATTTTTAACTTTCACTTGCAAGAGTCTATAATCAATTATTTATACACTTTTGAGTGTTGATAGATTTGAAACAATAATCTCATGTTTTATTTTGCATAAATAGAACAAATAGGAATATTAAATCGATGATAATCCATAACATGAAGAATATTTTCGACAATTTTTGATCCACCTTGGACATCAGGTTCAATGTGATTTGCATAATCATTTGGATCATTAAAAATCGTTTTAAGATCAATCACAGGAATACCAATCTACGGAAAGAAAAAATAGATTTAACATTTTATAATCCTTGTGGATCTTATAAATACTTTAGTAGATTCAGTAATGATTACATCATTCAGTGCGCATAGTCCCGTTTCACACATACGTTGTTGTTCAGGATTTTCAAAATTTGGATTATACATAGTACATACTGTTGCAGGAATCTTTCGAGCACTAACAATTTTTAACATTTCAGAATAATCCTGAATGTAAAAAATATGGCAATAAAAATAAAATAAACTTTTTTTTTATACTTTTTCAAATTCTTTTTTAAAGTCACTTAACAAAAGTAATCCTTCACCAACATTTGCAACTGATTCTTTCAAACGTTGCATATAACAAAGAGCATCATTACCGCCTAGAAAGAATTTTCTCCTTGAAAGTTAAAATAAATTCTCAATTCTACCGATTGAAATAAATAAATGTGTAGCATCTTGTGGTATTCTTGTTAGTTGACTAGATATATGTGAAATTGAATGACCATCAACAGCAACTGATGTTGCATTCCAACCTCGTTCTTGAGCTTTTATTTTAAGTTGATCGATTATCGGAAGATTACCTTTACCCACATAAAATTTATTATCAATTGTACTATCACCAAGTAGAACAAGATGTGTGAATGTATTTCCCATAATTTTTGCTTTATTGACGACATGAATGGGGCAATAAATATAATGCATACTCTGCTGATGACTCATCGATTTGCCACGAAAACTTCAATTACCTCGCATGACTCATACTTTATATCTCAGTAAATGAATCATTAGAATCTTTTTTTTTGTGCTTTCTCTCAACTCTAGCAAACATTATTTCTGTTTATATGAATTCAAACATGGAGATTGTAAGTCTTTCACTTGTTACTGTTTTTCTTTTCTCGTTTGAATTTCAATGGAATAACATTGAATTTTGGGAAAAAACGATTTGTTAGTTCTGTTATTAAGATAGGAATTTTAAAAAAAAAAGTGTTATAAAAGATCGTAACATTTCTATTGTTTTCGATCTTTCAAGTATTTGTTTCTTTTTTAGTAGGAAGAACAAAAATAAATATAGATACAAAAAAAAGAAAAGAAAAGGAAAAAGACCAGAGAAATATTTTAAGATTCCGTGGGTTGTAGTAGATCACCTAATGGTACAGCATGTTGCCGTAAAATAATTTCTTTATAGAGTATATTATCTTCATTGCCTTCGATATGTTCTTTATCTAAGTTGAAATAAAAAATTTATAGAGAAAAACTAAAACTACGTTCATGCTTTTACCAAGTCGCGATAATGATAGAGAATTTTTTTTCAGTAGAACACCAGATCCATTTCGTGACTGATGTTTGATACTATTACTCTTATTAGTTATAGTAGTAACTGAGCGTGAACGTGAATCAAATGATTTCATGTACCAATCTTGAGGATTTGAATCCGATTGAAGAGGTTCTCGTAAACATCTTTCAGCTAAGGTTGGTTTTACACGAAATCGTCCCGGGTTCGAAGCACGAATAGCTTGACGATCGGCTCGAGCTTGATCAAGAATCGCTTGGCACTATTTGAAGAAAATAATTTTTCTATTAGAAGCAAAATTAAAAGCAAAAACGAACTCGTTTCGATTGATAAGCATACGATGGATCAGTGAGTAATTCTGAGACTTTTAAATTATTTTTAATTGATTTCGATGCATGAGCTTGTTCGTAATAGCTCAAATTTTGTTGATATGGATGATCGGAAAATACACTATCACGTTCATAGACTGGATCAGTATATGGTCTAAAGAAAAATATTCAAATAGAAATTTTAAAGATGAAACGATTTTTTTGTTTACACTTTATTCGTTAATAATTGATAAGTTTGTTCAAGTAATCCTTCAGCTCCGCCATCTTTGCCATGTAAAGTAGCATCGATGAAGTCCATTGAAATAGCAAGATTTCTCTTTGCTATAAATTGTTTAACTAGTGTCCAGTTCAGTAATCGAGCATTTAGCGAACGACCATTAACAAAAGCAAACATATTTATTTCTTTAGGAAAATAGGCATGCAATATTTCTGCATAAGCATAGCCATTTGATAGATCCCTTTATGAGAAGAAAAAAAACAATGTGTTAGATAAACAAAAAAAATAATTGTCTAATTTTAGTAGAGCTTCTTTGGTAGTAAGTATTCATCTATAATTACCAGGTACTCTAAAAATAAAAGCTAACGGATGCCATTCGGTACTGACTTTTAATTTTATTCGCTCTTATAAGTCTACATTGCTTTTTTCTGTAAATAATCATTAAACTTTTGTACTGATACGAATTATTGCTTTCTCAATCTATGAAAATATGAACAAAAGATTAAAATTTTCAATTTTCCAAATAGTACTTTAAACATATAGATTGAAAGATATTATTAACTTGAATTTTGCCTTCAGCGTATACGCCCTTTTAAGAGGACAAAAGGATAGCGTCTCTCTCTTACTTTCTTTCAAGGAGCTATTGAACATTTTTCTCTTAAAGAAGAAAAACTGGATTTCTTTTTTGTCTAATTTACCATTTTGGTACAACAACAGGATATGTTAGATAGAGACCCTCGAGCCATCGAAGTATTTCACGAGCTGTTCGAGCAACCATATCTAAAAGATTTTTGTTTGTTCTTTCGCTTATAAAATCACATTAAACATATAAACGGCGATTTTCTTTCATTATTATGATACGTCGCTAGGATACGCCCTCTATTCATCAATGATTATCGGTCATAACTTATAAAATTTTGTTTTTCCTACTTAAAAACAAAAAAGATGAAATGAAAATACGAAGAAAAAACAATTCAATCTCAAACAAATACTTTTTTGAATGCCCAATCAAAATTTGATTGGTTCATAAATTATCTTTTCTTGTTATTATCATCATTATTCATACACAACTTGTTTTGTTTTTGTATTCAAACCAATCTCACCAAGAATGACAGAGCCGAACTCAGCATCGTCCGTCAATGACAAAATACCTTCAACAAATGAAACTGAACAAAAAGAGACAACTGAAATAAAAAATAGTAGCAGACTTTTCTAAATATCTATATTATTATTGTTATTTGTTTTTAAATTAGATGAACCGAACCAGGAAGTAGTAACTACAGCATCCACTGAAACTTCTACTAATGAAAATGTTCCTGAAGAGATTAAGCCTGAAGAAAAAACAGAAATACTAGGTTCATTTATTTTCCTGATAAATTTCATTTTGTTTATTTATTGATTTTTAAAGACGCATCACTGAATACAAAAGAGCCTGAAAATCAATCGAAAGAACCATCAAGTGAACGTCAATTTCAAGATGCTGAAAAAGCAACAGAAGACGACGAAGAAGCATGTGATGATAATGATTCCGAATATGAAGATGTCGACGACGAAGAAGGTGAAGAAATTGAAGAAGATCATCAAGCGTCAACTTCGAATCAGCCAGCAAATAAAGTATGAAGATTATATTAAAGGTTCATTGAGTTCATGTTTGTTTATCTTTCATTCAGGCTGCAGCCGATGAAGATGATGAACGTATTAATATAAAACCTCGTCGTTTACCAAAAAAACGTGATGAAAACGAACATTCAGAAGGCAATGAAGATGAGGATAATCAAAACGCAACAAATGCCAAAGCAAAACAACCTCGTCGAAATGACAAAGTCTGATATAAATATCTTTGAAATTTCGTTATTTTTCATTTTGATATTTCTAATTTTTCTAGAAATCAGATAATAATCGTGAGACAGTTGATGATGATAATGATGCTCGGAATCCAGCATATATTCCACGTAAAGGAAAATTCTATGAACATGATGATCGAACAAATGATGAGCCAGAAGAATCAAAACAGTATGTGTTCAAAGCAAATTTCTTGTCATTCAACAATAGATTCACTTTTTATTTTGAAGAGATACAACAAAAAATCGAAATCGAACATATCGAGATTCAGATGCTAAATGGCAACATGATAAGTTTTATGAAGATGAATCAAGCGCTCATCAATCGAGTTATCAGGGACGCGGACGAGGACGTGGACGCGGTGGCTTTAGGTTTGTTACATTTCTTCACCATTGAAAATAGTTCTGCGTTAATGAGAACAGACTTTTAGCAGTTGTATATGATACAAACTAATTTTTTGAACAAAAGAAATGCTTTTTTTTTATAAATATGACTGATTTTGTATGTCATATTTTTCTTCTGCTTACATTTATTTGACTGTAGAAGAAGTCATTAAACGGAAACATTGGTTGAGAAGAAAATATAAAATTGAGTAGATACCCTTCGTTATTAAATATTTTATTCAAATATATGATTTCAGGACTCATTGAATCTCTTATATATTCGGTAGCTTTATAAGTTTTAAATCTATTGAACATTTTCAGACGTGGTGGTCGAGGCGGTGGCGACGAAGGTGATGATAGAAATCAATTACACTTGAACGATTACATGGCTCCAAATCAAAGAGGACGAGGTGGTGGTGGCGGTGGTTATCGCCAGCAGCAGCAACAACAATACTATGAAGAAGGAACTGATTATCGTCGACGACCTCCCCCATTCGCTAAACCACGCAATGATAGAACAAATAATTTTAATTTTGAAGATTATAATCGTCCACCATCACATGCTAATAATCGTGGTCGTGGTAATCGAAATAATTATAATGAACAACAGGCACCACCTCGTCGACAACGACATGATATTGAACAATATCAACCTGAAGAACAATCAGCACCTCCATCTCGTAACAATCAACAACAATTAACAGCTGAACAAGCATTTCATCGTGAAAGAAATTTTACGAATACTCAATACCAGCAACAACGTAATGTACCAAGAAATAATAATAATAACAATAATTATAACAATCGTGATGATCAAAAACGATCAACTGGACAAATAAATGAAGTCAATCAAGAAGATAATAGAAATCGTAATCAACGTCGTGAAAATAATGAACCATCACGTCGCCAAGGAAAATTCAATAGGAATCCACAACAACAAAATGAACCTGGTTCTGGAAATTCAAATCTCTCAGCTGAAGCACCCAGTTTTGAACGTCCTAAACGTTATTCAAATATGCGTAGTAATGTTTCAAATTCTGGTCAACAGCAACCACCAGTTCAACAATCTCAAATACAAATGCAACCATATCAAGATCAGCGTGCTGGCTATTATGAACAAAGTATATTTACTATCATTCTTCGAACTATTTATCTATAGTCAAATATTCATTTTTTTCCAGATCATTGGCAACCAACACCCCCACCTCCAACGACATATCTTCCGCAACAGCAGCAAATGATGCCAACACAAATGTATCATCCACAGCCACCAATACCAGCTCCACAGCCTTATTTTGTTCCACCACAATATCAACAACCTGCACAATATGTGCCTATGAATTATCCGCAAGGATCTATACCTCCACAAGTAAGATAAAGTAAATACACTTTATGTTGTAAATTCAATAGGGAAAAAGAGAGACTTCCGTACTCCCGTGTACCTGCTTCGTATTTCCATCCAATAGAAAAGTAGATGCAACAGCTGCACGAAATGATCAGAATAGCTGCTGGAATCAGTTTGATTGTAGGTTATCGAGGTCGGAGAACTCGAATCTGGCATCAGTTTTTAGCTATTTTTTACCGGATGCTTTTTTAACAAGGGGGCGGGAAGCGCGACTTAAGTACTTCGAAGTACGATGGGAGTACAAGTGAAGTACGGAAGTCGTGCTTTTCCCCCTGTGTGTAAATCACAAGATTGACAAAACGTTTTGAAACAGAGAGGACAATACTTAGATCAGCTAGAATTATTAGAAGAATTAAGCAAAGACAAATGTCTCAAAATTTTTGTGATTAGCAAGAACAATTGCATTCCAATTCACTATTTTAATCACATTCACACATCTTTCTTTATTTCTAGCTTCAAGATAAATGAGATCAATAATTAATCATTTGTTTTACAAACAATGAAGTATTAGTGAAGAGAATGTAATCGAACAAATGAAGCCGAGGGGAATTCATCTCTTCGTTTGTAACTGTTTGATTTAGGATTGTATGTATCGTTATATTTATTCAATCAATGAAATTATTTCTTTGAAATGTTTTTTTTTGTTCTAGTTCATTATACTTCATATGAACAAAAATACGCCGTAAAAGACTATTTTTTGTTCTTTTCTTTTTCATTCGTTTTTGTAATGCGTAATTCATATTTCTCTTGTGTTCTTCGATTTAACTTTGACGGTTTTCATTGTTTAACGATGAAAAAAGAATTCTTAAACAAGATATTAAACGTTCCCCAAAAAATAGCAAGGAATAAATCAAACAAAAAAAAAAATTCTGTATTTTATTTGTCATTTCTTATATAATGGGTGTATGTACATACCCAATTGTGTGTGTGTGTGTGTGTGTGTGTGCGCGTATCTGTAGCACTGTTTTTTTTTGTTTTGTAAATTCAACACCTGCTTGAAATTGTTTGCTACTGAACTATTTTTTCTTCGTGTGTGTTTTATTTGTGCATGGCAATAATTGGTTGCTCTATCAATTTTCTTTTGTTCTGTTAGTTTTTCTGTTTATACATACTCGAGCTTTGACTATACGGTACATGTCTATGTCTTTATTATGATAATCACAGACTAAACGGGACTAGTCTCTTTGAATTTTTTTCTTGAGTTGATGTTTGTCTGTCTATTACTTATTTTAAATAGCATTTGCAGTTGGTAACACTATAAATGCTTGATTATCCAATTTCGATAGGAGACTTTAGTCATTGTCCTCTTATCATAATCATTAAGAAAGCATTTCTCTATATTTTTATAGCACTAATGACAACATCATTTAGTCTTAATTGAATGTTTTTTCAATTACCACATTGCCATGATTCAGTGTATGTTCACGAAAGGTCTCTATCAGTGTAGAAGTGTTCTAATAAAAAAAAATATAATAAATCGTATACCATTAGTCGGTTCGTTCTGTTCTTGTCTTGAATGGATATTGCATCTGTTGCACTTGACTTTGACTTTTTTTTGCATACATACATACATATATACTTATATACATATAAACAAGTAGACAAATAAAAAGGAGAGATTATTTTTATTCATGAAAAAAACCGCTGAATGTTGCCTTACAAAAGAAATATGTATATTTTTTTATTATTCAATTTATTTAAAATAATACGTAAGTACATAAATAAAAGTAAAATCAATAAATTCAATTAAAAAATAATCGCTAGTCGGAGGAGAACATCAACGTCGTTTACTAAAATATTTATTGGACGAAAATAATCATAATCCACTTGAAAGGCCTGTTTATAATGATTCACATAGTTTAACTGTAACAATGAATATGGCTCTTCAACAAATCATTGATTTTGTGAGTGAAAAAACGATATAGCTAGTAAACCTGTGAATTTTGATATATTTATGATGAAATAGGATGAGAAAAATGAAATTCTAGCAGTTAGTGGTTGGTTAGTTCTTGTATGTATTTATTCATATAGCCACTTTATGTTTTTTTCTTCTCTCTAAATGTATTCAATTCAGGAATGGCATGATTATAGTTTACAATGGAAACCAGAAGAATTCGGATATATTCAAACAATTCGTGTACCTAGTACACGTGTCTGGACGCCAGATATTCTTCTTTATAATAGGTAAAAATAACCAATAGGAACAAGACAAGTAATATTTTTTGTTTTCTTCGTTGAAAGTGCCGATCTCAATTTCGAAGGTATAATGAAAACTAATTTAATTGTGCAATCAAATGGTAGTATACTTTTTGTGCCACCCGCGATATTCAAATCAATTTGCCCATTTAATATTATTTCATTTCCTTTTGTAAGTTTTACAATGAAGAGTCACATAAACTCCGTTTTTTTCTTTTTCTTTTTCTTTTTTGGGATGTTCAAAATTGTACATTGAAATTTGGTCCATGGTCGTTTGATGAATCTGGTCAGTAGAAAAAGAACCGAGAGATCATCTCATTCTCATTACAACATGACTAGTTGTTTGTTCAATCTTTCCTTTTTTCATTTTTATTCAGGATTCTCCTAGCTTGTGTATGCAGATAAATGCGTTGCTGTTATAAACGTTAGTAACATTAAAGCTCAGTACTCTAGAAATGTTATATTACTATTACAATTTCATTGAAATGTGTTCTCCTCTGATTTCCGTTAGTTGTGTGAGAAAAATTCTTACTTCTACATAAAAGTTAGTGATAATAAGGGAATCGACTGACGCTTGTAATTCTGGCTATATCGTTGGCAGTTATTCTGGCAAGATCGTTGGCAGTTATTCTGGCAAGGTCGATTATTTTTGCTTAGCAATGATGAAAGATGATTTGTTACACAGTGTCATGACTCAGCAATTGTCCTATAAGAATTATTATCACCACTATTAAGGCAACCTATTTTTTTGGATGCGCTTTATGATATCATTCATATTATCTTTTCAATATGAGTCAGTATGAAATAAAATGTAAAATATTTTGGTAAAATGTAATCTATATTAGAAACGATCAGCTTCTTTGTTTTTATTGAAACTCACATACTAATATATCAATGAACAAATTTATAGAACTACATTTGTCTTATCAATACATACACATATACATAAAGAGAGAGAGAGAATGCGACGAAGTTTTGCTGAATCTTATGTTAGATATTTTAGTGCTATTGTCTGTCAGTTTTTTTAATATGTTCTAATTAAACGAGTCTAACCTTTTTATTTTTGCATTTCCTAGGTATTAATTTAACTAATGAGTCTAGTGAAGGTCAATTAGATGCATACGTTCAAAGTGGTGAATGGGATTTAGAAGGTAGAGAGAAGAAGGAAAAATCGTCTTTTTTTAATAATCTCAATTTTTTTTGTAGCCTTTGATGTTGTAAGAAAAGCTGTTGTATATGAATGTTGTCCAACTGTGTATCCATTTGTTTTATTTACCATTCGAATTCGTCGACGTACCCTTTATTATGTTGTAAATGTAGTTGGTAAAATATTTTCTATACTCATATTTTATTTTGATTTCACATAATAATTTGTTTTGTTTTGCTTTTAACATAGTTCCATGTGTTTTAATTAGTTTTATGACTTTACTTGGATTTCTTTTACCACCAGATAGCGGTGAAAAATTAACTTTACGTAAGTCAATAATGATTAATATTTATAATGAAATATTTTTATTTTTCGAATAATAGAAATTACAATTCTTCTTTCGATTGTTATGTTCAGTTTATTAATAGCAGGAATCATACCTGCGAGCTCAACGGCTTTACCAACTATTGTCATGTATTTTACTACTGTTATGTGTATGTGTTCAATGTCTGTTGTTGCTACTGTTATTGTACTTGCTCTACACCATAGAAATGCAAAAAATCATACAATGCCTGCTTGGGTAAGAGATTTACAAACGAATGTGTTGATCGTTTTAAGTGAAAATAGATTATATATAGAAATAGACTTAATCTATAGAAGTACTCGAAGCATTTCTATGGCATACGTGGATAGAAATCATCAAGAACAAGAGATGGATTCCTAGAGATTCGAATTCTTGGCAATCTGATGAATAAGAAATCTGTGTATTTAACATTGTGTAGATTTAATATTCTAAATAGAGAAAATGATGAGCAAATTAGAAATGAAAACAGTTTGATAGACATCTGGGATGATCTATTAAGTCGAATTTTAAACCGTTTGCCGGTTAGTACGCATCCAGTTACGTTGGTACTGAGTCGATAACAGGAATATCTGAAGTATTTGCCATATATGATACTATTGTTATAATGTTGTGCTCTCATTTGTCAAAGATTATTTTAAACAAAATTATTCGCGGAAGTTTTTCTGATAGTGGTCAGAGATTTGTTTGATTAGAATTATTGAGTTTCATTTTCTTGTTACAATATGAATTGATCAATTGTCATATCTCGGATTCAAAATCGTTCATTCCTATGTTAGAATTTCTTCTAGAAATATGACTACAGCAGAGAATTACATGTTTCTAATTGATATTAATGAGGTGTTATTTGGTTGATTGTTAGCTAGAATCAAGCTATTGAGATTCAGATTATTTTACTTTATGAGTTCATATCGAAAACTAAGCAAGTTCAAAAAGAAAACATTTTTCATGTTACTCATTTGGAAGAGATGAAAAATGTTCCTTTCATATTGGTAATTAAGAATTTTTTTCATAAAAGTCACCTAGCAAAATGTATTGTTCTCGTTATATTATGTGTCAATCTACCGGAATCAAAGAAAGAAAGAAAGAAAGAAAGATGATGAGATATTCATTTCTACACTTTATGAAAAGCACTACACAATATTCGATGATGATTTTCTAAATAGAAAACTATTTCGATCAATGGATAAAACAATAATTCAATATAAGATAATAGGAAAATAAAATACAAAACACGGCTATTCATCATAGTATGGATCGTCTGCTATTAGTAATTAGAGAGAATTTCTTTATTATTTAGTGAATCGTTATTTTTTTTACTGAATGAAACACTCAGAAATTTCTTTATCATATTTTATTCTTCGTAATATTCTAGATACATGTATATGTCAATCAATATTTAGCATGGTTATTACGTATGAAACGTCCAGGACATGATTTAAGTTGGAGAGCCATACGTCATCGACATTGCCATCAAAATCATTCTATGCATAATCATAAGATTCCTTTGACCCCGTTATTAGAAAATTCATCGAAATCATTATTAGCAAATATACAAAACATTGATAAACAGTTATATCAAAAATCTTCTGATCAATTATTGATACCGATGATGAATCACATTGAAAATTCTTCTGATAATCATGAATCAAACGATCTATTACTAGCCTATGATATGAATACTTTTCGTTCTGATATTCGTATCATAATGCATGAACTCAAATATCTTGCAGATCACATACGAAAAGAGGAAGAAGATGATGATACGTCACAGGATTGGAAATTTTCGGCGATGGTTATTGATCGTTTGTGTTTGATTTTGTTTTCTATATTGACATCAATCTTTAGTTACGTCACACTTTTCTCTGCACCAAACTTTTTTAAACTTCGATAAAGATAAAATAATAATATGTCTGTCATGTTTCTTATCTTTTCTTTTATTGTTTATATCTCTATGTTTGCTTTTGTTTTTGTATAAAGAACACAAATAGATTGATGATAAGTTTTAACGTAGTAGATTGTCTGTTATTGCAATCATAGCATTTGCTATTTTTATATTTCTTTGTTAATTGCTTTTTTCTGCTTGTTGACTAATACTGTAATATTAGTTAATCACGGTATGGTAAGTAGAAAAAGACGAATTCATCCAACATCTTAGAGGTTTTCCATCAATGAATGGTTGATTGCTGATTCATCATTTAGATGAATAGGAGAGCTGAATTTCCGCTCGAATCAAGTATGTTTGTATGGAAAATAGAGGAAGTGGAGAGCGAAACAATTGTTAACTCTATATAACATAGGCTCTTTTTTCCTGCATAACAGCTCGACCCTCAAGAGAAAATATGACAGTATGAGTGAATAGCTAATCGAAGAGAAAAAGAGTCGATGTCTTCAGAGAATAACGACAATATGTATATATAGTTGCAAGCATATTGCAACAGATCTCTTTACTTCAAAGTGATATGCTACATTATGCTTTTTAATGAGCAATGTCAGTGCTATTATTGGCATTCATTCTAGATTTCAATGTGAATATGACAGCTCATCTTAGTCACGTCTTCTTCTATTGAAATGCATCATGCCATTTTCCATTATCTCCGATGTTGTTGAACATAAGAGAGAAAACTTGTTAGCCAAGTGACTTTTGCTTCTCTCTTTTTTCCTTGTCTTCTTATTCATCATGCACCAATCATTAACGAGAGAAATATTAGAATAAGAGGTTATTTTGACGTCACTGCCAGAGTTAAATAGAGTATCAAAGCAAACAGAATAATTCATTCATAGTTCCCTACCATATAGCTAAGGCATTCGAGTAAGTCTAGATCGCACTATGTTATTTGATTCCTTTTAATGCCGATCGATACAATTTACTATATCGTTATTTCGAGAAGAAAATATATATAAGATGAAATTCTGAAAAGTAGCAATACCTTTTTTTCTAACCATCTAGAAATCTTTTGACTTGAGATCTTTGTCAAGCGCATTACACGTTATTAGAAAAAGTAAAAGCAATGCGATGAATAATATTGTTATTTGCTGTTGCATTCAGTGAACATTTTTCTTCATAATTAAAACCAAACATTTTGCCGTTGTTACAACCTAGATGAAACGATTTTATGGTTTCAATATGTTAATCATATTTTTGACAGAAATATAAAAACTAAAAATGCTAATCGAAGATGTGTTTTTGTAAAAATAGTAAACGTTAAAAAGACGAAGGAAAAAGAAAGCAAAAAATCGCTTTTGCATCTTTCGTCAATTATAAATTAAATCACTTAAAACATAAAAAGAATGAGTAGGAGCAGCAAAAAAAACTTTCCTCATCCATGAATTCAGTTTTTAATAATGACTAATGCATATTTGTCTTTCAAATGTCTAACTTTTTTTTGTTAAGGTGCGCAGTTTTTCTTCTCTTTTTTCTTCTCTGAAAAAAAGCTTACTATGATCATTTTTAATTAGAACTGCGAATGTCATACGAATAATGTTGCTGTATATGCTTTCATTTGTTTTAGATTCAATGTGATTAATGCCACGCATCATTGATAATCTGATTCATTTCAACGGCAGAGGCGATGAGGTAAGAATATATAAACAGTTTTTTTTATTACTTTCTATATGAATAATGAAACTTAATTTGCCTACAACAGAGCTTCACAATGAGTCGACAGGTAGGCGATTGATATATAGCTCGTTTACATTTATTCTTATCGATTTCTCTCCTTTATAACTGAAAAAAATTGTGTGCTGAAATAGAATACTTGTCATACTGAATTAATAGCTTTTTCTGTTTGCCAGCAAGATCTCCATCTTAAAAGTGTATATTTATTAATGAAATAAAATCTATCGAAAAATATCTTCTTTGATTTCCGTTGTGAAATATATGAAATAAAATTATTCCAATTCATTGAACCTGATCAACATTAGATACTTAACGAAGAAAAGTATTTTTATCTTTATCATTTTTAGTAACAGCATACAAATGTGCATTCAAAATAAATTGACAGCTGTCGTTTCCATTTACTACTGTGTTCGGCTCAGTAGTCTGCTCTTTTCAATTAGTAACATATGATCTGTTAACTCGATTCCAGTTAACAATACAATTATTGTATTTTAGAGAAAAATCGATTAAGATATGCATCTATTTAGAGTAGAAGAATGAATGCAGCTCTATTATTTTTAGTAGCAATCGAATAGAAATGTTGTTGTTGTATTTGTTAGCTTGGATTATTTTTCCATAGCACTGTCTAAGATATTTGCATAAAATATGTGTTTGAAGAGTCAATAGATAAAATGCTAAGAACAACGAATAACAGTGACATTGATCGATCGATTCGATTAGTCATATTTTCCGTCTATTATCAAGCAATAGATGTGCAACTATCCATCAAAACTACGAAGCTCGATCTATAGATGAAGAAAACATTCGATAAAAACATAGGAAATATTAAACCTGAGTAAATCAATGTAGTTGTATCTTTCTGTACTAATTCAACATTATCTGGACAAAATTGATGTGACTTTTTTGACTAGATAAAACTAATATGTTTGATTTTGATCTTTTGATATAGTTTTAATTGTTTCCCTTTAATATTTAGGCAGCATCGTCATCAACAAAAATGGGTCTTGTTAATCTGCGAGATCTAGTTGAAACAGCAGCACATCGATGGTATAAAGAAAATGAAAAAGATTCGATGAAAGCTAGATGGGGAAAAACTTACAATTGGAAAGAACTTGTTAAAGAAATTGATTGGAGATCATTAAAGTTTGTGTTTTACGATCTATGTTTTCAACTAAAAAATCTTTCGATTTATTTTTCTTCATAAAATAGAGTACGTCATGATCCAATTATTTATACTGATATTGATACTCCCGGTACACCGAAAAATCATATATTATTTCGTTCAACATTTCTCAATGATACAGATCGTGAACAGGAATATAATTTAAAAGCAGAACGACGTACAGTGTCAACATGCTCATTTTCAATATTTGAAGGTTATACAACTGAACAGTGTGCATCGTTGGAGTTAGAAGTTCCATTGCCGAAATGTGTGTTAGAAGCAAGTACAGGCTTTCGTCGAGAATATGCACTTGAACAATCAAAAGACAAACAAGTCGAAGAAGAATTAACATGGTCTGTTGAATCTAATATTAAGGTAAATTTTCATTTTTCCATAGATAACGTTTAAGGAGCGAAATAGTCAGTATCTCTATGAATATCTTCCAACATTAGATATAGAGTACAGAAGTTCCTTTTTTTTGTTAACATTTTCATGAAACCTATAAAATTGCAGCTATTTGCAGATATAGTATATTCGATCGAACTAACATTTTATTGTTTTTAGAGGCGCACTTGATTTTTATTTTAAAAACTATTCTACTACCAAATGCCAAAACAAAACGACAAAGAAAAATAATATACAATATTAAAACCTTGTATCGAAGAGATGGCTATTAGCCCAGATTCGAGCATGCGGCTATATCTAGATTGAATCATAGATGCAATTAATAATCCATTTCGATTCAGAATAGTTGGAAGCACAGGCAGTCTGCTACAGTATATCGTTTCGTCTAAAGCTGAATGTTTTGATTGAGCATTAATAAGTCGTTGACAGCGTAGATGTACAAGAGATCATCTCCACAGAGGATGCCAGATTTAAGACCAACCGAAATTCATAAAAAGGTAGACTGCGTACTTCCTCAATATTTAATACTTTCAAGGATCCATCAGTGCAAATACTCATGTGCTACTAGCTTCTCAAGAATGATATTTTCTTTTGATATTGCATGAAAAGTATACCTAGTGAAATTTATTCTCAGTGTATTTGTATTTTGATTAATTTTTGGGTTTATTACGATAATGAAAATAATTTTTATTCACTTCAATTAACACTGACTCCATCTAATCTCGATATTTGAAGAACATAGTTCTACTCCAATATTATTTTCACAGGCAGACGCTGTAAAACTTACAGAATAGTAAACTCGATCTTTACAGATTTCTCGTTTTCTGAACAAAACTTTATTTTATCTAATCAAATTGAGTAATGGTCGGAAAAAAGCAATTTTTTCTTTAAATTAGATTCCTTGTATGTCTCAAACAACAGCTGAATTAGTTGTTCAAGAGGATGAATATCATGGTACATTTGAAATCAAATCATACTTCATGGGAGAAATTCGTGTTAAACTTTTCAAAGATTCTCAAGATATTCTCACATTAGAATTTGGTGATCTTGAAGATTTATTTCCGCGTGACAAAGGTTTTCGTAAAGATGCACGCGGCATTTATCGTATTACACGTGGTGAATGTAAAGCACGTTTTGGTATATCACAAAAAGTTGAATTACATGCTAAACCACTACCAGGCTCAGATTTATATCTCCGTCAAGCGCAACAGCGAACTACATTTGATCAACAAAGCGATTCACGTAAGAATAGCTTAAAAGGTGTTCCACCTATAGCAGTACCAAGTACTATGCGTCGTGACCTTGCTAATGGAACAAATACTTGATAGAAACTAAACATTTGTTTATTTGCACTGCTTTTTCGCGTTTTTTTAGTATGTATATCACTTTACAGAAAAAAAGTTTTCGAAATTTATTCATTATTATACAAACAACTAACAAAACAAAACGATACAATATAGAATAAGCTTGGCTTCTTTTTTATGACACGATAGTTTTTTTCACCAAGATTGTGCTTTATGTATAAACCAAATCACACGTTCGTCTTTATACTAAAAAGAAACAATAGAAGAATTTTACTAAGCATAAGAGGAAAATATATACTTACTTTAAAATAACTTTTATTATACTCAATAAGACCATGAAACGGCTCTCTTGATGAATATTCATATTTTGTCTCTGTTAATTTACCTTGATTAAGAATAAATTGAAAATAAACTCGACTGAGTAAAGAGAGAGAGAGAGAGAAACAAAAACCATTTATTATTTATAATAGTAGTAAAAGATTAATAATGACATACTTTTCATTATATGCTGCTTTGGTTGTAACACCATTTTTTGTATTACGACTTAATGTACGCCAATTAAGATAGGTTTTCATTTGAGGAATTTTAATTGTTAACCGAACATAATTTTTTGAAAAATCCTGATTAATGCCTAAGAAAAAAAATGAACATCTACTTTTAGCAGTTCATTCTCTTACTTGCAGTAACTTGTCTAATTTGTTCTGAATTAATATTTTCAATCTCTTGATTTGGATCATATTCCGTTGGATGAATATCAACTATGTTAGCAGAATCAGTCATCATTTACTGTTCATGAGAAATAAAATTAGCAAATGAATAACCAAATTGATTACAATCTTTTGCGCAGTTAATTGCTCAAATTTATGAAAACAAGATTAAATTATGGAAAATAACAAATATGAATGAGTAATACCAAAGAAAAATAGTGTGAATGAACGGTTGCTATTGTTATTATGATTCAATGGGTTTTAGATGTGAGTCATTGTGTTCAATGGAAACTATAAATGGAAAATCCAACCAACGTAGTTTTAATAATCTATTTATTATTTTCTTTATTTTCAAACACTAAAACTTTTAAGTTAAATTTCTGTTATCAATTGAAATAACCAGAGCAGACTGAAAAAGTTCATTCGGGTAAAAATAGCTTTTTTAATTTAAAGTATATTATCTTATTATGATTATTACAAGGTAAGATAAAATTTTCTCCTATGTTCATCGGTGACATCTGCCTATGGCATAGAAATCTTTTTGAGATCATATTTTCCTGTTTAAAAGAGACATTTAATAGTTGATGCAAGATCATTGAAAAGGTATTTTTTTATTTAAAAGAAAATAATAATCAATCTGTCCAATCTCTAAGCTATACTCACTATTTATTTTTATACTTTCACTCCTTGTAGTTATTTCAAGTAAAGTTATAATTGATAAATTCATGCTTTTCATGTTGATATATATCAAGATTGAGACAAATATAGTTGTTTGTTACTTTTCCGATATATCACACGCTATGTTTCAGAAATAAAGCAAGATCATACATCAAATTTTTAGTAACATTCGTAAAACAAAACTGAAACATCCAGTCTTCATACCACATTCGCAGTGTGAATTTCAATGTATACTGGAAGATAATAAATAAACAGAAGCTCATGAATTATCACCCTCTGTTATTCTTCATGTAACTTTTTCCTATGAACGGAAGTGTCAAATTTCTCATTCCTGGACCTATTGATCGATACAAAAATTGTATGTAAAATTGTTTTTCAGGAAAGAAGATGAAAATTTTATTCAAAGTAGATTTCCATGATGTTGTTCCAATTTCAGTTGTTATGATCAAGCATTCAAATTACACTGTATTATGTTTATGGGCTAGCAAGACTCAAAACATCAGTCGATGAGAGTTCTCTTGAGAACAATTGAATTTCATTTACCAATCCAAAATATCGAGGGGTGTCCAAGGACTGAGGATTAGGAATTTCTCATCAGTTCCCCTACAGTTCCTTGCATACTAAAGGTAAAAATATGGAATATTCACGATAATTTTTGTTCTTACACTCATTTTTACTTGAAAAATTGTGAAAATCAATGATTTCATGCAAGAATTATTTTTAAAACAACAATATCGCAACTTTCGTGAATGGTGGAACTGTGAGAAAACCTATAGTTGATTCCCATTTCCTCTAGGAATTATCACAGCGGCACTGACAATTCCTCGGCACACTAGGAATTCCTATTTCTCAGTCCTTGGACACTGCTGCTTTAGTATGCAAGGAACTGTAGGGGAACTGATGAGGAATTCCTAATCCTTAGTTCTTGGGCACCCCTCTTATTTTGAAAGCGATGAAAGACAAATAATACATTATATTTGACAGTTTATAAATTTAATGTATCAGTCAAAGCCAAATAATACTCAAATATGAAATACTCTGTGATCTTATTTACTGATAATGCAAATATTTGTTCATGTAGTGTTAAAACATGTCCGGACAGCTTGATGACTTAATCAACTGCTACAACACAGATTAAGAAAAACTGTTAAACACTTTATTTACATTGATTTGATTGTACCATAATGAATTTTTTACATATTAAACCTATTATATCATAATCAATCATTTGAAATCATTAAACATGCATACATTAGTAGTTCGTTCGCTGCATATATAAATCGAGGTTAACTGTTTCGTTATATGGTATCAGTATTTAGAAGTATGGATGTCAAAATAGACTAAGTTTTCACTGAATGCTATTCTCTATTAGAATATGAATATTATTTTTCATTGGATTTCAATGAACTACTTGTATTTTTGTAAGAAAAGTAAACATAATCTGTTTCCAAATTTAACTTGCAGATTATTTCTATTTACATTCGCCGATTTAAATATGTATCTTTCATCTTGGAGAAAGTTATAAAATAGTTACCTGCGTCCTTATGAGCACACGTCTTACAGGAGAGAGATTCTTTCGAATTGAAATCCATAAAACTATATTTTCATTCTATTTCTGACAAAGGTTGAAACCTGGTACCATATATGTATTCATCTTTGTTTAAATATTAATTCAACCACGTTGAATAATCATTACACTGAACTACTAATCGCTGGTAAGCCATCAACTTTACTGATTACTACTGAACACTTCATATTTTCATCATACGTTTACAAATTTTTAAATGTGATCTATATCTTGTTGTTGATTGCGATAAATCGTTAGTCTCACCACAGTTCTATCGTTTTATAACCTCAGTAGTTTCATTTTAAAATATATTTATATTGTCCCAGAATAATGTAGAAGATGTCACTAAATTTCATCTAACGAATAGATGGCGCTCGATTAATTTAACAGTTCTTAAGAACAAAAATATTCAGTTATAATTTGAAAATCTTAAGTTTTCTACTGAAAAGAAGATGTATAATTTTTCTCGAGATAAAATACATTGATAAGATAGTAGAGTCACACTTTTACCTTTTCCAACATCCAACTGTTTGTTTTTTTCTAGTTGGTCTCGATATTTTCGATAAAAAAAAAAGAAAGTTCAAATAGACCATGGCTCTTTTGAGTGGCGTTCTACTTGTAATATTTTGTAATATTGTTTTATCAAGAACCATTTTATCTGATGATCCAATTTTTGGTCAACCCGAACAAATTCATCTATCTTATGGGTGTAAGTTAAATTTCTTGATTGATAAATTGTTTATTTTCTTGTTTATTTAGTGGATCCAACACTTATGGTTGTTACATGGGTCACATTAAATGAAATCAATGATTCCGTCGTCGAATATGGTCAAATTGATATGTTTGATAAACGGGCAACTGGAAATGTGAGTATATTTCAAGATAATGGTACCGAACAACGACGTGAATATATACATCGTGTTGTTCTGTATGATTTAATACCCGGACAGAAATATTGTATGATAAATAAATTAGAGAGATCAGGATATTAAGTTTTTTTCTCAATTTTAGTCTATCATTGTGGTAGTGATGACTATGGTTGGTCACCTCTATTTTGGTTTACTGCTATGCGTAATGATTCAAATTTTACTGTTCGTATGGCTATCTATGGTGATATGGGAAAAGATAATGCACAATCAATGGCACGCCTGCAAGAAGAAACTGAATTGGGTCATTTTGATCTTATTCTACATGTTGGTGAGGACGATTTGTTCGTCTATAGTTTCGGAATTCATTTTTTTTCTCCTTCAAGGTGATATGGCATATGATATGAATGATGATAATGCTCGTTTTGGTGATCAATATATGAATTCGATTGAATCAATTGCGGCTTATATTCCATATATGACTTGTCCAGGAAATCATGAAAATGCTTAGTAAGTTATTTTCATATTCATTTCTTATTGATATTAAGCCATTATATTTTGTAGTAATTTCTCGCAATATGTAGCAAAATTTAGTATGCCGTCATCATTCAATACATATGGTGGTGATTCGAATCATTTTTATAGGTAATTAAGTTTTTTTTTTTATAATGGTATAAACTTTGATTATTGGATCATATTTTTTATTTAGCTTCAATGTTGGACCGGTACATGTAGTTAGTTTTTCAACTGAATTTTATTATTATCTTCAATATGGTTTTGAACAAATTGGAAATCAATATAAATGGCTTGAAGAAGATTTAAAAGTAGTTCAAATAAATTAAAGAGATTCATTAACTTTTGTTCTATTTAGAATGCTAATAGACCAGAAAATCGTGCTAAACAACCGTGGATTATTACAATGGGTCATAGGCCAATGTATTGCAGTAATAATAATGATGACGAATGCCTATTTACCGATGGATATATTTTTGTAAGTTTTATTTTTTGCATTAGGAATAAAGCAGTCAACATTGAACTAGATATTTCGTTTTTCTTTTTCAAAAAGATAATATCTGTCCTACATGGGGCACTACTGAATATGATTAATTTAGGCCATAGTTTATTTCAGATATATACGATAGCCAATCTGACTGATAACAGTTCATCGCATTTTACTAAGTGACTAGTATTAGAAAATTTTTACTGAAAGCTATTTGGTAACGAAACAGCAGCGGTTGTCAAATTCTGCTCTATTATCTAACTAGTAATAACATCTGTTAATAATTCATTTTTTTTTGATTCGTAGGTACGTATTGGTCTTCCATTTATTCAAGAATATGGTTTAGAAACATTATTTGCACAATATGGTGTCGATGTAGAATTTTGGGCCCATGAACATAGCTATGAACGCTTATGGCCAGTTTATAATGAAACCGTATGAAGAGGAAAATAAAATTGTCGCTGACATTAAGAATTTTTATATAGGTTCGTAATGGTACCGAAGGTGCTTATATCGATCCAGATGCTCCAGTTCATATTGTAACCGGATCAGCGGTAAATTAACAAGAACAAAACGATATTTTCTATTGAATAAAGAGGTTTTTTTCAAAGGGTTGTGGTGAACGTCATGATCCTTTTGGTGTTCCTCGACCATGGACAGCATTTCAAAATAATGATTATGGTTATACACGAATGAATGTTCATAATACTACACATTTATATTTGGAACAAGTATCCGATGATCAGGTTATTTCAAACTTTTGATGCATAGTTGGTAAAAATAGGATAAAAAAATCTTTATATTTTTAGCACGGAAAAGTCGTTGACAGTATGTGGTTAATTAAATCGAAACATGGTCCTTATTCATATTTTTAAATTAATTTTTCTATTTAATGACAATCAATTCATGTTTTTCAATTATTTTTCAATTCACTTCAATAATGTCTTTCAATTATTTTTCAATTCGCTTCAATAATGTCTTTCAATTATTTTTCTAAGTGATTATTTTATTTTTCTAGATATTAATCCTCTAACATCATAAAATGACGAAAAAACGCCGTAATAATGGTCGCAGTAAACATGGACGTGGTCGAGTTCGTTCAGTTAATTGTACTAATTGCCGACGTTTGGTACCAAAAGATAAGGCTATTAAAAAAGTCATCATTCGCAATATAGTCGAACAAGCTGCTGTGAAGGATCTTAGTGAAGCTAGTGTTTATCCACGATATGTTCTACCAAAACTTTATTATAAATTACATTATTGTGTTTCATGTGCCATTCACAGCAAGGTTGTTCGTAATCGATCAAGAGAGGCACGACGAATTCGTACACCACTTTTGTAAGAAAATCTACCTAACAAGAAAAAGAATGAATTCATTTCGGATGTTTTAGACGACCACAACAAGCTCGTCAACCAGGTGCAGCTGGTGGACAAGGCCAAGCAGGCGCTGCTGGTCACCGCGCAGGAAATAAAGAGCCTTTACAACCAGCTAATATTCCTATTGCTAAAAGTATATTTTCTATAGATGTCTTTATAGATTTTAAAAGTATGATTTTTTTTCTTTTATTTTAGCATAAAACATTTAGCCATGTGCTCAACGGTGTGTGATGAAGAAATGCTAGCAATCATTGAATTGATTCAATGAATATCATTGCCGTTGTTGTTTTTGTTTCGATAATAAAAATAAAACGAGAAAAATTTCAACGATTTATGATCTATTAGAACGGTCAAATCGTTTGAATCTATAAATTTAGTTTTTTTTTCGATTGATCACAAAAATATAATATCTATTCAGCCTATCAATTGATTTAAATCTTTATGAGAAAACTATTGTTGATTGATATGAACATCGGTCGCTTTTAATAATCCGAAATGATCTTAGTAAAACGTTTTTTTTTAAATTTCTTCTAAATCTCAACGAGAAAGGAACGGACTATTTAAAATCATGGCTATTTATTCTGGCGTAAGATTACTAAAGGATCTCCTTAATGAGTGGAGGTCTCACACAGACGTTTTCTATTTATCCGTTATAATCAACTTTCATAGCAAAAGACACAAATTTGTATTTATTAATACGGCTCGTACTTATTTTTATGTCAACATAATCGTAAAATTCTCCTTTTTGTAATGAAGATAAAGCAATGGTCTTTACATAAATGATGTGTAAAATTACTGTTCTATAAAAACGACTAGTCATGCTTCCTAATGAGTATGATTTCCATAATGATAAACTTTGCCTCGGAGACATAGAAAAACAATTTAAGCTGCAACTATAAAAGATTCTGTTAAAGATTTACGGCATTTGAGGAGAAGAAATTTAATATCATAAGAAACTGCAATCTTTACGAAGATCTATGCGGGTCGAACTTGACAAAAATTGTCTATAGATCACTCGATACAATGTGCATCATATTGACAATCTGGTTCATTTATGCCAGGGATAGTATGAATAAACTTATAAAATAACGATGATCAACTTAGTTTTGAATCCAAATATCAATGTATCACTCTTTATTTTACAAAAATGTTTTAAAAACTTTATTAGCTTAAGAATTTCTGAACATACTCTACAATTTAATTTCTTGCGTCTAAAGTTTCCTTTAAGCATGAAACCATAAAATGTTCTATCGTTAGCATCGAATCACAAATTTATGTTGACATCATGTAAATTTAAATTGCGCTCTTTTACGAACGGTCACATTCACATCATTGCTGAGTTGGCGTTTGTTTTTAAAGCGCCTATGAAAATTGATTCAATCTACGAGTAAGATTTATGAAAGCTTACAAAATAATAAGTCATGGTTGCCGCATAATTTTCTCTTCGTCTACATCGAGGTAAAGATTTTTTGTTTTGAATCTTTGAAATGCGTACGTGTGCGTATTTATGAATTAAGAACTAGATCAGGGGAAAAAATAGACTCATCATTATTCTAATCTTTCTTTGAAATTTTTTAATTGCTATGGAAAAAAGGATCCATAAGTTTCGTGTCTCATCTTTGAGTTCCATTCTTTGAAAATACTATTAAACATGAATGTCTAATTATCAATTTTAAACGACTTCTTCTATTTCAATATAATTATCTATGCATTTAATAAATTATAAACCGTGTTGCTTGCTTTATCTTTTTTTTTGTTTAATCGTTTAGCTTCGTTCTGCAAATACGTATGTAGATGCAAATATGCGGAATTGACAATCCATGTATTCGAGAAAATTTTAACTCACCAACAAGTGTAAAAGGTGCACATTGAAATGCAATTTATGCAAACAAAAGTTTAAAAAAAATGCTATGTTGATCAAGCTTCAAATTATTGAAAAGAAGAGAAAATGAAATCTTCGGTTTTTATGTACTTAAGCAAGTCAGCAACTATGCACAGTTGAAAAATTCTTTTTTTTTCATTATGTCTTTTGTTTGAATCAAAGGTATAAACGTTTGTATCTTGATAAATAATCTTTTGCGATAAACATTTTTCAAGAAAAGTAAAGAAAAGAATGAGCACTGTACCTTGGGCGGGGCTCACTTCTGTCCTGTTGTCTTTTGGTTCTTTCGCATTTTCTTTCTTTTTTTCTTTTTCAAACTACTCATGTCACATTAAATTTATTCATTCAAAAATAAGTAAGCAAAACTTCTCGGGCTTTTTTTTTTGATTGGTTCGCGTTTTGGCTAAATCTCAAAGAAGATTTTTAAGAAATGCAGATAGAGTTTTTCTTTCTACGCCAAATAACTTATTTTCATAGAAAAAAAATTTTAATTGGCATGATGACTTCATTGATAAATCCTCTTCAAAGTGTAACAGTAGGATTTTTGTAATACTGCGGTTTGAAAAAATATACTTGAAAGTATTGATATATTTATCAAGACAAAACTATAAAAAAATATTTTTCTTTATCTTTTAGGAAATATTTTATATGCTATTTATGCGAAAATATTATCCTTCGCATGGATATTTTATTTTATTTATTGTATTATTTTCTCTAGCGATCTCAGTGACATTTTATGATGCAATATTTTCGAAAAACCTTTTTCATAAACTATTCTATAAAAATAATCAAACGAATATATCATCGAATGATTATCTTCGTGTAAAATTAAATTTAAAAATCAATGAAGCAAAGTGCGAATATAATGATAACTTGATAGTATATATTCTATCAACAGTAACTAATTTTCAACGAAGAAAACTTATACGTTCAACATGGGGATCACCATTGATCGGAACTTGTTTCGTATTTATTGTTGGTAGAATAGAAAATTCAAATTCAATTCAATTACGTTTAAATCATGAGAAACGGCAATATCGAGATATTGTACAAATCGATCATATTGAATCATACGCTAATGTTATTTATAAAGAAATCGGAGCACTAAAATGGTCACATAAATTCTTGCCATTTATTCCATATTTATTTAAAACTGATGATGATTTAATTGTTGATTCGATATTAATATCATCTATGGTACAAATACTTGTAACGAATTTAGTTAATAAGACATCATATATTTCACGAAACAGTCCAAAACTTGAAAGACATCTTGTAACAGCTAATCGAGCTACGCTTTTTCGTGGAGGTTGGGCCATGAACAATCAACCAACAGTACGCGATGGAAAATTTCGTGTTAGTGAAGATATTTGGCCAGATTCAACTCTTCCACCATATTGTTCTGGTTTTGGTTGGCTGATGTCAAAACCTATACGAAATAAATTACTTGAAGCATCATATAAATATCCAGTAAATAAAACAGTATGGATAGGTGATGTATTTCTATCGGGATTTTTAGCTGATGTAGCATATGTTAAATGTACACAGATACCAATTGAATATGCACAAACATTTTCTGGAAATTGTTCATGTTTAATGATTCAAAAGCCAATGTTAACTGTTTGTTCGTCGTCAATGCATGGTGGAATGGGAAATAATGAATCACAAATGTATTATGAATATAAAAAAGCTTGGAAAGTTATTCAACAACGTCATAGTTTTGTAAATAGGACAAATACAGATTTGAAAGATTGTTTATAGAGATTACTTTGCTTTCCGAATGTGTTACTATATTAAAAAACTTTTATTTTTTAAATGAATTTCTTTCTAATACGTTTAAATAGAATAAAAGGTTTTGTACTACAAAAATTGAACATTGAACTTTAGTAAATTATAGTAAACCAGTTTGATTCTTTAAGTACCATAGAAAAAAAATTAAACAATTATAGGAGGCGAAATTTATTCCATTTATACTATCAGTCAGTTGAATTTATTGAAATTTTAAAAGTAGTATTTTTTCTAATAAGGAAGCTCAGCTTGATATCAACCGGTTGTGTGAAAAAATCGTGCTAGTTTTACTCATAATTCAGCTTGTATTTCTTCTAAATTTAAACTTGAATCCTTAGTCAATTCTCCCTAGAAGAATCTCCAGAGAGTCCCTAGGGATTTCATTGTTTTGCGGGAACCCCTCGGGTAGTCGTCGGGTGGAGTGGATTAGGGATTACACTAGCAAAAGACAAAAAATCCATCTGTGTGAACCGTAGGGGTTGAGTTTAGATCGATTTAGCGAATTTATTTTCTGAACGGTGTTGCTCTGAAAAGCTAAATGAAACTTGTTGGCAAATTAGTATTTTATTCATCTCGTTGCGTCTGATTCTATCGCTTATTTAAGGTTCTAACAGAGTGAGGTTGTTGCAAGCAATTATGTATCTCTATGGTAAACAATCCTATGAAGATTTCAAATTATCTAAACATCGTCGTTAGTAGAAAATTCTACCAGAACTATAGACATTCTTAATGAAGAACAGCTAAACTCTCAATAGTCCATTAAATATTAATAGTAACTTTTTAAAATCATTTATATGATGACTTGACACCAAAGATGCCCATAGTGGCGCGGTACCAGCAGATTTTCAGTGGCGATGAAGATCTCTGAGACAAATAACACATGATTTTGTTCTCTGATAACATAGTAGGCACGCATGTATACACACAAATAATTTAATAATATGAACGAAAAACATACACGTGAAAAAAATCCCATTTGTCTACGTTTGAATTTGATCAAATATTTCGATGAACTGTTCAATATTATTCAATTCATTTCTTGACGTGACCTCTCTCTCATACAGATCGATTCTAAGCTTGACCCTTCTCCTATTGATAGATATATGTTTCAACATTAAAAAAGAGCAAAATAAACCATGAGCGACATACATATGATCTTTATATCCAAATAAAGCAAGTTTCTTTAAAATTTTTGTAACTATTGAATAGAAACTCTTTCGCTGTTTTCATTCTCAGGTCAATAAGTACGGTCAATATTCGTCAGGAAAACTGCTTTCAACTTCAGTCTTTTCTCGATGCCCTCCTCCCACATCCGGTAATTTATCCTATGGGTTCTACCATGGTTGGTAAAAATGGATCACCATAAACTACCGTGACGTTATCGTATGCTAGCGTTAATACACCGTATTCTGATAAAAAAATCTTTGTAAAAACATTTCGTAATATTATCATATTCTATCGACGAATCATCCGTATTACTGTCCGGTGTTTTAACGGGGCACTACAGTGCCCATAACGAGCCGTATTTTTATCGTTTATGACGAGTTTTGTTCGAGCAAAGTAGCAAAATCCCGCTATTTCCGAAGCTCCAAATTATTGATCTGAAGATTGGCTACACAGGTTGAAATCGTTCGGATTAAGTCATAGAGTTCGCTTGTACTGATTTACATTCAGCTAAATACAAATTGGCTTAAATAAAAAATGATTAAAAACTCTTACAAATAAGGACACGACAGATATTTTTTTAATATAAGAATAGCTGATAATAAAAAGTAGTAATCATATACAATTGACTTTTGTCTTATATTCTATTTATCTCCTTTTCTTCCTTTATTTTCTCCCAAGGATTTCACGTGGCTTATTGAACGGACTAGTCTAATGGAAAAGATCAATATATTACTATTTGTTTCCTTTCACAAAGTTATGATGAATTTTTATATTCTTATGACGTTGAAAACTTCGATCAAGAAATCTATCTGTTTCCTCTAATAGTATATTTTAAAGATATTTAGTCGTCGTCAATTATTTTTCAATATCTCATTAATTTCTGATTGTTCATTAAACACTTTGTTCTTCACTATTTTCCCTGTTGTGCATGAACAGTTGAAATTTTGGCAGCCTAATGAATATTGAAGATTACTTTCTTTACATGCATTATCATTGACGGCTCTGTTTAAATATTCCTCTACATATTTATCCTGATTCAAATATTATTCTACTAAACAGAACTTAGTTTGCTCTATCCTAGGTCGTGGAGGTACGGCTGGAAACGGCCGAAAAGCACGGGAAAGCGCTGGAAAGCGGAAGCAGTATTCCGGTCCGAAATTACCGGATTCTTTTCCTGTGGATCCCTGTTAACTTCCAGCCGGAAAGCACAGGAAACTGACCGGAATGTACAGGAAAAAATCCGGTAACTTCCAACTGGAATACTGCTTCCACTTTCCAGCGCTTTCCCATGCTTTCCGGCCAGATACGGTGATTTTTCCGCATCTTTCCGGCAGATTCCTACGGTATCCGTCCTCCGGAATCATTGACCTGGGATTCTCTTTTGTGTAAATCAAATTTGATGGAATTATATTTAACTGATCAGAGGATAAATCGAATTACAGTAGTGTGAGATATAATTTCGCAACTAAAACATAAATTGTTGTCCGTCTGATTCCACATAATGACTTTTCATCCATGAACGAATATAAGCAAAGCACAGCCAAACTATAAAACATGATACTCTCAAGTTGAACACGCACATTTATATTTAAACAAATATTCTTTCTTTTTCCTATCGTTTCGTTTGTTTTCAATGGGAGCAATAGAAGTAAATACTTTCAATTTCATTTTTCTCACTTTTAGATGAATTCTGGAGATAAAAATTATACGGATAATGAAGAAATGAACAAGTCTGAGCTGAAGAAGATTACATTGATATGAAGTCAAAGAAAAGATTTTCATAAGCATCTGCGGACGTCATAAACCTGGCATACTCAAAATAAATAAGAAGACCTATTATACACAAAATCTTTGTCGCCAAGAAATCAGGAAAGCAATAATTAGTATGATAAAAAATATTATTGCGTTGATTAAAGATATGACGATGAAACATGCTTCGTAGCGGATTACTATTGCTATCTTGATATACTTTTTGAGAAGTAAGTTTCTTTTTTTATGTTACGAATATTCTCGATCTGCATTTGTATAAATATATTAAATTAAAATGTTGCTTAGATTAAATTGACCCAGCCAATCAATATCTGAATAGTTTTACTATAATGTTCAACGTTATAGCTATGGTATGAATATGAAGTACACCATTCAAGTATATTCTACACCACATCACATAGAAGTCCTAGTAAATAAATTTCTCACTTTCATATACATTTTCATTGAGATGCTGAAAATAATATAGATATATCTATTACTACCTTCATAACAATGAATTTTACTAAGTAAAAACTGTTAATATATAATAGTTCTTTTCAGAAAATTGGCATAAATGTTCTGACTTTTTGACACATGACATTGTATATGCTATTTGTGGAATGCACCTCATGTTTCATCATCAATACGATTTACTGAAATATTGCATTTATGAATTACTTTATCTACTAAACATACTATTGGTTTGGGAGAAACACGAATCGATTTAGGAGGGTAATTTTGTTAACTTTTCAATTATAGCCTAACCATTGATATATATGTATATAGCCTCGAGCTATCCATCCGTTCATCTTCGAAAATAAGCATTTCTTAATTAATTTCAGGTGAGTAAAGAACCTCTCTTATCAGTAATGTTCGTATCAAGAAATAGTTTTATTCAAGCAATTGATGTATTATTTAAAATGTAGTTGTTAGTACTCTTTAAAATATTCAGCTTTTTTGTCATTTCAGGTTTTGAATTTTGAATACTGTATGATCTGGATAAATTTTGAGGATGCTAAAATCAAAATAGTCACTGTCTATTTTGACTGTTATCCTTATTGCACCTCCAACAGTTATTACATTAAATTAATAACATACATATAATTCCTAAAATTATCCCAGGACGAGCTTTACGACGTCCGTATACGGTGAAATACGGGCCGTATACGGCCCGTATTCTGCCGTATACGACGGTAAATCGCCGTATTTGGCCGTATTACATGGCTCCGTATTACGATCGTAAATCTCCGTGTCGTAATACGGTGAAATACGATCAAAAACGACCGTAAAGCGCCGTATTTCGCCGTATACGGCACGGAGATTTACGATCGTAATACGGAGCCATGTAATACGGCCAAATACGGCGATTTACCGTCGTATACGACCGTGTATGTTCGACCTGGGATAGCTCCTCACATCCAAATGCCTAAAGTGAATATTATCTAGAGTGCTTTCTTTTATAAATGCTATCAACTTTCTATTTCTTTCATAGTGTCCACATGTGTGGGAGACTCACCCAATACACTTCTTGGTAGTGTGGATCAATTGATTGCAGAACTATTTGATACATATCTTCAAAAAGTATCAAACTAACTAGTCAAAAATTTTCAAAAAATTTTACAACCTTTCCTAATTGTTCTACATAATTTGTACAGATTTGAAAATCTTCTGTTTTTTTTCTTCAGAATACGTTTCACTTTATTTCAATACGTTTTTTTGAAATAAAACAAATGTATATTATTGTATGCAAAAACAATTAGGCTATATCATCTATGGAAAAAAGTCACAATTTTTTCTCTTTGAATTCCCATTAGAATATCATGCTAGAATAGCGAAAAAAAAGTATCAAATTTTATCTGAATTATGATTCAAACTAATTCACTTTCATGCATGCATTAAGGTGTGTACACAGAAACGAGCATTGGCGATGTCTATTCGAGGGACACACCGCGCTCGCATGCTGCGATGCTGAAATGAAATGTCAGTGACATGGGCAAGCAGCTTTTTACACTGTGGTGGTGCGACTTTGAATTGCGACATATTTGCATATAGACAATCTTAGCTAAGAAATACCGCTCGAACGAACTAGAGAATGTGTGAAGACAAGCATGATCACCTGAAGCACCGCTCCTACTCTCGGACATCTCGGTCCAGTCTAAGTTTACAGTGAATCGACTTCTTTTGCTGAACATACATTTTGCGGTCGCCATATATCCGACGGAGATTGTGGCAGGTCAAACTGAAAATATTATGCGGACTCCTATAGATCCTGAAGAATTTATGCACAGGATAGTCTTTTTTTTGAAATATAATTCATACCTTACATAAAAGTTTAAATTTTTGCTTTTTGGTCATTCTAAACATTAGTGGCGTGTCTGTGATTATTACCTTAAATGATGATCAATAGAATCATATACGGATAAAGAAATGGGTTACATCCTAAATTTTTTCAAGAAAGTCAAAACGATATTTCAAATATCATAATTCTTGATCGCCTTTACCGATTTCATTCAATGATACTTTCTGAGTAGTTGCAAGCAATAATTCGCACTACCGACATCTACTTTTAGAATTTAACTAAAAAACTGTAGCAATTCATCATTCTGATGACCTTGTTCAGTATTTCAACCAATATAACAAATCACTAAACATGTTTAAGTGAATTGATGAACTAGAAAAAATCGTTCGTATCAAATGATTCAGAAAAAAATACTATCACTCATTTAGCGATATAAAAGAATGACATCATTATGCAAATAGACATGATTCATTTGATAAGTAAGATGCATAAATGTTTTTCAATCCATTGCAATTTTTGTATGACTCAATGAATTTTTTTTAAATTTCTACGTTGTTTTTAAGATTACATTTACACAAGCTGTGTTCTGATCAAGAATATATCCAGAGCAACAAACAGTTATGGGACAAACTAAAAGTTCGACTAGTCAAGATGGTCTCAACAATCAATCAGATTCTATTGCTAAAATCGATGAACAGGACACTTTCGTTGTATCAACACCCTTGTATGATCATCAACTATCAAAACGATGTGAACATATTGATTTTGATGTTGAAGCTTGGTATAATATTTTAGAATGTCAAACATTTCATACTGAATTTCTTTCAATTTCTCCATCGACTGCCAGAGCTTTTGTCAATTATTATCAAGCACGTTACAACTCAAAAAGATTTTTCAATACTAATGATTTACGATTAATTCAATCAATACAACGTCAATTAAATCAGAAAATATTCAATTTAGGAGCCAATCGATTTCAAATCAACGGCAATTTTATTCGTTTAAGTTCAAGAAGTCCAAAAGACGGAAATCCTTTAGATTCACAAAAACTAGTTCAACTCTATCATCAAGAATTAGAAATTTTAAAGGTAAAATATCCAAATGAATATGATTCAATTGAAGGCAAGGCCAATATGCAATTGATTGCTTACTCTAATGCACAAATGCGATGCTTAAAAGTTACAAATGAAATTGAGGCATTGAATCTTATATTATCGAGTGAAAGAATTTTTATTGATTTATTAGAAGCACTCAATTGTCAAGTTGTGCACGATAATAAAACTATTAATATTAATAATAGAAAACTCTACGATTGGAGTACAAAAATCATTATTCGTGAGTGGAACAATTTACTGGATCCATCAATGGAATTTCGTTGTTTTGTCTATGATTCAAATCTAACTGCAATATCACAATATAATCACTATTGTAAATTCTATCCTTTGCAAAATGATACTACTGTTCAAAACATAAAAAATACAATTATTCAATATTGGCAACAAAAGATCAAACCACTGTTAGATCCGTTCAAGGAAAAATATTCTAAGTACATCATCGATATAGGATTAATTGAAAATAGTTTATCTAATGAAATAGAATGTGTTGTGATTGAATTAAATCCATTTGCGCAAACAACCGGGCCAGGTTTATTTCATTGGAAAGCTGACATTCAGCAACTAATAGGACAAAAAGATGGCATTGAAATACGTGTTCGATCAAATTATTTAACAGATATTGATCGCTATGTTGAATTTATTTTCGGGGAGAATAAACTGAATACAGAAAATAGTTCATCATCAGACGATGAAGATCGTACACCCTATTTTGTATTCCTAAATAAAATGGAAAAACAATTTTCTTCATAATAAATACTTGCAATTTCTATTAACAATACATGTATATTAGATAGATAATCAGAGAAATAGCGAGAAAAAATGACATCAGAGTTAATGTGTAGCATTGTTAAATTATGATATCGTCTCATTAATTTCTAAATTATATTTCTCATATAAACAAAAACAATCATAAGAACAAAACAATCAATCATGAAGAGGAAACTAAGAAATATTAATAATTGTTGATTCAAAATAAGTTGAGCTGGCCTTGTTTTTTTTTGCTATAAGGCTATAAGTCACTTTCAATCATTTCTCCATTTTATAGGAAATAATCCGTACAATTTTCAACTGAATTACATGATTAAGTTCTTCGAAAGATCTTTTAGTAGTTTCAAAACAGAATCAAACAATTACGTAGTTTCACTCTTAAATCAATATAAATTCTATGTTAGTTTCACTGTTCTTACGACACATACACGATTAAAAGTTTGTTTATTTATTTTATTGTAAGATATAAAAGCATGTGTTTACTATATTTTCATTATCTGCAAAAAACAAGCATTGTAAAGTTATGTAGAATGAGTATTTACGGAAGAAGGTGTTGTGGATATTCCATGATGAGAGTATCGTACATTTATTTCACTTTGATCTTTAAATCAGAGTGTATCGCTTCACAGTTTCAGCATATATTCAGTTTAAATTTCTCAAGATCCGTTGTGAACAGAAAAAAAACCCATCTATTAGACTATGGATATCTCGTGTTTCAATTTTTCAACAAATATCTAAGGATATGTTTTCTGCTAATTTCACTGAGAACTGAACGAGTCAAAACACTAATATAAAATGATCATCCACTTGCATAGATCTTCTATTAACTTTGAAAGTATATATATATAATTATTTTTCAATTAATGTGTATGAACATGAATTCGATTTACACTCTGCAAAAAAACAATTGGAATAAGAAGCATTTTTCTCAGCACTGTGCAATAAACATTTCTTTTACAATTTCGTTTATTTCCGTATGTAAAGAAAATCTCGAACTTATTTGATTCAGTGTTTTTGAAATAAAATCCCATTTTGAGATATGATGAAATTCGATCATATAAACATTGAAATTATTCGTGAGTTTTCTACTGATTTAATTGATCGAAAATCTTTTCAATTTCAAGCAATATTTCGTCTTATTGATAGTATTGATCTATGAATAATATTTCATTACGTCAGATTCGTTCACGATTAAAGAGTTCTTCCGCAATGATGACTTTTATTTGCTGTAACATGTCGTTATAATTTATATCCTTTTGAACAATAAAGAGATGAAAAGCGTCCTTCAACATTTGAATCAGGTCAATTGAAACATATCATTTATGGTAATGCCGCTGCTTGTCATCAGTTACTGTGATCATCTGATGGTGATTTAGTGCACATTAGTGACAGTTAATATGTATTGCATGTATTATTTTAGAACAGAGTAAATTTTGAATGATTGATCTAACAAAAAATTGATTGACTGACTGATTGAAAATGTTATTGAAGATGAATTTGGAAAACGAAGAATATTAACTTTTAATCATCAACTAATTGTTCTATCATATCAAGGCATCACAGTGAATTGATAAAGAAAATTCTTCAAAACGATAGTATAAAATAAGACTGAACTCGATCATTGTTAATGATGACACTAAAATTAAATTAATAATGAATCAATATCATGACAGAATAGAATCACGTGGATCATTAATAAAGATTCACTAGCTTAAACAGACTACAAAGGTGCTGTCGAACTAGAAAAATCCTAATGTTATTATGTAGTACTATTGTGTTTGTGCATAGCATGCTTTATTTGCAACTTTGTTGGGAAAAAATTAAAAATGCATTAAGAGAAAAACCTCTTGACCAAAAGGTTTGAAAAAAAGTTTTATGAATTTTTCTTCCTTGGTTTGCCGAAAAGGCAATTTTTCTGGATTCACGTAGGTATAACATTTCAAAAAAGCTTGTCATCTCATCTCAAATGATTGAATACAATTCTTAGATCTGATCGAATTCTTATATAGGAAAACAATCCACGATAGCTATGCAATCCTAAAATGTAACAAATAAAGATTCCGTAGAGAGATATTCTTGCTATGAAATTATTCGTTGTGTGAGTAAGCATGTTTTTATATAATAAATCCTTTTCGGACGATTCTTGTACATCAATTATTAAACAAATTCAACTAGTAATGAGAAGATCTTTCAGAAAAAAAGAAACTTTATGTAGAAGTCGTTTATTATGCTTTCAACAAAATAATAACAAAAAAAAGACAAATTTATATTGACGCCAAAATACTATAAATGACATCCAATATTTGCGTATTGTTTTTCAACCACCGATCTTCTTGTTTTCTCATATTGGCAAGTAAAAGAGTCGATGGTTCTGATAATTTCCACGTTTGACCATCATATGTGACTAGTTGCCAATTGATTGCTGTTGTTAAGAATCCGTACACCATCTTTTTATCATTATTTACATCCCACATAGATTTTAATGTCAATAACATTTGAGTAAGTCCCCTTCCAAGTGAATCAACTATTGTTTCGACAACGAGTACATAACGAGTGGCTTCAATATCATTCATTTGAGTTACGGCAAATTCCATGGTTCCGCCAAATTGTTCGTCCTTACTAATGATTTCGATCTCACGTTTTAACATTAAATCATCATGATTCATCGTTCGTTGAGAGTAAGCAACCATCGCCTGTAAAATAATTCCGATGTTGGCTTTCACGACCGATCGATTCATTGGACAAATTGTTGCCACTGGGAATCCTTCTGATACATACAATCGATTAATCGGTCAAATATCTTCTTCTTCAGTTGTTCTGGTGCTGCCGTTGTAATAAATTGTTCAATTTGTGTTTGAGAATCATAAAAATCGCGTAGTTTAAATCCGAGAATTATTTCTGCTTCTCGTTGAGAAAGATTTGAAAATGAAACCATGCATTTTGCTGTTTGGTTTGAGTATTCGTTTATGTCAGCCATTTAATGAAAATCTAAGCAGCAGAAAAAATTGACATAGGATGTAGAAAATTGTCTTGTCAGTTACAATATTTACCAGCACTGCCTTGCTTGACTCGAAGTTAAAAAACCAAACTGTTAATTGTGTTGATCGATGATATTTGTTCTTTGTTTTATATCAAAAATGAACAGCTGAAATAATCGAGAAAACAAAGCTTTTTGTCTTTAATAAAGTGAATATCAATGTAGACCAATAATTCTTACTAGTGATAGAGGGCGAGAATGTCGGATAAGTTATAATCGCGTTCATCCCTGTGCTACAAATATATTTTATTTTATTTGATAAGATTTTACAATTATATTAGTTTTCATGTTCATTTTCGGTCACACTTATGTTACTTCGTTGTGAGATGAGTCAATGTATTGTATGCTATCTCGAATATAGAGTTTGCGCGTAGGATGTGAGTTTTGAAGATGTGTACATGTGCAAGAAGGGATCGGCCAGATCCACAAGCTTTAATTCAGATCTCGCAAAAATCTTTCAATCTTGATGACGGTTTGATGTTATAGAATCGAGAAAAAAATGAGTCCTCTACATTTTTAATTAATATACCACTTTCCCTGGTATCAGCATATTACAGAGATCGTCTTCGAATACCAACGTAAAAATAATCTCAGTGCATGGATATTTGCATAATTGATAAGGGAGTATTTGTTTTTTGTTGGGAAGTTGTAGAATACTTTAAAGTGAGTACTTATATTGGACCTAGAACATCAAAGTTTATAATAAGAGTGTGTGCAGTTTCAACAACAGTTAACAATTCATTTCCAACCATAAATGAGCGTATAAACAATAATGAACGAGTAAAATATGATAGTGTAATTGTTCGAAGTGATAATATTACCTTAGAACATAAGTTTTGTGCATTTTTCTAGTGTTCCTCGGAAAAAATTTAAGATCTCGTATGTCGTGATTGGAAAGTGATGCAGGTCTAAAATTTTCAATGTAGATAGAAAGAAATTTCTATGTAACTAGAACAATCTATCAGACCGCACAGTAAAATGAAAAAATAATTTTTAAATAAAGAAATTGAATAAACGTAAAAGCGCAAACCAAATCTCACGTAAAACAATACAATACAAAAGTATTTATTATTGATTCTTATTTGTTGTACTTGCTTTTGTAACTATTGATTGAAACAGCAAGAATTTTGCTTTGCATGCTTACAAAAAACAGGATATTGTAAAGATGCCATCGGAACTATTCAATAGTAGCAAAGATGAAGAAAATATCAAAGTATACGACTGGATACGTCTACAACGGTCTTACATAAACAATACACGTATCGATTCTCTCTTGTATGTTTTATTCTTATATATGAGATTATAGTGGAAAACTTGCCAAAAGCAGACAGCCACATATGATTATTATTTCTCTATAGAAAACGATTTCATACAATTGAAAATAATTATTCAATTAAATACGATCAAGATTTCTTTTAGATAAAATTTTATCTTCAAACACATATGTGTCAAATTAAACAATGACCATTACTGTTGTTAAAATCACTCATATTTTCATCGTTAGGTGTTATGCAGAACTTGATGAACTAGAAATGCTTCTCAACAATCTATCATCTCAATTACAAGTATTAGGTATGAATAGTTTTATACGTGTCGCTTGTATGTTGATCGATGGGAACGAATCATTTGAAACGATTTCCTTTATTTAAGCATATTCGATTTTAGAATAGGAAGAATCTTTTGATGAAGACTTGGAAGCAATTGTTTACCATGAAATATTTAATAGATTCATCGCGTTATTTTGGTTTAAACAACAATGACTCTTTAGAATTTCTATTGAAATAAACATTTTTGGCGACGAGAACGTTGTTGCCTTTTCCATTCGTCCACACAGGTTTTTAGAAAAGAATCGTTTTTGTAAGCAATCTTTTGTTTTATTCGCTGTTAACGAAAGGCTTTAGTAGCTTTCGGAGAAGATAACGAAATCGACGATGAAAGTTTCAATGATGATATCGGTCAAAATATGATGTGAATTAACATAGTGTCATGTCCAAACAATATGAGTATGACGCATCGTCTATAATGCTTTATGAAACTAATCAATTTATTGTCATCGATCTCTTAGATTTTTCAATATAATGAATCTTTCTTATTGTTGATACGATTGGTTCAATTCTCGATACGGTAAGTATTAACACAACTACTCAAGTCAATCGTCAACCAGCGAACGAATGATTTGATATAAGCTCAAGTTCTTCTTAATCTCTGTCACCATATGAAATATTTCGAGGTAGATTATTCAAATGATATCTTACCTAAAGCTGTTGTATGATTTTTATAAATATCAAGTTATCACCTGGATTGATCTTCACTATCTTAAAATTTCGCCTACACTCAATGTAGACATCGTCGACCAATTAAAAAGCCAAATTGCCTTTGAACAAATGTGCCATGCCCATTCAATCAAACAAATGGATAATAGGAATTATTTACGATTGAACTTGCAATGATTTGCTTATTTGTTTTTCTAAAACCTTTTAAGGAAATGAATGTTTCGCATGCATAAGGAAGTCTCTGATCATTTGTTATTCGAAGAAATAAGTGGTGTCAAACTAGATCATGTCTTTATCTCTTATACAGAATTGGATTTGCCGTAGAAGAATTCTATTGGAGAAAAATTCGAGATAAAAGTTACAAGAGAAATTTCAAAAAAAAACAATTGTCGACAACCTTGTTTCGAAAAAAATTGTGTACCGTTGTATTATATTCGCTTTATTTCCGTCAAATTTAATATCAATTCTATTTTATGTGGCTCGACAACTTGAACGAATGGCATATAAATATTTGAAACTCCAGACGAATCTGGGACGGAATTCGCTCATTTCGATCAAGTATTGATTCTTTGACTTGTATCAAAAAGAATCTTATTGACTGTGACAATCGCTTGCTCGTAAATCCGTTACTGTTTGTGTTATATGCTTGAACGCGAACGAAGTTTATCGAAAATTGGCTGATATGCGATTCATTGTAGAAGAAAAGCTAATTTCTGTCCGTCCGTCTATCTCGATTATTTCAGTTGTTTCTCTTCGACATGAAGAAGCAAAACAATATCTCATCGATCAACAGAATCAAGAATATTGTTTCCGAAATTAGATATGAACATTATAAACCGGCAATCGTTGTCAATCGTTTGTGATGCTTAGGTTTAAATCAAATGGCTGCACGTAGAAGAATCTCCGAAGCTAAAAGAAAACGCATGACTTCTATTTCAAGTGTTTCTCAAGATGAAGCAGAAATCGTACTTGAATTGAAATTCATTCAATTTTATGATGCTCATATATATGAATTGAACAATTTATTACAAGAGCACCAGGACAAATGAAGAAAAAGAAATTTGATCGATTTATCGATTGTATTCAAGCAGAAGGTCTCCCACCACAAATGATCCTTTATCCAATGATTGAATCGGTCGCAATAAACAATGTTGGGTTTATTTCAGAAGCAATACTTTCTTACTGTAAACCTACGATGAATCATAATGATTTAATGTTAACATGCCCGACACAAATCATTAGTAAGAATGAACAATTTGGTGAAAACTTGGACTTTATCATAATTCAAACAATCCACGCTCAGACCATTCGTTACGTACTAGTCGTCGAAGAAAAACGTGATGCACTTGAAAAAGGACTTACTCAACTGTTACTGGCATTGAAATCTATATGGGATGTAAATAATGATAAAAAATTAGTGTATGGATTCGTTATACTGCAGGAATCAATTGGCAATTAGTAACATATGATGGTCAAATGCGGTAATTATCAGAACCATCGACTATTTTACTTGAAAATATTAAAAAACAAGACGATCGATGGTTGGAAAAATTATGCACAAATATTTGGCATTTTCTACAGTATTTGGTCATCAATATAAATTTGTTTTTTTGTTCCTATTATTTGAATGAAAAATAATAAAGGACTTCTATACATAAAGTTGTTTTTTATGCAAGATCTTTTCGTGACTAATTGACTTTTGTTCAATAATTGATGTACAACAATTGTTCAATAAGGATTAATTATATAAAACTGTTGACTCGTATGACAAGTGACTTCATAGCAAGATCATTTGCATTCATGTCTATCGACTCTTTATTTGTTGTATTATCGGATTGCATAGCTATCGCGAATTGTGTTTCTATATAAGAATTCGATCAGATCTAAACATTTTGCTTAATCATTTGAGATAAGATTCTTTGAAGTGATATAGTTAAATAAATCCATAGTAATCGCAAGTGAATTTCTCTTTAAAACAGAATTTTTCTACAAAACTAAGAAGAAGAATTTGTAAAATATTGTTTTTGTATATGCTTGAGTCAAGAGGTTTTCCTCTTAGTGAAATTTTATCTCTGCCAAAAAAGTTCAAACTCAAGTAGACTGCGCACATGCACAGTAGTACCACATATAATAGCACTACGATTCGTCTAGTATGAGAGCACTTTTGTAATCTGTTTAAAGGAGAGAATTTTTTGTTGATGTTGAGATGATCCAGTTTATTCTATTATGTAGTGATATAGATCAATTGTTAATATAATTCTAGTATCATCATTCACAATAAATAAGTTTAGTTTTATTCCATGAAATTTTCTAAAGAATTTTCTTAGACAATTCACTATTGAGCCTTGATGTAATATACAATAATTCGATCACTTTTAGTAACAGCAGTTAGTCAATGATCAATAGTTCATATTATTTTACTTTAAAATTTATCTTCAATAATATTTTGAATTGATCAATCAGTTGTGTTTGATCAATCATCCAAATTTTAATTTTTTGTTTTAGAATAATACATACAACACATATTAATTGACATTGACTTGAACTAAAATTACTAGCAGATTCTGATACTAATTGATGAAGAACATTTGCATTATTAGAAACTATATATTTCAATTGAACTGATGCAAGTGTTAAAAGACATTGTTCAAATGGATGTAAATTATAACAACATGTTCCAACAAATAGAATTGGCAATTGAGGAAGAAAACTTAATCATGAATGAAGATGATGCAATGAAATCAATATCGTCAATAAGAATTTCACCATTCACAGATTGTCGATCGATGAGACAAGATATTGCTTGAAATCAATGGAAAAAATTACGAATAATTTCAACGTTTATGTCATCAAAGCCCAATTTATATTTTCTTGAAAAAATCACTAAATCAAACAAGTTCGAGATTTGCTTTAAATACACAAATGAATAAGATTGTTGAAGAAATGTCTACTGAATCTTGGTTAGAAAATGACTCTTACTCATATGTTTTTTTTGCACAATGTGAATCGAATTCATGTTCATATACGTACATTAATTAATATTGTTTATCTCATAACAGCATTACGTGGTCTTTATGGACGTTTCAATATTTTACTCCAACTTCTCATTCCATTTCTAATGCCTCGATGATATAAATTCATCGACAAACTTCATCAGTGAAATTCATAAATTATACTATTTTTACTTATGCTACATTCATTTGTACTGAATATTATGACATGGCTTTCTGTTATTATGGTAATCAAATATCATACGCTTTCTTTTTTTTGTATTGAATAATCATTCAATTTTGACACATAATAATCTTTTTATAGTGGACTCCTACTGAATCTTTACCAACTATTTTTCTTTCAAGTCAATTATATTCTTGTAAAATTCGACCATATGTTGCCTTTGTCAATATGAGTTTACGATAATTCGTTATATAATTCATTGCAAACTTTGAATGTCGTCATTTTTTTGACAGAGTTATCAATGCATATTTGTTGGGATTCTTTCTAATTAAGATCAATGCCAGAGACGAAGCACTTATCAATCAGTGTTTATGTATTAAATCGACAGTACCACTGTCGTGCTCTTTAAATGAAGAGATCTTCAGTTCGTAGTGTTTTATAAGTAGATAAATAAATGTAAGGTGGAAATTTCTTTCACGGTATTTGTTTCCATCATTGATTAATCCCTTCAGTGTTTAACGTTTGTTTGAAACAAGATGACAATAAGTAAGTCACATTAATATAAAAGAGAAAATAATTTCTTTTTAAATCTCTCATAATGATATGACTTTTCAGCGTTAGTTTAATTAAGAATTATCTTTGTATTAATATTATATTTATACTTTTGTAATTAGAAAAGACAAATCAAGAAAAAGCCACTGATAATCTTACATTAACATGTTTTACATTAAAACAAGGCTCTCTAAAACCAATTCATTTTCTTTCTTCTAGAGATAACAATGATTCTAGTAAGAGAAAAAACATTTATTAGAAACTAAACCATTCAATAACGTTTATTATATTCTTTATTTAAGAGCATTCTTAACTTATTTTGCATATCACAATCAATATTTTCTTAATTATGGAACAAGAACGTTCAATATCTTGTCTCCGCAGATTTTGTTTTTATTTGTAATTAAATTTATTTAAAACAAATGAATATAGTATTCGTACTCAACACGGTTATATATGTTCCAATTTATATAATATATACATTGTGAGAAACGCAATCAAAACAAATTCAAATAGAAAATTCATCATTACCAATGCAATATCTTTATTTATATCATACAATATGGAAATGTCAAATGAACTTGTACACAAATATCTATTTCATACAAAGAATTTCTTCAAATTGAATCTGAACATCATCAAGTTTGTTTCAGTGATCATTGAATGAAATTTTTAATGATAAATATTTAACAGCATTACGTTATCCGGTGGATTTTTTTGCAACAACATTTAATCAATATGAAATTCTTCAAGAATCATGTAAATTACATTTTATTTCCATAAATGATGAATTTCAATCGTTATATCATATAGTTCGCCTGCATCAGGTCAATTATTAAATGAAGATCTTTCTATTATAAAAGTCGAAATTGATATGTAATAATTTCGAACAATTACAATATCAAATTTTCTTTTCGTGTTCATTATTGTTTACGCATTCATTTGTGACTGAAAATGAACGTTTAACTGCTGTTGAAACTGCGTAATTATAAAATACTCAGCATTTTCAACACATTGATGTTCGTTGATTATAATCCACTGGTGGAGGGTTTGATGATATGTAGAAATCTTATTTTTGGGAAATATAAATATATATCGTATTGCCCCCCTACTGTCAAGTAGTAACGTAAAGGCATTAGGTGCCAAAACATTTGCTTGCTCCAAAAAATATAATTTTACTATCCCATGAGAGGAAAATAATAAATATGCAGGAAAGAAGTGTTGGCTATCTGGCTTATGACAGCCGGTCGGAGAGGGTTAACTAAAATTTATTTAGTTCAAAAATACAACTCACCAAGCATTGTTAAAATTATCGTTTTGATTGATGATGACAAGAATTAACTATATAAATAGAAAATTATACCTTAATAGACCAATATATATTAAAAAAAAGGTGACATAATAAGATTAGCACACAACCCTTTATTCAAAGCCTAGCATCCATACATGCTACTATGTATTTTCAATTTTCAAAAAGTGATGATCACAGTACCTTTAAATACGTTCTCTACTTGTTCTGTTTACTTCCTTTATATGCATTTCAAATAAAGAGAAAGGACGCTAGATGCACTTGAATGACGCACTAAATAAACACCATTTTGAATGGATCGCTTTTTATCTATACACAGTCAAATGATTTGGAATCTAATTTCTTGCTCTAATAGTTTGAATTATTTCTTCCTAGGAAGAACTCTATCAGTTCTATGCCGATGCACCTGTTTCTCTTCCCATTGCCACAAAAAGGAAGTACACGCTGTCAGCAAATAAATCGTTCGTAACATTATAAAATAGGCATGACTCATGTTCGTGACTGTGTATGCACTACTAATGGGATTGATCAACAAAAATAAGCTTTCGAAGGTGAAAAATATTGTTATTTTTTTAATATAGAAATGATGATGGCTAAAGACTAATATAACTTTATTCTTGTCCAAAAGTACAAACATAATGTTGAATCATATGTAGGATGTGAGATGTTGACGGAGAGAGAGAGAATGAAGACTCTCACCAACATGTCGACACCTATAAAACTAGGGTAATTACAATCTTGCGATAGAAACTCAATCAAAATCTTATAGAACTACCACAGAAACATCTGTTAATTAGAATATTTTCTTATGATGTAAAGCAAATAAACTTCTGTATGCTATTTACTGTTGATTATTATGGCTTCTTTCCAGTTCGGTTGATAATTTACAAGAGTCCGCGAAAAGCGCCATTTGCTTGACTGTGTACACATTACACTATCATAGTGTCATTTGTTGAAAATTTTTTGTTTTATTGTGCCAGCTATGAGTCACTGCTCGGTAATGCCAAGTGCACAAAACATGCCAGAAGTTCATTTCAGTATTACTTCATCCAGAATCATACTTCATTTCAGTATTACTTCATCCAGAATCATACTTCATTTCAGTATTACTTCATCCAGAATCATACTTCATTTCTTCAACTGTAGTAGATTGCATAAATACAAGCTTCATACAAAGGCTCTCACCATTTTACTTTTTAAATATTTTACGGCATAGTCCACAGGCGATGGCAACCGATTATTTATATCTTGGATGGACGGATTACGGCATGTTAATTTTTCTTCTTGGTAAGTTGTAGATTTTATTTAATGATACTTGTTCAAATAATAAACAAAATTCACGCATATTTGTTTCAAAGGTTTGTCAGCTGCAATCGGTATTTGGCATGGCTGCTTTGGTTCAAAACAAGCAACTACTAAAGATTTTTTAATGGCAGGTGGTGAAATGAGTGTATGTATACAATTAAAACAATTTGTTCGAAACTTTTAATCAAGTAAAAAAACTAATTAATAGATATTACCAACTGCAATGAGTTTATTAGCCAGTGTAATGTCCTCAGCAACATTACTTGGTGTACCTGTTGAAATCTATAATTGTAAGTTATATATACATATGCGTATACATGCTATGGCCAATTTCTGAATTTTCCCGGAGTAATTTGGAACGGACAAGAACAAAATTTCAATATGGATCAGAATATCAACTGACCGAATTGGAATTCTAATTCTATATGATGAAATCCGAATAAGACTAAAGATAAATTCATACAGTCATGTGCTTTACTAAAAATGGAGTGGAATAAAAACAAGAGAAAAAAAATCTAATAATCGCGATCATGCTAATAACTAATATAAAGATAGATCTGTTCGTTCCAATCTAATTTAAGAAATATTTGAGCTGGATTGAAAAATTTTTCAGATAGATTATGATGAATCACTTCATTATCAAAAATTGGAAATCTATTAATTCCTTTAAGTGGAAATTTCGAGAAAAAGCATTATAAAACAGTGTTTATAATGATATCTTGCGAGCTTGAATGTGTGACAAGCATCATCACTCACCCACTTTACATCCACGACGAAAACATTTGAGTCTTCATTCGACAAAGCACTATTTAAAACGATCTGGTCATATAATTATGCGTGAATTTGACTGAACTTATTTGATCTGCAGAATGATGAGGAATAAAAAAAAGATATTGTTGAATAAAGAATAGCGATTCTATTCCGATTTAAAATTTTTTGACTGTATTAATTTCTTTCCAGTCGAATTTTAATTTTGTACGGTCAAAACAAGAATTCCACTTCTGATTGGTAAATTCAAGCATTTGCCAAAGACATAATTATGCCCATAGCATAAATATATATGTGGTAGACCATTCTAAGATCCGAGTTTGGACTAGTTCAATGTCGGATTTGGGCAGCAGTTTCCGTTGAAACCTCCACTGCTACATTGATAGTGGTTGGATTAGTTTTTCCCTGGAGAACTGAACAAAGACAATGGTATTCCAGATAATACAATTGTTGATGGAGAAATTAAAGTAGAATTCAGGAAGTTATGGATAAGTTTCTATAGAAGAGCAGCTTCTATGGAAAATTATCCATAAGTGTTTGAGTCCATACTAATTTCCATCGTTGATGATTGCAATACCTGAAACACCATAGTCTCAACACATTTTACCAATAAGTATTCCAATTCAACATGTATCTGAGGCCTAATAGAGGTTTTAACGAAAAATTTTCTCTCAATCTGACATTGGACTAGTCCAAAGTCGGATCTTAGAATGCCCTGAATCCGAGATTGGCCTACGACATATACGTACATATATATATATGTAATGATTATATTAAGAGTTAAATAAAATAATACTTTTTAGATGGTACAATGTATTTGTATTGTCGTATGTATTAAGTTGATTTTGAGATTTTTATTTTTATGAAAAATAATTCTTTTTAGTATTTGCATGGTTTTTTGCAACTTATTTAACAAGTCAATTATTTGTACCGAAATTTCGCCAAATTGGTTGCGTTAGTATATATGCGGTATGATTGAACGATATAAATGAACAAGGAAAAAATATTTCGTTTTTTTTTGTTTTGTGCTTAAAATTTTAGTATCTTGAAAAACGTTTTTCATTAAAATTACGTATTTGTGTAACGCTAACATACATAATTAGTAATGTAAGTAATGTATAAATGATCAAAATAAATAAATGTAAAAATGTTATCGATTTCCTAGATATTGTTTATGTCAGTGACATTATATGGGCCAAGTTTAGCATTAAGTCAAGTAACTGGTTTAGATGGTAGGAGCTACAAATCAATAAATATGCATTATTTTTTCTTCATTTCAAAGTTTGGCTTGCCGTTATATCATGTGGGATAATTTGCACATTTTATACAAGTATTGTAAGTTATAAATTTATGTAAATAAAGTTTGTATTTCTTCTTCTTATTATTATTATTATTATTGACATAAATAAAAGGGTGGAATGAAAGCAGTTATATGGACAGATGTTGTTCAAACATGTGTAATGTTTATTGGGATTATTTTATCAATTATTTTTGGTATAAAATTCATCTTAAATTAAATGAAAATTATACAAACTAATTTTTATTTTTCAAAGGTTTTATTGATGTTGGCGGAATAAGTAAAGTATTCCGAATAGCAAATGAAGGACACCGAATAAATTTCTCAACGTATGTTTATTTTGAAATTTCATAATAAAACAATAGAAACAAAACATTTTGAGCAGGTTTGCATTGGATCCAACTATTCGTTACACATTTTGGTCAGTAATGATCGGTGGTACAATATATTCAACATCATTATTATGTTTTTTACAAACACAAGCACAACGATATATGTGCGTAAAAACAACACGCGACGCACAAAAGTAAATTAAAAAAAACATATTTTTTTCATTTTGATAAAAATAATTTCTAGAGCTGCTTGGATTAATTGGATAATGTGTGCATTAGTACTTATTTTATGTTCTATTGTTGGTCTTCTCATTTTTGCTAAATATCATGATTGTGACCCATTGAAAACTAAACTTGTTGCACGATCAGATCAAGTAGGAGAAAAACATATTTTAGAATTAAAAGACAAAAAAACATTTTTTTGTTTATATTTTATAGTTTTATCCATTATTTGTTATACAAACTTTAGGTAAATTTCCTGGTTTAACGGGTATTTTTATTGCTTGTATAATGAGTGCTTCACTAAGGTAAAATATTTAATTAATTATTATATCTCATTTAAAACTATATTTTTCTAACATAGTTCAATATCATCTGGTGTTAACAGTACGACAACAGTTATTATTGAAGATATTTACAAACGTCTTCGACCAAATCAACCATTATCGGATCATTTACAAGCAACAATTTCAAAATATATGTGTATGTGAACAAAAATGACTTATTTGCAGTTTTTTTCTTTTTTTATATAATTTAGCTCTTGTACTTGGTATTTTAACTATATTACTTGCTTTTGTTATGTCTTACTTGACAAATATTCTTGTTGTAAGTTTTTCTTTTCTATAAAATGAACTATAGTTTAGTGTATTTCTTTTATGTTTAAGATTGTATTTTCCATATTTGGTACATTAGCTGCACCAATATTTGGTGTATTTTTACTTGGCTTTTTCTTTCCACGTGTTAATAGTCGAGTATGAATTTATTTATGTTAAACTATCAGTGGCGGATCTAGGATTTTTGAAGGGGTTCGACATTTTTCCTATGAGAAAGGAGAAAAATGATCATAGGAAATAATCGTCTTGGGCTTAACCGGTATATTATAAATTCGTTTTTTTCATTAATTTTTGATGATGAAAGACAAGGACGATTAACTTGCCGCCTTCCCTGCTTATCTCTTAAATCTGCCACTGTCTAATATATATATTATTGCATTTTTCTTTATAGAATGCTCTTATTGGATTTATAATTAGTCTTATAGTACAAATATGGATTCTTATTGGTGCTAATTTAACATCAAAACAACAATTAAAAAAGGCATTACCTACATCGATCAATGGATGTTCTTTACCCATTGTACAAAATATCACATTTAATAATACTGATACTATTAATCTGAATTTAGAGTATGAAATATTAATTTCTTTTTTCTGTAATACTTTCTTTGAAACTTTTAGATTAAATACTGCATCGAACAGTATCTTTTTACCTCTTTATTCAATATCATTTATGTGGTATGCTGTTAATGGAGTTTTAATTACAACTATTATTGCTTTATTGTGTTCTTTATTACCCAGTACGTGCTCTCGGTTTTTTTTTAAATTGTATCAATTGATTGTTGTTTTAGATGACTCAACGTCTAATCATGACGATGAACCGATCGATCCATCTGTCTTGATATCATGTCGAAAAGCTTTCTGCTGTTGTTTTGTTACCCAAAACATGATGGGAGACCCGGAAGTATGTAAAGTAATGAAGGTTGTATTTTTCTACCATATGCACAATTTTAGAATGTTCCTTCAAACGATCATATAGACAAATCGGAAGTTAATGGTAGAAAGTATGAAGGTCCAAATGAACGAGATGACTCTGAACTTATGCTATCTCCGACAGATATTCAAATGCTATAGAGTTCTTTATCATTTTCCTTTGTTTTTGTTTGTTTTATTCAATATGAAACATGAAGAAGACGATATTTGAAACTATTATCCATCTATACCGACGATATATTTCTGTAGTTGTGGAGTAGTCGCTAGCGCGCACTATTTTCGTTTTTTTTTATGACAGATAAATCAAATACTTACCGATACACTCCGTATAATTCAAGATTTTTGGACCCCCACCCATATCGCATCTGAATTCCTAAGATCAACGACATTTTTTGAGTTTATATTCGGTGATCACTTTCAGGATGCGAGATATACGTATTGATTCTATATATTCTGTGCCTGACGTACCCTTCGTGTTGATCAGGATAATATGCTTTTTAGATCTTTCCACGCGTTTGCTTGATTTTCTGCTAGTAAAAATATTGGGGTATGGTGCGTGCCGGTGTGGGTGGGTGTACATGTGCCTATGGTTATTAGCAACACCCACACCCACATCCACTACCTTCGCCTTTCACAGAACTGCAGGCCTCAATTGCCGATATTCTCCCAGGGTCGGTCTCGAGAGGTAAGCCCTCTCTGTCCGAAAAATATGAAACAGATTTAGCCACAATACTCATTTTCGAAGAAGTCTTCTATGATCTTTTACCTAATGGTCGTTTCATCTCGTCTCTTGTCGCATTGAACTTTACTTGTTCACTTTTGGATCCGGCTGATGTACGATTGATAGCACATGCACGACAGATCTATGTATTTGATATGCATGAATATTCATCGATTAACGATGTACCTATGAAAAGCGATGATGAGGTAGTCTATCCAAACGCCGATCTGTCGACTAGACGACATTTTGAAATCCGGGCCGACTTAAGTTTACTCTCGGATCAAAACTATTTTCATGCCAATTTTAAACGGAAGTTTTTCATGCCAAATGGAACAACAAGTGAACCACGGGTGACATTTGTGTTCAATGGAAAGCATGAGAGACAATTTCAGTAGAATGAATACTACCGACGACAGGCAAATCGAACAATTTTATGAAATTGTAGATTTGAAGCACAGCAATAAACATACTAGAAACACTAAATCACACATGCTTGGATAGTGTTGTTCACAGCTTTTCAATCCCTTGGCATTATATTTTGTATCAGATAGTTTATGTTCAAACTATCTGGTCTAGATAATAAGTATGTTTATTTTTGTTCCGAACATTAAAATAGTCGTTGTTCAACTTTGATATTTGTTCTGCATCAGCATCATCATCGATGATAACCTCTTAAGACATCCCAGGTCGAACAGTACGGTCCGTATACGGTCATTGACGGTTACTTTACGACTATTTTACGGGTGAAATTTTGCCGTAATATCTGGCGCAGTAATACGGACCGTATTATCATGAGAGTATGGAGCACAAACAGCCATAAACCATGAAAATTCAGTCCCGTTTACAGTGCCGTATTACTGCGCCAGGTATTACGGGCAAATACGACCTATTTACTGCCGTAAAGATACCGTTTGACGTCGTTTACCGTCGACAAACAGGCCGTAAACGAATCCGTTTTGATCAACCTGGGATTGTCTGTGTTCTCAAAGTGAAGAGAAAAGTAGGGTAAGATAAAGTCAATATTTGATTAGAAGAAACATTAAGATCTTTTTGGATTGATATCGTCAGTCCGATAAACGCTCTGATCGTTGTTCTATGTCTATATTGTCGGATACAGAAGTTTCTTGTTGGATGAATGACATATTGTACAATATATAGAAATCAAAGTGACCACATGAGCAATGAAATGAAGGCAATTAATTGAGAAGATCTAATTGTCATATGACTTTGGTCATTGTTTACATGAATTATAGGCAACAGAACGCTTCTAATGTAGGGGAGGCTCAAGTTTTGTTTTGAAAATAACGAGGGAGAGTCGGCATTAGACGGAGAAAGCAGCTTTTTAATTTCTTGGTTATAACTTTCATTCAAAACATCTTCTTCAGTGACCCATTTGCACATCTTCAGATTGTAGATAAGAACTGTACTTATTGAGTTTTTAAAAGCAGAAGTTATTCTTCAAGTTATCACGTAAATAGATTTAAGCGATGCAAGAGTAACACCTAAAAAGGATAAAACAGATTCAGTTACGAATTGTTTTGAATTAGTAGCAATTGCTTTTTCATCCGTTACTGATAGATACTAATCAAGATATTTTTATTATCTTGCAAGTCGTTTACAACGATCAACTTATTCATGAAACATATCAAAATTTAAATACATTCGAAAGTGATGATGACGTCTCTTGTTTTGATAGGTAATAAGCATCACACGGTATCAAAGTAAAATAATATTTTTCATATCAAATATATATATTACTGTCAAAGATAACTGATTTTTCATTAATTATTCTTACAAGTCAGTTTGTGTTTCTGATTGCAAAATGTATTGGTGGATCATCTGTTTGACTGGCTTGCTTTTCATTAGTTCTATCTCAATTGTTCAATGTCAACTTGATGATAATGAAGAGGGAGACTTTCTTTCAAGTGTTCTAGATGAAAACGTACGGATGATGCATCAACCGATACACTTTAGAATATTCTAATGTGTAAGTAAATCATTACATTTAAATCTTTGAATGTTTAACAACCTTTGGCAATTGTTACAAAATCTAATTTCCTATTGGAATCGAAATAGAATGATGTATGCATGAAAGGGTTGAATTCTCTCTCTCTCTTGTCAGTTAATAATCCTATGAAACAACAGAATATCTAAATTGACTTCCACAGGTAACAAGTCATGAATGGACGAGTTCGATGCATATGCTGATGATCTAGCATATAGTAAACGTGCAAGTGGTATCAGTTGTACACGTCAAATCGACAGTAGTACATGTGGTCGACCAATAATTGCCCCGAAACTTACAGAATGTATTTATGGTGGTTCAGAAGAAATATCACACTCATGGTCTTGGGTAGGGTTTTTGTTTTAATCAAACAAATAAATTGTTAAAAATTGAATCTTTCTTTTATAACAAACTTTTTATCAAGAAGAAAAACCATGTGCGAACAATAAAAAGTGTTACGGAGTTTGTGATGGTATATTGCTCAATTCATGTTATGCTCTGATGGCTGCACATTGCATTAACAATAAAACCAATCCTGGAGCGATAACTGTTGTTGCTGGTCTTCATAATAAATAACTTGTTTCAGAGAGTCTGCGTCGACAATTCTTGCCGGTTAGTGCAGTCATTGTGCATCCAGGTTGGAATTCAGACAAATTGGAAAATGGCCAACCTCATCATGTATTAAAACAAATTCCGGTTAAAGTGATCGGCAGCTGTGAAAAGTATCGGCGACAAATTAATACTGAACAGCAAATCTGTCTTGGATATTGAGCAAAAGGCTTTTTAGCATATAAAGGCGATAGTGGCGGTTCAGCTATGCAAAAACATGGCAGTCAATGAGTTATAGAATGTGTAGCTAGTTATGTCAGCGATTGTAAAACAGAAAAAGATTTGCCACCAAATGTCTATGTTCGAGTCTCCGCCTATTTGCCTTGGATCAAGAGTATGATTAATAATTGATATGCATAATTTTTTTCTTTTGTCTTATAACAGTAACATTGAATTTTATATTACGATAAACTTGTGTTCACTACAAGCTCGCAATAATCGAATTATCTAGCTATAACCACCATCGAGAAAATGAATTTTTGCTTCATATTTTTATCTATCAGTCGTTATCTATGCAGAGCGGAGTCTAGAAGAATTATTAAAAGATAAGAGAAAATAGCAGCTAAAATTGACACAAAGAAAATGTAGTGTTATCAGGCTAGAAAACAGAAAGAATGAATTATTTGTAAGAAAATAACAGGTAGGGTAAGTCGTAAGCATGTCTTTTAACAATAACACACGATTCGGTGTGAGGACATCAGTAGGAAATTCGGTATAAACTTCAGAATCATACATGTGATGGTCATAACTTGTTACAGTGCTATGATGTATCGTCACAGAATAGAACATTGCATAGACAATTCATCGTATAGACAAAAGTTCGAAACGATTTTGGAGTATTAATTTGAAGTGTGACTATTAGTGCAGCCCATGGTATGTGTCTATGAATATAGATGTAGATACAGGACAGCTTAACTTGAGGTGGAATTGGCAATCGGATAGTCAATATTTAGTAGAGCTCCTTTTTAAAGGCTCTACATGAGCACCCACACCCTCAAGATCGAATTGAACAGTCGAATATTGTGAAAATTGATAATTGTAAAGAGAAAAAATGGATTTACGTTGTAGAAAATAACACTATAAAACATGTCTTTGTTTTAATTTTCAGATATTATTCGTTTTAATACTCGATAAAGAATCTTCTTTCTAATTAAACATGGCCATAGCAACAGGCGGAGGAGAAGAAGAAGCAACAATACAACGCATATTACGCATTACTGACGTTGCACAGGAATCACTTGAAATTCTTGCACCCATAGGTGGTTATTCCAGTGTACCTCTTGTTTCGCTTGAAGAAGCAGTCAAACCACTTGTTCCTATTCTACCTGATGTTCAAAGTAATGCATACGCCGCTAAATTAAAATGTAGTAAACCTGCCGATAATTTAACACAAGACGAATCTGCTTCGATTATGCTTTACACCATGACATGGGAGCCTCCCACGGAATGCCTCTACATGATCTTGAATGATATACTACGAACAAAGGATCGACAACAAAAACTCGCACCTTGGTATCTTTATTTGAGACTTTTTCTAAATGCACTATTCCGCCTTCCATTGCTTCCTACGATGGCATACAGAGGTGTTAAATTAGACCTAAAATATCGCTATATCGAAGGAGAAACAATTGTGTGGTGGGGGTTTTCATCGTGCACAACATCTATGGGTGTACTACAATCAGACCTATTCTTGGGTAAAAGTGGCACTAGAACCATGTTTACCTTACAATGTAAATCAGCAAGAGACATCCGTAAACATTCGTTTTTTCCAACAGATGATGAAGTGCTTCTTATGGCCGCAACACAATTTAAAATAGTCAGCTCTCTTGATCAAGGTGATCTTCATATGATTCAATTGGAAGAAACTACACCAAAGTTTTCACTTTTACAACCAGTACCCATTGTTGGTTCATTACCAATGAATTCAAATCCATCCGGTAAGTTCGAAATTATAATAAGAGTACAATGCTTACTAATAGAGACATGATCGAACACCGATAAATTATGCCTTTAGAGAAAACCACAAATAGATGAAGTGCATTGAATTTATCGGAAAGGAGCACGAAAATGCTATTAATAAAAAATTATTGATAATTTTTCATTACAGGTGATCCTATTTTAACTGCTATCGTCAATGTCGAAGAAAAAGCAGAGATACGTTCGATCAAGCTTCAAGTAAGCTCAACTTTTTCCTAATGCCTTATGTGGCAGTAGAGTTTAGAATCTAGTTGAGATTGGAATTGTTCATTATTCTATAAATGTTATGAGAGAATGATTTATAGAAATAAAATTTTATTAGTGAGTGATATGAGATAGTTTGATTGATTATGTAGATTCAAAATACACGTTGTTGTTTCCAAGATTAATTGTGTCAATCTTTCACGATTGAAGAGAGAGAAATGAGAAAGATTCTGAAAAGATGTTTGTTTTAATACGCCGGACATTGGGACATAGGGACATTGGACATTGATTTTTCTCTTTCGTTATGCATTCGAAGAAAAGACAGAAAGAGAGTTTTGCTATCGTTATTTCGAAGTACGGGTCTCGAGCAGGTGGGATGGGAATGGAAAAAGCTTTTATATCGAATGATATGGCAGGAAAGTAATTTTTTTTTAAATTTTTCATGAAATTAATAAAGAAGTTTCTTATATGAAACCTCCATTTGACGTGTTATTATCTACAATCGTTCTTTGTTAAAAGCAAATAAGCTAATATAAAAGAAACTTCGTAATTTATGTCTAAGCATTGTCTGTTTCATAGTGACGATTATCAGTTATAAAAGCTTAAATTAATAAAGAAATGATGACAAAAAAGTTAGATATTAATAGATTCTACTAAATTTTTAAAGTGTAAAACTCGGATAAATAAGTATTTATTTAATGATGCAACATTATTGTCATAATCGACTAAGTATTTTATTTTCTTTTAAATTAAAGTATCAGTTCAGCAAGATACATTAATTACCGTATGACTCGTACAAACGAGATGAGAGCGCGTTGAGATAAATGAAAAATAAGAAATAAATTTTCTTATGTTTTGGTCACGAATTTAAAAAGGAATCTAAATTATAATCAATTAGAGCATAGTTTGCTAAATCTAACTCATAGAAAAAAATTTCCGTATCGTTCATATAATTTTTTTTACATTTTGATTTTCGAAATTCTTCTCTTCTTTTCTTTTCTTTTCTTTTCTTCGCTCTCTTTTGTGTCTATTTTCTCTATCTTTAATTAAATCTATTATTCCAATCTCAACTAAATTCTCATATCAGCTGTAACACCTTATAATGCTTATATTTACATCATTCCATTTATAGATCGATACACATGAAGTAGCTGCCGGTACCAACAATAATATAGGAATCACTCCATTACAGACCCAGTGAGACTATAATTATTTAAGAAACAGCAGATATTCATCAAAGATCACATTCTTTTAGATGTCTGCCGTAAAAATCAGTGATGCAACAGAAAAAGGTAAACTAACGGATGCGGCAGAATAAATGACCCTCTAAGTATTTGGTGACATCTCTTCGGATTTCTATCCGATTGGACTAATTTTTAAAAAAATAACCCGGTTTCAGGCTTTACAAACCTAGTCACTTCATCTGTGAATTCATAATACATTTACGTTTTAATATAATGAAAAGTAAAGATCTCCAAAATATTGTACTTTCAAAGTACCAGAATGGTGATACTCCAACAAAAACTTTTCGTGATTTAAATGGTGGAATCGATTTAAGAACAATCAAACGATGGTGCCAAATGATCCTTTAATCGAGCTCTATCACACTATCAAGTCCATCAAGTTGTCCACGTTTGGCCAGAACGAAAGGAAATATTCGAAAGGTAAAAAATCGTTTACGCCGAAAAAAAAGAGTATCAGCTCGAAAACTGTCAATGGAGCTCGATATTTCCGAAAGAAGTGTTCGGCGAATATTGAAAAACGATTTAGGGCTACATCCCTATAAAAAAGTTGTCGAACCATTACTCTCTGATGATCAAAAGATCAAACGGAAAAAGTTTGCAAACTGGATTCGAACAAATTTTCGAAAAGAAGAAATCATGAGGATTCTTTTTTCGGATGAGAAGTTTTTTGACATCGACGGTGTCTATAACTCTCAAAATGATCGAGTGTGGGCAATTGATCGCGCTGATGCGGATAAAAATGGTGGCATTAAGCAAAAACGAAAGTTCCCACAGAAAGTAATGGTTTGGTTGGGTGCCTGTTCCAAGGGTGTAACCCCCTTGGTGATCCTGGATGAAAGAACAGTCGATCATGCTGTCTATATCGAAAAAGTGCTTCCTGTTGCATTAAAATATGGGAATTAAGCTTTCGGTAGCGACTGGGTCTTTCAACAGGATGGCGCCAAGCCTCACTCGCATTATTTGACACAACAATGGTGTCGAGACAACTTTCCATCATTTATTGGCAAGGATCGTTGGCCTCCAAATAGCCCTGATTTGAGTCCTTTGGACTATTCGATTTGGGATGAACTTGTCAATACTATCAATTGGAACAAAGTTCAGTCAAAAACAACATTGATTCAACAATTAAAATCATCATTTAAAAACATTCGTGAATCAGTTGTTTTTGAAAGTTGTGCTAGCTTTACCAATCGATTGTATCATCTTTGTCAAAACGATGGAAACTATTTGCGCTAATAAAATCAATATAGTTTTGTAGAGCTTTAGAGCGCGAATCTTTTGAAAAAAAATTAGCCTCACCAAATAAAAGTTGAAAGAGATGTCATCAAAATACTGAGAGGGCCATTTATTCTGCCGCACCCGTTATTTCGATGCAAAAAGAATCTCATTTTAAACATAACAAGAGCGTTAGAGAGAACTATATTGTTTCTATAGAATAATCTTTCAGTATATACGTAGAAAAAACTTATCCTGAGGAATTTCTAGAAATACAAAGAATAATCTATTCAAAAAATTTCACCTCGATACTTTCGAAATTATTTCAGCTATTCTCGAGAAAGATCTCTTCTAGGCAATATTCCGGCTAATGTCACAGAATAATTTATATAGAGTTTAATAAAAGATATTCTAGAACATAGAAATATGCGATTATTCTAAATAGAAACTATTCTACTTAAGGGAAAACGAAAAAGATTCTAGCAAAAATATAAGAAATAAATCGTTATAACTATCATATATGTTCATAGAAAATATAGACTCTCAAAAATACAAAGCAAAATATAGTACTATTTTGATGCAAAAATAATATCATTTTAAATATTCAGAAAATGCTTGATTTTCTAAATTATAGAAATTCAATTGCAATTTTATAGAAAAATCAAGATAAATTCTACAAAAGTAAAAAATCAGCGCCACGTTCTAGAAAATCATTTGGATTATGACCTTTATGAAGTCATTGTTCATTTGTGTATATAAGTTATAGTCGGCAGTGTGCATAGTGCATTCATTATTTTCTCTACCAGCTCTAGCGAGCAGATCAACTATACCTTTTTTTCGAATCCATATGAGTCAGTCCATCCATTTTACATGAACAAACACGTAATATATCCATTTATTTCTTATTCACGAAAAGAATATTGCAAATAAATACTTTTCTCACCACAAAATATATATTTATAGTCATTTATTTTTGTGGAATTATACATGAACTCTGATGTTATATTATTGCATTTAACATTATGAGTATATCGTATTTCAAGTCATTTTTTCCTGATAGAAATATTTACACATTTAGACTTTTTTTCTTATAAAATTTTCCTCTTTTAATGGAATCCTAAAATTTTAGTTTATATCATTCATTTTTATCTATCATCAGGTTATAGAATCATATAGATCAAATTGCTGAAGACAATATAACTAACGGGTGGGCCAGAATAAATTATACCATTAGTATTTCTAATATTTCTCCTCTGTTTTCCAATCAAACAAAATACTTTTTTTTTATCAAAAAGAAGCGCTTTAAATTCTGTACAAAATAATCTGTTTCGTTTAATGAATATTGTTTCCTCCATTTCTTTTTATTTCACGTAACCTTATGGTAAAATCAAGTATAGAATTTAAAATTTTTTCTTTGTCAACTTTTGTTACTGAACTTTTTATCTCTTCAATCAACGTTGCTTTTGTTGTTATTCGATCCCAATTCATACACTGAGCCAGCTCGTTCCATAAACTGTAATCCAAAGGGCATAAATCAGGTGAATTGGGCGGCCAACGCGTCTCGGGGATAAAATCAGGAAAATGCGTGGCACACCATTCTTGAGTAAGATGATGTGTATGAGGTCTAGCACCATCCTGCTGATAAGTTCAATCGTCCCCTAACATCTTGTCATTGTCACCACATTCCAGAGCTATTGGAAGAACTTCATTGATGTAAACCTCGGCATCCATCGTTCCATTTTCCAATTTAACTGGTGTTCTTAAACCATCAGCACATGTGCCCAACCACACCATCACTTTCTTTGGATATTTGGTCTTCTCACGGAAACCACCTTTTCCATCAGCTTCTTCTCTACTGGTAGCCCATACCCGGTCGTTTTGTGAATTGTATATGCCGTCAAGATCAAAAACCTTTTCACCCGTGAAAAGCCATTTTTTCAAGGGGGAAAAAGCGATTTCTGATTTNTTATTGAATATCGTATTTTCAAGGAAGTATATAGAAATTCGTCACTAGAATATCTTTCATTATACACTATAATGTATTTTCTAGTTTACAGTGTATATATGATATAATTGCAAACAACAAAAAAAGAGCATTAGATTTCTATATCTTTCGGTAGAGAAAAAACTTATGCTGAGGAATTTCTAGAAATAGAAAGAATGATCTATTCAAAGAATTTTACCTCGATACTTTCGAAATTATTTCATATATACTCTAGAGAAAGATCTCATTTTATTCTTATACGTCTTCTCTTCTAGTTAATATTCCTGCTAATGCCACATGGGCACAGAACGGAGTGACTATTGCTGGAGGTAACGGGTATGGGGGTGCCATTAATCAACTCTACCACCCTTTTGGTCTCTCCGTTGATGATGATCAAACAGTGGTTATTGCTGACTGGGGGAATCATCGTATCATGCAATGGAAGAACGGTGATACAACGAATGGACAAGTTGTTGCTGGTGGTAAAGGCCGAGGAAATGGATTTCATCAATTGCAGTATCCAATTGATGTATTAATTGACAAAGAGACGGATAGTCTCATTATTTGTGATCGAGACAACCTACGAGTTGTACGATGGTCTCTTCGTAGTGATACAACACAAGGAGAAGTGCTCATCGACAATATCCACTGCCGAGGATTGGCTATGGATGATCAGAGATATCTCTACGTCTCTGACCGCGGAAGAGATGAAGTAAGACGATATCAATTGGGTGAGAAGAATGGCATTCTCGTAGCTGGTGGTAATGGACGAGGTGATGGTCTTAATCAACTCCACTGGCCGACATATCTCTTTGTCGATCGGGATCATTCAGTGTACGTATCAGACAACGAGAATCATCGTGTAATGAAATGGGTGGAAGGTGCAAAAGAAGGTATTGTGGTCGCTGGAGGACAAGGCCGAGGGAGTGCTCTGACACAATTGTATTATCCTAAAGGAATCTTTGTTGATACGTTGGGTACACTCTATGTAGCAGACTCGTGGAATCATCGTGTAATGCGTTGGACTCAAGGAGACAAGAAACAAGGCACTGTAATTGTGGGTGGAAATGGCAAAGGAGAAGGAGCAAATCAGTTCAACGACCCCATTGGTTTGTCTTTCGATCGACATGGTAATCTCTATGTTGCCGATCAAAATATTTATCGTGTTCAACGATTTTCTATCGAATAAGGCTTGTGAATTGTTTTTTCTTTGTTCGTTTCTTTTTCTATACATTGAAATAAATGAACAGAAAAAAAGAAATTTTCTTTTACTCTTTCGCTTCAAAGAAAAGAAAAAATTTGAGTTATTTGAATAATGTTTATTTTAAAAATCAAAAAAATTAAATTACAAAAAAAATTAAACAAAAAGAATGTAAAAATATATATAATTACATTTGTGTTCGTTTGAATTGAATTGAATTGAATTGTTGAATGGAACTAAAACATAAAAATAACAATTAATTTTCTTTTTTTCGAATAAAATAAGTGAAAATAATTATATTTGCTTTGCTGTTGGAGAAATCGAGATGAACTAAAACGAAATAAGAAGAAATGAATTGAATGGAATGAGAAAACTTTTTTTGCTTACCAGCTAATAGTTGCTCGTGCGACCAAGAACTACCTTGGTGGTGCCATAGAGAGCCAAGGCTCTCTACGTACAGGCATAGATCTAACGTGTATAGAACATACAGCAGAGAGATCTATATGCAGCCTGTACGTACTATGGGCACCAAGATAGGCTTGACCAGTTTCACGCCGATGCATGGAAGGCCTCCGTAGGACGTAATAAATATACAAATACACAAAAGTATACTTACTTTTTTTGTATTGCTAAAATAGATAATAGAAAAACAATTATAATCATATAAAATAGAAATAGAAAAAAAATTAAAAATAAAATGAAAATAAACAAGTGGGGTACAAAGCTGAGACAACGAAAAAAACTAAAAAACTAAAACTATAATACTTACTTGTGATATTGAACAATGGTAATTACGAATACAACCTAAAATAGTTAAAAAATAAAATATACATGTAATATAGTAATGTAAGAAGAAGAAGAAAGAGGGGGAATGATTTCTAACGTTGACAATCATTACTATTTATAGTCATTTTTGTTATTCGTGATAATTAGACAATTGGTACCCAGGTGAGTGAATCCTATGACGGATCCTATCACCCAACAGAATCCGATGGGATTCCGGGTTACGGATTGACTGTCGGTTCCGACGGAAAAAAAATTTTCTTAATCAGGGTGAATATGCATATTTTCTCATAAGAACACTAGGGTCATACGTTCCTGTCGGATTTCGTTAATTTCCAACACTGGATCCTATGGAATTCCTACACCAAGGATCCGACTGTAGGTCCTGACCCCGGAATCCTATAGGATTTCGTTGGTTTTATTGGAATCCATGGATATTTGATATATTCACGGTCTGACCCTTGTCGGAATCCGATAGGATCCTAGTCTCGGAATGACTCTCCTGGGCCATTGTATTTGCCAGTAATATTATGATCTCAGAAGAAGAAAGCATACCATCATGATAACTTTCCTCTTTTTCACGCAAGATATTCAGTAGCATTTAGAAGGAGATGAACTGTGTTAGAGCAGATTCTTAGCTGACTCAACAGAGCAAACTTTGTCGAAAAGCTGGATTTACTCTCGACAAATATAATTTGTTTTGAAAAACCAGCGCATGCTCTCGGAAATCGGATTCCACTGTTACAAATAACTCATCAAGATGCAGTTGGGACTCATGCAACAAGCTTGGGACAGGTTCCTGGATGAACAGATCTACGAATTACTACCAGAGAGAGAACGGGCTATTCAGCGCTGAATATCTAAACGACAGATAAATTAATTCGAAGAAAAGTTTCCAATATCACACAGGCCAAATCACCTTTTCCTGGAAACAGCCGCTATGGCTGAATGGTTAAGATGTTCGGCACATATCCACAAGATAGTGTGTTCAAACCTTGGTGCCATCATCCATAGAATAACCTTGGACAAGTTACTTACGGCTGCTTTGTCTCGGATCACCCATCCGATAGCACGCTGATTACATGTGACATACATAAAAATATCCTCATGGATAGTATGTGGTTAGTCAGTATGCATGGGAAGCTTAAGTAATTAAGCGGAAGGAACTCTGAGTCAGGCCGGCCTTCTGTCCAGAGCTGCAGCTAGTAATAGTTGTAGGAAAAATATCGGGCTCTTGAAATTGTCTCCGAGCAACACCCTATACTGAAAGGTAGCCACAAGGCAAGGGTATTCTTTCTTCTTCTTTCTTTCCTGGAAACAAGGGTGCTGTAATAGAAACATAGGGCCTAGAGTCAATTATAAACATAATTACTTACTGAGACTAGCATTGTGACAGATAAATCGATCATCTCTGGAACAAATTACATAATATTGAAATAAGGTTTTCACTAATCGATAGAGCGTGCTGAATGGTACTTGAAAAAAACTCCACAGTTAATCGACTCTAAATCATGCCGAATTTGAATATAAAATATTTTACCTATACTGTAGAACTATCCATCTAATAGAAAGTAGAATACAGAGCAGGACAAGAAAACCAAAACTATTGAAGACAAACATCCAGTTAATTCAAGTGATGATAGTCTGCATAATTTGTTCAAATGAATATCAATGAATTTCTACATTTTAAGATAGACTCTGTTGACAGAGATCTCGAAATTTTGCTCGAAACGAGCCACGAAGTGAATTGAATTCAGTTAAGTTGGCTCATTCTGAATTGAGTAATACAACTGTGGTCCAGATAATGTTCCTCATGATGATATTGTATGTCTTTTTGTTTAAGAGTTCTATTTCTTTGTGGAGGACTTGACAAGAATGATAATATTTTGACATATTCTCCCGTTATTTTGGTTGCAAAAACCAAGTGGCTAAAGAAAAACTTTTCAAGAGATTTTATTAGTCAACGATTTCATTACAATATTTATTGTATTAGTAATATGAACAACAGTAAATTAAAAAAAGAGTAAGCATCTACTATATTCAGTCATAGGATATTCAGTTTTGCAGCTTATTTATTGATAAATAAATTGAAATTAACTTCGACAAATATTTCAATCAAAGTTGTAACTTTCTCACAAATTTTCAAGTGAAAATGAACGCAAGAACAAAAATTATCGTGAATATTTCATATTTTTACCTTTAGTATGCAAGGAACTGTAGGGGGACTGATGAGGAATTCCTAATCCTCAGTCCTTGAACACCCCTCGTTTCAATAGCAGTTAAACATTCATTTCCAATCATAAATGAATGCATAAACAATAATGAACAAGAAAATTTTGATATTGTAATTGTTCGAAATTATTACATATCAATTTCGACTTTTATAATAGAAAGATTTTCATTTAATAATTGACCTGATGCAGGCGAACTATATGATATAACGATTGAAATTCATCATTTCTGGAAATAAAATGTAATTTACATGATTCTTGAAGAATTTCATATTGATTAAATGTTGTTGCAAAAAAATCCACCGGATAACGTAATGCTGTTAAATATTTATCATTAAAAATTTCATTCAATGATCACTGAAACAAACTTGATGATGTTCAGATTCAATTTGAAGAAATTCTTTGTATGAAATAGATATTTGTGTACAAGTTCATTTGACATTTCCATATTGTATGATATAAATAAAGATATTGCATTGGTAATGATGAATTTTCTATTTGAATTTGTTTTGATTGCGTTTCTCACAATGTATATATTATATAAATTGGAACATATATAACCGTGTTGAGTACGAATACTATATTCATTTGTTTTAAATAAATTTAATTACAAATAAAAACAAAATCTGCGGAGACAAGATATTGAACGTTCTTGTTCCATAATTAAGAAAATATTGATTGTGATATGCAAAATAATTTAAGAATGCTCTTAAATAAAGAATATAATAAACGTTATTGAATGGTTTAGTTTCTAATAAATGTTTTTTCTCTTACTAGAATCATTGTTATCTCTAGAAGAAAGAAAATGAATTGGTTTTAGAGAGCCTTGTTTTAATGTAAAACATGTTAATGTAAGATTATCAGTGGCTTTTTCTTGATTTGTCTTTTCTAATTACAAAAGTATAAATATAATATTAATACAAGGATAATTCTTAATTAAACTAACGCTGAAAAGTCATATCATTATGAGAGATTTAAAAAGAAATTATTTTCTCTTTTATATTAATGTGACTTACTTATTGTCATCTTGTTTCAAACAAACGTTAAACACTGAAGGGATTAATCAATGATGGAAACAAATACCGTGAAAGAAATTTCCACCTTACATTTATTTATCTACTTATAAAACACTACGAACTGAAGATCTCTTCATTTAAAGAGCACGACAGTGGTACTGTCGATTTAATACATAAACACTGATTGATAAGTGCTTCGTCTCTGGCATTGATCTTAATTAGAAAGAATCCCAACAAATATGCATTGATAACTCTGTCAAAAAAATGACGACATTCAAAGTTTGCAATGAATTATATAACGAATTATCGTAAACTCATATTGACAAAGGCAACATATGGTCGAATTTTACAAGAATATAATTGACTTGAAAGAAAAATAGTTGGTAAAGATTCAGTAGGAGTCCACTATAAAAAGATTATTATGTGTCAAAATTGAATGATTATTCAATACAAAAAAAAGAAAGCGTATGATATTTGATTACCATAATAACAGAAAGCCATGTCATAATATTCAGTACAAATGAATGTAGCATAAGTAAAAATAGTATAACTTATGAATTTCACTGATGAAGTTTGTCGATGAATTTATATCATCGAGGCATTAGAAATGGAATGAGAAGTTGGAGTAAAATATTGAAACGTCTATAAAGACCACGTAATGCTGTTATGAGATAAACAATATTAATTAATGTACGTATATGAACATGAATTCGATTCACATTGTGCAAAAAAAACATATGAGTAAGAGTCATTTTCTAACCAAGATTCAGTAGACATTTCTTCAACAATCTTATTCATTTGTGTATTTAAAGCAAATCTCGAACTTGTTTGATTGAGTGATTTTTTCAAGGAAATATAAATTGGGCTTTGGTGACATAAACGTTGAAATTATTCGTAATTTTTTCCATTGATTTCAAGCAATATCTTGTCTCATCGATCGACAATCTGTGAATGGTGAAATTCTTATTGACGATATTGATTTCATTACATCATCTTCATTCATGATTAAGTTTTCTTCCTCAATTGCCAATTCTATTTGTTGGAACATGTCGTTATAATTTGCATCCATTTGAACAATGTCTTTTAACACTTGCATCAGTTCAATTGAAATATATAGTTTATAATAATGCAAATGTTCTTCATCAATTAGTATCAGAATCTGCTAGTAATTTTAGTTCAAGTCAATGTCAATTAATATGTGTTGTATGTATTATTCTAAAACAAAAAAATAAAATTTGGATGATTGATCAAACGACTGATTGATTAATTCAAAATATTATTGAAGATAAATTTTAAAGTACAAGAATATGAACTATTGTTCAATCAGCTAACTACTGTTGCTAAAAGTGATCGAATTATTGTATATTACATCAAGGCTCAATAGTGAATTGATTAATAAAATTCGTTAGAAAATTTAATTCAATGAAACTAAAATCAACGATTGTTAATGATAATACTAGAACTATATTCATAATTAATCTGTGTCACTATAGGATAGAATAAAATGAATCATCGAAAAAAATTTCTCTAGCTTAGACAAGTTTCAAAAGTGCTCTCGTACTAGTAGAATCATACTGTTATTATGTAGCACTACTGTGTATATGCACAGCCTATTTTAATTGAAGCCTTTGGACAAAAATAAAGTTTCATTAAGAGAAAGTCTGTATGATCATAGGATTGAAAACAAAAAAATTTACAAATTCATCTTTCTTTTTGTATAAAAATCATTTTTTGAAGAGAAATTCACTTTTCATTATTTAACTGTATCATTTCCAAAAATCTTATCAAATCATCTGAAATGATGAAATACAATTTTTAGATCAACTCGAATTCTTATGTAAAAAAACAATTCGCGATAGCTATGCAATCCGATAATACAACAAATAAAGAGTCGATAGACATGAATACAAATGATTTTGCTTCGAAGTCATCTGTCATATGAGTAAACACTTTTTATATAATCAATCTTTATTGAACCATTCCCGTACATATACTACACTAAATATTTGATATAGGTACTACGACAATGGAATACCTGATAGTGGAGGTTTCATTTATGATTGTTTCAAAACTGGAGCCTAAAAACATTAACAAAAAGAACAATTTATCACAATTACTCATATCCACAATGAAGTCAACTATTAGATAAAGCTCTTCCGTTTTGTTCCAAATAATTCTTTCGTATTACATATTGAAAAGTGCTAATCAGATTTTATTATTGCTCATCCTATTTTCCTTCATATGCACTTACGTTAAATATAAGAGGCAGATATATTTCAGGATTACTTCATATTATATCTTAAAGTAAATTTTAGCATAAAACTATATCCGAATGTATCTTACATAATCCTTATCAGTTAAATCACTCTACTAATAGATAGAATAACAAAATTACATATTTACAAGAATAAATGGTTTCGTTTGAAGATATATTTATCTATGTAAAGATGCGGTTTGAATTATACTTTCTATGATTATGTTGTATTTTACAATTTCATATAACTAAAATATTAATAAAACAAGTTATAGTAAAATTGCAAAATATTTTTTATCATATTACAAGGTAACAATCTAAATCGAGACTCATCAAGTCTAATGCTTTGAATAAGTAAAGAATCATTTGCATTAGAATTCATAATTCGACTCAATTCGAAGTGCTGTCATTGCTCCTACTACTAGGATCTGTAAATACGGATCATTCGAAAAGACATGAGACTATTCATTTAAGTAATTTCTTAAAACAGACAAGAAAACATCCAAAAACGTTAGAATAAATTCTACAGCGACATGTTCAATAAGAACGAATGCCAAAACAGCTTCTCGTCAAAAATCAATCGTTTAGAAGATCTGAAGCAAGATGTGTGCTTAAAGATCTTTTGGTATTGATAAAAGAGCATTATTCAGTCTAATAACTCAAGAAAGAAGTCTTCAATTCAAGTCTGTTCAAAACAAATTTCGAATAGAAATTTTCTTATCTTACGAGTTACATTCAATTTGCAATATCTAAATTTGCATTACTAGACGATTTTATTTTTTTCATGCTGTTTGACTTTAACAAATCCAACTGTTGTTTACGACTCTTTTTTATAAAACGAAATAGTTTTAAAATGCGATTTGTTATAAGTACCTACGAAAGCAAGTTCTTATTTAACATACTAAATAAATTAGATTGTTCATGCAAAATGTTAAGCAGTTTGCAATTCATGTATCAATATTATGTTTTCAAATAAATGCGAAAACCTCGGATTTAAATCCGAGTGTTATGTGTACTTCAAAAAGTGATAAATCACCAATATTAATAGCTATCGAGTTCGGGTTTTTACCTTTCGATAGTCCTTTTGGTTAGTTACAAAATCAGGCCTTTGGAAAACCCCAAAACTACTGGTCATCTGAGACATATCTAGGCAATTTGTTTTCTCGATGCAGTTTTTGTGCATTTTGAGACCTTTTTCAGGCAATGTTTCGTTAGAAAACTACGATTTGGTTCAAGAATAATATCAGACTCAGAATCAGCGTTAAAAACTGAGTCGATTTATATATGTTGTGAATAATTCTGAGAAAAAAGNCCCCCCCCTCAGGGATGGTCTAGTCAATAATGACAATTTTTTCGATAACTCAGCCATTTCTTCACAGATTGCTTTCATCTTCGAACTCGACTGAGATATTGATGAGGTCATTCTGTGTACAATATTTCATGACAATTGGATGAGGCTTTCAAAAGTTATCGTGTTAACGGCCGCCCGGACACACTGACCGAATCTAGAGTGTACTCATTTTTTTTGAAGTACACAAAAAGTATTTCTTGTTTTTTCTTCTCCGTTAGCATAATCTCCAAGACCACATCGATCAGTAATGCATGCACTATTTTCTTTCGTTCTGTTTTTTTGATTTATTCGATTTTATTTATTTCTTCAGTTACTTTTTTTCGAGCAACCTTCATCATCCATCATCCACATATTTTAGTTGTCTATCAACAAATTTCAATACTGAAAATTATGATACATGTCTATAACTATGCACGGGCGATTTATTTTAAATTATTCTATTAATTTTCTATCAGCTATTCTATTAATCTATTTATCGAAACACATCTTTCGTCAATATCCTATTTCAAGTTTAACATTAACAATATTCAATTGTGTTATTTCGGGATTGTTTGCTTCAACTATTGTACCATTTCTATCGAAACCTTCAACAAACATTCAAACATCAACAAATCCATTATTACCAATATCTCGTTTGATTCTTATATCGGGACTATTTTCAGCATTTATAACATTTAGTAATTTATCATTGCAACATAATACTATCGGTACATATCAATTAATTAAATTACAAGTTCCACCAACATTAATGCTTATCGAATGGATTCAATTACAATTCGGATTTAATTCTCAAATATTAACAAAAGAAAAATTTTCTCAAAATTATTCTCTATCAGTTTTATTGAGCTTTGGCATTATTGTTCTCGGAACGTTGGTTAATACATATTCTGACTTTTATTTTCATCCGTTAGGTGTTACTTATGCTTGTATTAGTGTTGTTTGTAACGCACTATATCAAGCAATGGTACAAGCACATACAGCACCATCAACCTATGAACGAACACGTTTTCTACAATATCAAACAATAATATCATCGATTTTATTATTTCCTTGTTGGTCATTTATTGATTCGTCATTTAATTCTGATTGGAAGATTTTCTTTGGATGGCATGTATTTGCATTGTTATTGTTATGCGGTATACTTGCGTTCTTTGTTAATTCAAGCGTTATATGGTGTATAAAAGATGATGCTGCAATAGGATATAATATGGTTGGACAATTAAAAACCTTATTGATTGCATTTGTTGGTTCAGCAGTATTTAGTGAATCGTTATCATTGAGACAAATAATCAGCATTTTAGTTACATCAATGGGTTGTATGGTTTATGTCTATACTACGTATAAAACTAAAGAACGTCAAAAGCGTCAAGAACAATTATTAGTTCCTACTTGATTAATATTCAATCGAAACAAAAAAAACTTTTGTGTTTTTCTAAAATATATGCGTAGTAGAAGAGTGTATCTGGGTAGAGTCTTTTGTTTTTGCTATATAGTCAAGATATTATGATTCTATTTCGGCTAGATCAGTTGAATAAAAGTCTTAAATACACTACTAAATAAAAGTAATCTACGAATGAATATTACTAAAAATTATATTGAGAATAGAATGATATGGTGTTTCATCAAGGCGAAATAGATGTTGGTACGTAGCTATGGTTTTTGAAAGACTCCATCCCCAGGTCGAACATACACGGTCGTATACGACGGTAAATCGCCGTATTTGGCCGTATTACATGGCTCCGTATTACGATCGTAAATCTCCGTGCCGTATACGGCGAAATACGGCGCTTTACGGTCGTTTTTGATCGTATTTCACCTTATTACAACACGGAGATTTACGATCGTAATACGGAGCCATGTAATACGGCCAAATACGGCGATTTACCGTCGTATACGGCCCGTATTTCACCGTATACGGACGTCGTAAAGCTCGTCCTGGGTCAATTTAATCCAGATAAACAATGTTGATTTTATAGTATGACTATTGATAATAAAAATTGAATAACAGTTAATTATATGTATTAAATATATTCTCCTGCTAGGAAATTATTTCTGAAAAAAAAACTATCAGTTTATTTAGAAAACATGATTCAATCACTGTCAATTATTCGAATAATTAGGATAACTTGAACAAGCTCTTATTGTAATATACGATTGATTTCAGTTATTTTAAGAAAAACTAACATTACATTTCTCCAAATCCGTTCGTATTCTTATAGTTCTCTTTTCTGTGCTCTAAAAAAAATAGATAATCGATCTTCTGGAATTTAAAATCATCATCATTTAAGAAGAATCTCGAATAGAATATTTTCAATATCCTCAACTTTGAAAATTAACCTGATTTCTTTGAATTCATCCATTCCTGCTTAGTTGTCGCTTTCACATGACAATAAGTAAATAAGACAATATCTGGAGTCTCTCTAATAAATGTTAGCATTAAAAAAAAATTAAAATCTTGAAATTTGCCAAGAGATGTTGGTCTTAGTTATCAAATTTTTGCAAAAGAGTTACAGAAAGAATATTATTAGCCAGGGACGGCGCGAAGCAACAAAAATATAGGGGGGTTACCTGGAAACAGGAGGTTTTTTCAAAAATCGGAGTAAATCAATAAAAATCTCTTCTATTTTCTGCAAATCGGAATAAAATTGAAACAAAAATTTCTAAAGTTAGGGGGGGGGGGGGGGGGGGGGGGGGGGGGGGGGGGGGGGGGGGGGGGGGGGGGGGGGGGGGGGGGGGGGGGGGGGGGGGGGGGGGGGGNAATTTTGGGGGCCCCCCCCCCCCCCCCCCCCCCCGTTCGCGCCGTCCCTGTTATTAGCATTACTTCGAGTCATGAATGATGATTTCGAAAATAAATCAAATTTTCAAAGCAATATTGCAACGTCAACTCCTCACAGAAAAGTCTTTTCCAAAGACAAAATTGTCAGAAACCAAGCTTAATGGATAAACTTAATAGTTCGCCTGTCAGTGCATTATGCGCACGAATTAAAGATTTCAAAATTCAATGTTTGTTTATTTACTATGACAGTATGATTTAATCAATTGTTACTTGAATAGAATATCGCTTTCTTTGTTTCTCCGTTGCTGGCATACTGAATGAACTATGATCTTCCATGAATGAATCATATTCTTTTTTTTACATGAACGACAAATTTTGATTGGCCTAAAAGGTTTTCTTTTGTTCCTTATTTTACCACTTTTCTTCTTTTTTTTAAATCAATCACAAGAGAAAAAACAAAACATGGAATAAAAAAAAACATCGTAAGAAAGAAGGAATGCCTTTTCTTTGATTTCAAATGACGATTGAAGGGCAAAACAATGCAACTTACTTTAACTTCAAAAGCCAAAACAAACATTGAGAAATTATAAAAATTTATTCTAAACTGTAATGTAAAAGCTATATTTAGATTTTTATTTATTAAGATTTACAAAAAACAAAAACAAATTTTTTTTCTCTTGCAGAGCTAAAATCAAAGTGTTTTCAAATATGATGCACGATAATTAGATCAATAGATTGGATGTACCATACTATTCGCTAGAACTAACATAAGAAATAATTAAACCTCTATAGTCTAATGGTAGGCTAAATTTTGTTGCTTATTTTGTAATAAAAACATCTTTTCTTTTTAAGAACTTCACTGAATTGATGAGTCGTCAAGAGGAACAATAAATCAAGTTGAACTTATAGTTGACAGCTCATTATTATAATTAATACAAATACGACACTGACATTGTTTTTAAATAGTTTCCATTGAAATAATGAATAACTGCATTTAAGTGGGTTATGCTGGAAAAATTCAACATACTATTTGCATACAATTTTCTACATAGACAATTAACAATTATAGGAATTATTTTAGTAACGTTTCTAATGACAGAATCTTATAGAATAATAAATTACTTCCGGTTTAGTCGTATCTCACTACATAAGCTCTATTCTAACTGCATAATCCTTAAAATAATCATGCTTACAGATTTCTTTTTTCTGCTTGATCTCTAGTTATATTAGTGTTTTTCTAGAAGAATATTGTAGCTGTTTTCAGATAAACTTGCAAGTTCAAATTTAGTATAGATACAAATTCTAAATGAGATTTAATATGCTAATATAGATATCCAAATACTTTTACGCCGTATACTTCGTGTGAAACTTTACTTATGATAAGTATAAAATTGAAAGTCAATTTTTAAAGTAGTCATAAAATGACTATATTATTTTGTTCATGCAGACAAATCCTTTTAAACTCTACTTTGTTTCAAAAGGACCTTTCTACTGAGGTTCAATATCTTTAAGTGACATTGATGCATAAGACAGTTTCGTATAAATTTATCTATTTGAATTTCAGATTTATATTCAATGTCATACCAAAAAGTTCAAAATTTTAAATGTCGATGTCCACTTGTACAAACTGGTTCGTTTACTCTATTGCTTTTATTTATATATCTATTTCATCAATATCTCTTTTAATTTTATTCAAGGTGTCTATGGCCTTAGTGAGTCTCATCAAATACCAAATATTCCATGTGATCGTTCATCAAACGATGTTTTTCTTAATCAGCATCTTCAATGGTATCATAATTTCGATAGTGTATCAGCCCGAAAATTAGTTCGTGCTATCAGTAATAATGTAAATCAAAATGAACATTTATTCAGTATTTACGAACGTGTGCTTAAGCAAAATATTTCCGTTGAAAATTATAAATGTATGCAAATAGACGTTACAATTTTCATTTCAAAATCCTTTTCGGTTTCTAATTGAAGGTAAATGTCCATTAACACAAGATGGTGTATTTGGTTTATCTGATGAACATGACATAACGAATATTCCATGTGGTAAACTATTTTGTTGTTTCATTCTATGGTTAATTTTGTTTTCTGAAATATTTTCCTAAAATTTCTAGGACGAGCTGAAAAAGAAGTTCTATGTTTTCAACATTTACAATTTCATCATAATTTATCTTCACGTGCTGCAAAAAAAATTGTTCTAGCATTAGTATCCTATACTCCAACGATTACAAGACTTTTCCATAATAATGATCATATCACGCAATCGAAATGTGCGGTTAGAAAACTTAAAGGCAAATGTCCACTACTATCAAGACATATTTACGGTAAATTTATTGAGAATATTCTAAAATAAATACTAAAATATTTTTTTTTAATTCTTAGGTCTAAGTGATCATCATCATATTCCAAATATTCCATGTGATCGTGCGGATCAACATATATTTTTATTTCATCATTTAACATATTTTCATAAATTAAATGCTAAAGCAGCAACACAATTAATTCGAGCATTACTTATAAATAAAGATCCACGTGAACCAATATTTCATTCAAATGATATTATTGTTGTATCCGATCAAGCCGTTAATCAGCAACCGTATAAAACAAAACGATCGAAAAAAATTAATGAACAAGAAAAAAATTATTCAGAAACAATTTTAGATTTTTCTACACATGTATAAATTATTGTAGAAAATTTATTATGAATATTAAAGAATTTCTTGTTTTTCAGTATCAAAGTCTTATTAATGCAATTCATACTTCGATTAATAAAACTACGAATGACAGTAAGACACATGTTCTTAGTCTTACATTTATGTTTACACAGTGTATATAGATTTAGATAATAACATGATGCCACTCGATTGCAGTAAATCCAATCAACAATCATATCAAGTATGTTAATGTCTATCTAGAATTTAGATAATACTATTTTGAAGTTGTAAGATTTTTTTCAATCATTGATAGGACCTCATTGGATCAGACATTTTTTGATCATACAGTGATGTTTGCAATGAACTTTTCTAATTGATAGTCGCCGTGATACTACCAAAGACGTAAATCACGATGTATTCTATTCGATAAGTTTCACTAACATAATAACTCTATACTACAATGACTATTTCAAACTCTGTTTTTATGGTTGACTTTTAGTACTGGGAAAAATACGAATAATCACAATTGTTTTCAACTGTATTAGCAAATAAATTTTTATAAGCTTTGGAAAAAAAGAGATTCCACCGATAGGATAACAACATTTTCCTGGGTTACTTTCCTGAGATAGAACAATTTAAATCAAGGTCAAAATAGAATAGCGTTTCTACCGGAAATACTAAAAGAACAACTATAAGAGTTTGTCTGTGATTACTCTATTTTAACAATAAGCCCTCAAAGAGGACTCGGAAACGTTTAATATTGAAGAAAATCGTCACACATCTTGAAACACAAAATTATTTTTTATTGTTTCTACATACTATGAGAAACTTGCATTTGAGTTTCATGGAATCACAATTTTAAGTTTAGAACCAATTCTAGAATAATAATGCTGAACATTGACAATAGTGAAATATAAGCTGACTGATGAATTTTTATATGAAATTGCATTCTTCATTGAATTTTCAATAGCTAACGTCTACGCAGATTTTCAGCTTCATGTACTCTGAAACTATTCAAAATTTAGTTAAATATACATTATACTCTTAAAACGATAGTAGTTTTTCTTATATTCTTCACTACTCAAAACTAAATCTAGACCACTATGTCTTCTATCAATTTCAAAACAGATCCAAACAAATAAGTACTATTCTTCAATCATTCGTTGCATCAATTAATATCTATCCAAATCCTGTCTATTTGAACAAAACATGAATGTTACAACTTTCATTGCTCAGCGTTCGGCTATTGTTATTTTTAAAAATTAAAGATGCACAGAATAATTTATATTCGATTACAAATACACTATGTTCATATTAATCATGAAGTGTCTAAGTCAGAACTATTACATTATAATGTGTGGTATTATTTCAATTAAAGACCTTAAAACTGTCGCTTCTGAGTATTTTACTCTTGAGAGACAAACAGAACTCATAAATGATGTTTTCTAGAATTTTTCTTTCATACCGAATTTAGGACACCTTTCTGTTTTTAGGAATGAAAGAAAAGAGTGACACATCTAGTGAGAAATTTCCAAATTTCTCTCGTATTCACATTCACACTCTTAAAAGGTGTTATATTATGCACAGAGAAAATGATTGAAGCTAAAAATTCATCTGAACTCTTATCCTACTTTCTCATAATTAAATATCATACAGGAGGCATAAGTATTTTTAGAAATACATCGATAGGCCTTTACAAGAGATCATTCAGCCAGCTTCAGCTGTTTATTTTACTGAAACATATACGTCAAAATGAAAGATTTTATCGTATATCAGAACACCATTTGAATTTTGTCGTAAGCGAACTTTACGGTCTAGGAAAGTAGTCGTCTAGTTTTTTACTATTTAGAATCTGTTCGGAATCATTTATATTGAACGTAAGATAGACTTTAATTCTTACGTTTTAAATGCTTCATAATCTTTCGTGATAAATTTACAATACTGTTCGTTTTTATCATCAGCCGGAAGTTTTCTGACAATGATAATTGATTAGAACGAATGAAACGAATTAACAAATTTTCAGTTGAATGCGTCATCAAATAGGAGAGTGATAATTCGAATAAGTTGAAAAAGACTCGCACGGAAAAAAGAAACATTAAATTTGATTGAATATTTTTTGTAAACAATAAAACTATGTCATGATGTTTTCTTTTTTAATAGATTTATCATCGGTTCATTGCTTGTTTTCCGATGAACCACTTTGTCTCAGATGTATTTGTAGTTTTGCATGCGAAAACATCGAAGAAAAAATATTAATTCCGTGAACAATCGAACAGAACAAATATTATCCTTCTATTTCAAGAAATATCCAAAATTTCAGATACGAGAATTTAGGGTTATTGAAATAGCATGAGTATTCGGAGAAAATTAAGAAGTTCTATATAATTCATTTTCAATATTTCGATCTTCTAAATTACAAAATGAATCCAAACTCAAATATACTGAAATCAGATGAAATCCTTAGAATAAGTTACAGTGAAGAAACCAAAACCAAATCTCTATGTTGCTGTTTTCAAAAGATATTCATTAGAGAACGATTGACAATAGATGAAAGTATAATTCGAGATTTTCTTTGGATTTTTACTCTTTAAATTAATTCCAGTTTACTTGAAAGACTATGACAGATTGTAATACTTCATAGAACTTAATTGTTTATATACAATTTCTTGGTAAGGGGAGAAAAATAGTGGCCTTTTCAATCCTCGAAAAATTTCGTAAAAGCCAGGCATGCATTTATCGCAATGTATTTTTATACGACAATAACTAAGCTTATATAAAAACAACATGGATATGGTACATACTGTAGATTGACACATTTTTTTCAAACAAACTAAAATGCCGTCTATAAAATGAGGACCCAAATAAAACTAAATTTTTTTTTCTCAAATAGTAGTCTTGCGATATGATATCAATAGAGTACTATTCCATCGGCATGTCTTTAAGATAATATAGATAAGCTCATTGTAAAGATTCAAATGTTAGACTTGTAATCAATCCATGTTCATCTAGATGCATAATGAGAAATGGTTAAACTGGTTCAGAACAGTGTCCTATCTACCATTACAGATAGCTATAGAGATGGAGAAGATTCAAGAACCAAATAGAAAGGGGTTTCTTTTCCTTAAAATCTTATCGTAAACGCAGAACAGAATTGAATACGGAGACTTGTATTAGAGCCTTTTTTTAGGAGTGACCAGAATCAGCACAATAACTTATTCATGACGTAGATTGAACAACACAGGTATTATGTCAATGGTGAGCTTTATTCTTTGCTATTCAATCAGAATATCGTGTACTTTAAAAGCTGAATGCATCTCTTTCTCTCTCTCGCTCTCTCTAAACCTGTACGATGAGTACGCATGATCGAAGTCAAAACAGTCTTTGAATTCTTTCTCAAGTTATAACTCATGAAAACGATTATCAGCTTGAAACAAGTATAATCACGAGAATAAGATCTGTTCTATTGCTCTCGATTAACTAATGAAAGGTCCAGTTTTTACTTTCTTGATTTTTCTTCCTGTAACCATGATAGGTGAATTATTAGCAGTATGTCTCGTCAATACGATTATTAGAAAGAGTATGCTAAATAACTCAAAAATCGCACATTGATAAACGTCTAATTCTAACTTTGAATCCGATTACATGAGAACGATATCAAAATTTTCTTTCTATTTAGTTAAACTATCCATATTCAACGAATAATATGGCACAAGCACATGGTCTCGATTTCAATTCATTCTTAACCTAATTCGATATTGTTTTTATTTTTATTCTTTAATGTAAATATGCACATGTGTAACATTCATGTTTAGTATTATGATTAAAAAAAAACTTTCTAGTAAAAAACAGATTTTTTGTTCATGTTTTACATTGCTTGAAGATCACAAGAAAAATAAAAAAAAAGAATTAATTTTTTTCTGGTCAGAGATACTAACACAAACAAAAGAAAAAGAAAAACAGAAAAATAAATGTCAATTTTTTTTGAGAAAGATTCTATTGAATAATTATTTATAAAGATATATCAATATTTGTTAAATCTAGATCAGCCCACAACTTGAAATCACCAAGTGTTTGAATTTGATTAAAAAAAGCTTCCTGTGTTTGTACATCAGCTGTAGCAAGTGCATCGAGCAAAAGTGGATCAAATTGTTGTTGTGACGACGATGAAAATAAAGAATCATCAATATTTGTGAATATATCTAAATTTTCAATTGACGTTGATGTGTTTTCATTAGTTTGTTGATCTAATTTTGGCGTTAATGCATCTGATGAAGTATCTGATGTATCAATATGAATCGATGAGTTGTTTGTTAATAAACCTTTTCTGAGACGTTTACGCGGTTTGTATTTATAATCAGGATATTCACGTAAATGAAGCATTTTTAATCGTTCTGCTTCATCAATGAATGGTCGACGTTCAATTTCAGTTAAACGTTTCCATCGTGCACCTAAATATTTTGATATTTCAGCATTATGCATATCCGGTGCTAATTGAACAATTTTTCGACGTTCAATTTGTGAAAAAACCATAAATGCATTCATTGGTCGTTTAACACGATTGACACGTTTTTTTGAACGAGTTTTCGTTGCATCTGAATATGGTGTTGATGTCGATGGTTCGATTGATGTTGAACCAAATGATGATGGTGGTTGAATATTTGATCCTGTTAGAAGTTCAACCAAAGCTTTTGTTTTTGTGAAGACATGTTCATTTTGATTTTCCTTATTGGTTGATGTTATAACTAACGAATAGAGAAAATAAAGTTGTCTTATGAATTCTTAAAACGAAATTCATAACTTACTACAATCAGTACGTGAAGTTGTAGGCTGTTGCATAACGCTGAGAGGTGTTTCGAGAAGTTGTGTAATACTATTTTGTGCTGATAGATTAGAATTTGTTGATGGTAAAAAAGATATTTGATTGAATGTACTGATATTATTGACGAGTGTATTTAAATCAATTGTATTTTGCGCATTGATTATTGTTGGATTTCTTGATGTTGTATTATTGGTTAATAAAAAACGATTTAAAGTCATGGGTTGTTTTGAATCTGATCTAATATAGTTATTACTATTACTATTATTATTATTATTGACAATGAAAACTGTAGGATTTGAATTCATCGTTGTATTATTTGATGTTCGAATAACAGGTGTTGTTGTTATTGTGCGAAGTTTTTGGAAAGAAGCATCACCAATCTGTAGAGGATTTATTAAATTTTTATTTACTGTTGAATTAGTTTTCATAGCTGGAATGATTATTGCATTCGTTGGAAGATTAGTTACTGATGATGCTGTAAGAATACGTGACGACATACTCGATGATAATTCTATGTTTGACATGTATTCAACTAATGTTCACTTTATATAAGCATTCATCTTAATTAGTATGAATATGGAAATGTGGACGGCAGCGGTCATTGTGTATTCAATATATATATATGACGGACGGATGGAAATGAATGTAAAAATTGCCGTTTTCTTTCTTTCTTTCTTTCTTTTTGTTTTGTTTTTTTCGTTCAATATATTGGCCGGTGTATCTGTCTAATTGTGTTGAATGCCTGTTTGTGTATGTATATGCTTTTTTTCTTCCCTTCTTCTTCTTCTTCTTCTTATTCGTGTGCATTCGCATAGATGACAAACACACCGCGCACAATCGTTTCTTTTAATTCAGAAAATGAAATGAAAGAGAAAAAAAGTATAATTTCGACCATCTGTCGGGCAACTAAGAAGAAGACAATAAAATTATGAGAGTCGTTATCGATATATCTATGAGTTGACCATGTGTCTTTGTATAAGTAGTTGATCATGATAGATTTCAGTTTGATGAGATTAAAAATAGAGATGAAAGCGAAAAAGGTATTTTCATATTTGACGTCGAAAGACAAGATCGAAATGTCCGAAAAGTCTTCAATGATTTAATGAGTTGCCTTCTCATATGTGAACCGATTGATACACTTGCATATGTAATTTTAATTGAAAAAAGAATCATCAATAGATTTTGTCACGTGATGATGACATTTATCAAGATAAGAATTACCTCATCTCTAACACGATCATGATATGATATTGCAAATGAGGTACATTCGGGGTCAAATTCACGGGAATTTTTTAATTACAATTTTTTATGTGCATGTGAATATTTGATTGTATGAGCACTAAACAGAAAATCAGTTTGACGGAAATGAAATTTATTTGGTCCTTTTTTCTGGAATGTTTGAAATCATGTATCACTAGTCATATCTAGATTGATTTGTGTCATCCGAGTAATGATAGATATGTGCGATGCTCTGATGTTATCACGACGATATACTCAATATGAATATGAAAGAATGTAATTCAAGCATTTTTCTAACAATAGATAACATTCCGATAGATTTTGCTATGATTCCGATGGGTTTTGGACAGTCGACAGGTATAAATTGTTGAAAGTTCATTGATAACAAACTTTAAAAAAAAGAAGACTTTTTATTTATGCTCTCTATTTGATCGCATTGACTAACACTGTTTGAAAACATGCTTCCGTTAGAGACTGCCTGTTGCAAGACATTTTATTGATATGAGCGAAAGAATGCATGTATTGTACTCCAAAATCCAAATTCATAGCAAAGTCATTAATTTCCCTATGAAGAAATTTTCTTCGAAGCAACTTATTTGATCAAAACTTAGCCGTAAATTATTTGAACAAAGAAGAAAGTTCATGTTAGCTAGCTAACTTAGAGTTCAAGAACGATTGCCCTCGTGCCCTCTTCCTAAGCTTCACGTCCGCTAGGCATGACCTCGCATTGCATGCATAATTGTTAAATTTAGCCGGACCGCTAACTCTGCAACGAAAAGATGAAGAAAAGTTGGCCTTTGTATGACTATATTGATGTGAGAGGCGAGACAAAATGATTACAACGGTGTGTCTGTTCAGCAGATATTTCAACAAAGATATGTGTTTAAATCTCGGATGAATTTAAAAAAAAATAATGGGCCGTTGAAATCTGTACAAAAAACTTCATAGTGATTTAGGTCCAAATCGTTCTTATGAATTTTAAGAAAAAGAATATGAATATTCTATGAAATGCTTGCAAGTCTCTTTCAATTGAATTTGAAAAAGTAAAATCCTTTTTGGCACTGACATTATGTGAAATTCTGCCTAACTTATCAAGACTTTATACTGGTTTTTAGTAGCAATTTATATAGCAACAGGTTCTGTATATTTTTATCGGTTCATCGATTAATTTATTATCTATTGGTTTAGCTTCAATCCATTATGATTTTAATGTTTCATATGAAAACAGTATCGAAGCATAAAAAATTCTAGTCACAATATGTGTCCAATGTGTTACGATGTAAAAATTAACTGAATTTCTTCTCAAACTTTCAATTAAATTAAGTTGGTGTCAATCATTTCAATTCAGTCTACTAAGATTCATTTAATAACAATTATTTTGGACATATTCAATCAAGTCTAGTTCATTGAATACAAGTCTTAAACGTTGTTCAACTGAGGGCTTGGTGCTTTTCTTAAAATTGAAGCCATACAATTTCATAGTGTATCGAAAATATATAACTAAATAGAGAATAGTGGCAGCTTCTAATTATTGCTCTTGTATACTTAATATTTTGTTTACACGTGAAATAATTCTGTGCTAACAATTGCTAATCGTCTGTATCAATTGAAACACATGAACAATAGATTATTGTCCGTTAGAGCTATTCACACAGTTCGTATCCTATCAAGTGAATCATAGCTATTGCATTGAGACATACAACAAATGCGTTCGATAATAGTATAAGTTTGTTTTCCTATTTATCATAAAATCCTATTTATGGCTTCATTGGGAATTTTTTTCCTGAAGCATATAAAAAGCCAATAAGTAAATTGACATTTCCCATGATACATTGACTCTAACTGAGCAGCTATGAATGCAGAAAATTATAAGAATTTGACTCAGATACGGTTCAGCAGTTTCCTGACTTCAACATCTGATATTAATCATTATTTCAATAGTGTCTGATAACAATCTGAATTTAGTTGATTTGACAAAAAAATATATTGCTTGAGAACGATATCAGTTATGTAATTCTCTTTAGAATTGAAAATTGACGAAAAGAAAATGAATTTCAATGACGAAAAAAACAAGACACGAAACCGATTTCAGTAGATTAATCGTTAGGAGCATGTTTTATTTATGTTTACTAAACGGATCTATCGTATGCTTTAATTTCATTCGATATGGTTTTCTGTTGTCACATTGAGAATAGTTCACTTCTACAATTGTTTGCATTAATATGCATTTTATGAAAAGAATAACAAAATCTATTGATCAACAATAAAATAAAACGAAAGAAAACAAGGTGAACATGTACTTTATCTCAAGAATTCTCTTTAAATCAATTTAAATTGCCTAGTGAGAGTAATCTTCATTTCTCTAAGCAGCTACTTTTTGACTGATGGGTTCTTTGAGAATATGATCAAGATAGTTTTTCACTTCAGGCCAAATTTGATCACTTTCACGTCCATGAAAATCTTGAAGAATACCTAATTGTCTAAAAGTATGAGACAAAGAAAAATAGATTTTTATTTTACAAACATTTGAATAAACTTACTTATAAAATTGTATAATTGGATTTGTATTTTTATTATAAGCATTCAATCGATGCCGAATAACTGCAGGTATATCATCTTCTCGTTGTGCTAATGGTTCGCCTGTTACATCGTCTTTTCCAGCTTCTTTCGGTGGACTCCATAAACGATTATAGACTCGTCCACTTGATAAATGAAACCATCTGTCATTTAAACGATTTATAATTTCATCAGCAGGCACATGAATGGCAATAACATGATCAACTTTCATTTGTCGATACAACATTTCAGCTTGATTTAATGTACGTGGATAACCTGTGATAATCCAATAGATAAATAATTCATTGAAAATAAAAATGCAATTCATCTACTTTGTCTTACCTTCTAATAGAAAGCCTTGTTCACGATTTTTTTCAAGTTCATCAACAAGAAATTTTAATATTAGGTCATCAGATAATAGAAGGCCTTTATTAACATACTCTCTGATTGTTCGACTCTCCTCTTATTAGTAAAAGAAATATTTATATAAATAAAATATTCAATCAATATCTATTAACTACCTGATTGCTGTTGAATATTTTGTCGAACTAAATCTCCGGCAACTATGTAAGGCATACCATATGCTTTTACTATTCGAGTGGCAATCGTACTTTTACCAGAACCAGGAGCACCTAATATCACTAATCGACGAGCGATTTGAGAAGCCATTTATTATTCAAATAAAAGACTAATTTATCAATTAAAGGATAAATATGTTTGTTACAAGCACTACTCGCAAAATATGAGTCATCGTTCGTACAGTTTTTACTTGTAAATAGCAGCGACATAAAGGTCAATGTAGAGGTCGATCTATGTCGACAAGAGATAAAATAAACAATCGAACAAGTCTACTTGTTAGGAAAATACCTTTACCGTTGCTTGCTGGAATACCTTCTCATGTATTATAGCGTATTTTAGAAGCTTTGAGAGCTATGCATTTTTCAATCAATAATACACGAACTGATATAGAAAAACTTCTTTCAACGGAAGATCACATTACAAGAAACGATATGCAGATCTAATAGCAGACTATAAATTATTCATTATTTTCTTGAGAATGTGAATGAATCAGCAACGTCGCTATAATGAGCAGTGTGACTGCAGTATAAATAATGCATAAATTAGTATTTTGTATCTAATAATTTACAATTCTATTCGCATATGGTTTACACTACTGGGGACGCAACATTCCCCTCTAGTTCACCCTCAATTAAGAATTCTTTTTTATCATTTGCTACAAAAGCAGACTAACTGTTCATTGTAGTGCTCGATGTTATCTAAATAGGAAAATTTCTTTCTAATAGAAACACCTATTGGGTTTGTATGTTTAATATCGTATAATTATATTGTATTTCAACTTCAGCTGATGCTTACATGTAGCAGAATTGCAACCCATGAATCCTCAGTAAGTCTATGAAGACATCTACTACGTATATGGATTTCGTTTTCTTGAAATGGGAACTGTTATGATCTGTGTATGCATTGCACACACAGATCATTAGTATCATCTATCTCAATAACGCTATATTTCTTTCTCTTATTTTCCACCACACATTATTATTGCGTATTCTTTATCTCATTGGAGATAATTGAATTGAATACGAATATGTCTGTCCCTGCTATGGGTTTCAGTTCTTGTTTATTATTGTTAAAGTATATGTTATCGAACCTGCTAATAAAGAAGTGAAAGTATACCTTAACAAGAACTTACTAAATTTTTCTTGTTGAAAAATCAAATGATTTATCCTTATAACACACCTCAATTTCGAATAATCTAGACGAAGCATAAGATCTTCTCGGTTGTAATTTACTTATTTTATTTATTATTCACTGCTAAATTAAAAAAAACATTAAGTTTTCCCATTTGATTATGATATTCTCATAAGCGGTGGAAACTATTCAGGAGTTAAAATCCATTGAGCAAGTCGAGCACTGGTTAAAAAATCTGTTGAATATGTACAAAAATTCCAGAATAGATCATCCTGCATAAATTTATCAAGTTCCTTGAATTCATTATTTGAAATATTTTGTCGATGTGAAATAATTGTTGATGATAACAATGGATCAAAACAAGTATCACTCTTAACAATTGATTCATCTTGTTCGTCGAAATTTTTGAAAAAATCATCAAATAAATGATCATCTCTCTCGTCGTTCATATTTATTGATGCATCTTTATTAAAAAGAACATCGGATCTATTATGAGTTTTATTGATTATTGATGAATAATTTGTATTTCGATTTTGTTCAAGATATCGCAGCACAGCTGGATTAACAACAACTCGACCACCATTTATTTCACTCGGTGAACTAATTGGACTATTGGTTAATATTATATTATCATCGATGTTATTGTTAAAATCATCTTTTTTCTTTGGCCTACCACCTTTATTTACTATTGGAGTATATATCCAGTTTAAATCATCATTTGTAAGATCATTCGAATAATTTATATTTAGTAAGGGTAATGCAGTTTGTGACGGAAGGAAAGATGATGATGATGATGATAGAGAAGAACGTGACAAGGATTTTTGAATAGTTTTATTTGGTTTTGTTTTATCTTTTTTACTACCTTTTTGCCTTCGCATTTCACTTGTTTGTTGTTGAATAATCTATACGAGATTTTATATCAAGTTTGAATGTATTTAAATGAGTTCGTTTTAAGAAAACGAATTTTCAAAGTACGGCGCCTTATAATTACAATTAAATTGAAGAGTAGCAAAATAAATTTTTCGACTTAAGTCAAGAATAAGGATTGGAGCGATGATAGTACTATCACCAAATAAATAAATTATTTGAATTCCTTTTCTTCTAGACGACCAGTAAAATGAACACTTTGAAAGTAATGGGTGTAATGTCGAGGCTAAACGGTGAATATCAATTTCATTATCTGATAGGAAAAAACTACGATAGAAATGAATCACATCACGAGAAAAAGAGAATCAGTATTGTAACATCAAAGAGATATGAAAGAAATCTTTTGATTTTACAATGATAAAATTGTTAGAAAAAAATCACTATTAACATTCTTATTATCATTTATTCTATTAGAAAAACATGTAAAATAGGCAATGTAGACTAATGTTGGTAATAACTATCAATATATAGTCACATGCTGAGTAGTTTCTTACTAATTGGGTGTATATAAATCATAGCGAAATGCTTTTCTCTCTGTTCGATTGATACAAAACATTTCTCGATCGGCGAGCACAAAATTATTTATAACTTACTTACTTATTCACTATCAACACGTCTAACCATAGCCAGAGAGTAAGGTTTGATTGAATTTGGATACATCTGACATTTGGTTGAGTTCATCATGCTTTCAAAGGTGAACTTGTAAGTACTATCTGTGATAGAAAAAAAAGACACCAGAATTCGTAGATTATTTCAAAGTTCTACTCAAAAGTTACAAACATGTATGAGGTGAGTACGAATGAGTTTTATCGGTTTGTAAATAACTCGAGAAATATGTATTATGTAAAAACATAATTACCTCGCATTAGTTAATCGATTTTTATATCTAAGCGTTTAGAACAGTTCCAGAATGATTGTTCGGAATACTCAGGTAACTTATTTACCATTTGGCTAATTTATCATTGTACCATATTCTCAAAGTAAATCTATTTAAGGACAGTCATGTGACAGTATTATTATTAGATTGTCTGCTTTTCTCTCAATTAATGGCACTCAAAGTAATAGTATTGTTTTCTACCACGGGATATTTCTACTGTAATTAGTTTGGAGTTTAGTGTCATATATTGACAATATGAAAAACAACATACTCCAGCGTTTACTTGATGTTAAAGACGGAGATTATGGTCCGTACCAGAACATGTCAACAATATGCACGGCATGGTTATCACCCTTAAAAACATAGTAATTAAATCAGATGTTCAAATATGATTCGTATGTAGAGGTGTTTGGCAACATTACTGCTAGCAATTGAATACTATTGTGACATATCTTCTCATACGTATATATTTCATTAAATTTGAATTTATACTAGATATTTGTATTACTTCTAAATGAATGGAATCAGGTTGAAATTTGACGTCTAGATGGTAACAAATTACTTATCGGAAAAATTCTGCGAATTATTTTCAGAAAAAATTTACTAATTAATGTTTTTCTCACGAGTTGCTTTTTGTATTGATGAGAGAAAAGCTACAATAGATTGCGGGGTCAAACATAAGTCTATTAATATTCATTTTGGTTTACAGGATTTACTGTCCGCGGATTTACTGCCCATTGATTGTTTTTCTTAGAAAATTGTTTTTCTTCTACAAAAAGTATAATTTTTGCTGCTGAGGATTTACTGTCCATTGATTGAATAATTTTTCTTTTCCAATTAGCGTTTTTCGCGTTTGAGGATTTACTGTCCGTTGATTGCCTCGAAGAATAGACATGAACAGAAAAATATTTATCGCAATCAACTACGCATGTTTAGAAGAAAAAAAAGAATTCAAACAAATATATGAGGAAATAACAAAGAGAATAAGGAATTGATTAATAAATAAACCAAAAAAGATGAATGGATGTTCAACTTTTTGGTGGGCGCTGAAAATATTTAAGTCCAGCAGCTTTTAAGAATGATGGAATATCGATAATCGAGGCAGCAGAATTGTCGTTTACCATGGGTAGATTCAGTAAATATGGCAGACATTTTTAGCAAGAGTATGATCAGAAAATTATGTTCTTTGAATTTATATATGTTTTTTGTCATATTAATGATTATTTTACTCCCCAATTTGATGAGTTTCCGTCATTTTAAATTGAAAATTTATTCAACAGTTCATTCATTGGTGACTCTTTTGTTTTTCCACATTTATGTAATTTTTTGCTCAGAAAAGGTATTGGCTGTCAAGATCATTACTCATTTATTAATTTCTCTTCTTCGAAGCAACTAATTGGACAGTAAATCCTCAAACGAGAAAAACACTAATTGAAAAAAAAAAGTTATTCAATCAATGGACAGTAAATCGTGTACACGCATTTTCAGATGATGTAAAAGTAACGCTGTTTTTCTTAGCTGCGCGAAGAGAAACAGGTTTATCTTTGATAGCTCGATGCATCCTACATGTATTATTCGGGTTGATTATAAACGAGGAAAATTTTCTGTCAGCGACTGCGTTGTTTTTTGTTTTGAAAATAAAACATAGATATGTAGATATAGGATGAGCGTGGCCTTATTTAGAAAAAAACGCATTAATAAATATGTCGTGTATTATTAAACTCGAATTATATATATATATATATATATATTGTGACGAGTTCCATCCATCACGACTGCTTCAAGAGTGCGTGTACTCATTAGTAACTATTATCATTTAGTCATTAGTTCATATTTGCTTCTCTCTTCTCTTCTTCTTCACTGTTTATATTATTCGTATCAGCATTGTTACTCCAAAAAGAGTATTCATTCTGAATACAAAGAAGAAGCGAACAAATCGTTTCATCAGATATATATATAGTTTTTGCTTTTAGATATGATTGAGTACATAACAGAATAGGTTTTTTTTTGTTCTAAGATATAATTTAATTTTCTATGCAAAACGGACAACTAGGAGCGCTGAGTATAGAGAGAAATAGAATTAGAAATTAGATGAAAATAAAATCTATTTCGAGTCTCCTCCGCTCTATTATCACTCTTTGACAAAGTGATTAACTAATTATAGTTTAATTAATTTGATCTTAGTCGATAGAAAAAATTACTTATCTATGATAGGAATGACTCGAATTGATATACGTAGAAATAATAAAGGTGCACTATTTTTGGGAATTGCATTAGAACATCTGATTCTAATTGTGTTTTTTTGTTCTTAACGATTAGAAATATTGTCTTATCAGCCAAAAAATATACGAAGGTATTAAGAATCTAGACGTCTATCAATTACTTATCTTTTCTTCCTTTTTTTTGTTAATAACAAATATTTCTTGCTATTTTCTATAAAAAAAGAACACTTACGACAGTCCTTGACACTAACTATCCTTAAAGACAACGAGCCTAACCACAGCTAACAGTTCTTATCAGTAAATGACTTGATAAGACTTGCCAGAGAGAGAGAGAGAGAGAAAGAGAGAGAAAAGAAAAGAAAAACTCCATTTTTTTTGTTACAGAGAACTTTATCAATATTGATTTTATCTTTACCATAAATTTTAGATACACTCTAGTGACCTATTATTACTGGACTTCTTGTTTGATTCTATAAAAAACGAAACTGAACTCTCTGTAGCTATAGGTAACACAATAACAATATTCGACATGAATTTCTGATATAGTACATAATGATGCTTGCTTAGCCACTTAATTGTTTACAATCAACTACGAAAGCGTTTGTTACTCTGATTTTTGCCTGCAAGCATAGTATATTTTCTTTTCCTTTCCTTTCCCTTTTCTTCTTCTTATAATTATTTTACATCTGATTGAAAGTAATTATGCTTTTTTCATTTATAACATTGAATGCTTGTTTTTCGCTTCTGAAATATATTAATGTCGTAATAATAATGATGATGATGATAATGATGATGATGATGAAAAGAAAATATGCATGAGTGTTTATGTGTATATTGTTGTGCAGGTATTCTGGTGTAAAATATTTTGTCCTTCGACACATGTTTCATACAGATTCAGTAGTGATTATCTTCCTGTGATCAAATTCGTGACAATTTGTTATTTTTCCATTTATATACCCACTAGTGATTCTTGTACATAACAATTACTTCTAGTATTTCAACAAATTTCAAATAACCGACATGTTTTCTATAAGACATGCTCGTAGACACGTGCAAGTATTATTTTGTTCAAATAAAATCGATCATGTTAATCAAATGTTAAGATATTAATGTTGACAGCTTAGGATTAATGAAGTTTTCTTCTTTTTAAATTTTATTTAGGTAAGCAAAATAAAAATCTATTGTGCCATCAGTAGTAAAATATTTAATCAGGATTGAAAAGTTTTTTTGAATAATAATTAAAGTATTTGAAAACGATTTCCAAATTGTAATCTATCGATAAGAGTTATACATCAAATGCAATCATTATAAAGTACTATAATAATTTATTCTTAAAAGAGACTTAGAGATGTACATCATCATTCATCAGGAGAATATATTTTATTACTAGAAATCTATTGGATAAACATTACCAAGCACACACAACACGTTGACGAAAGAAAGAAGAAAGAGTATATATTACTATACAGTTGGGCCACATTTCAAACGTCACTATCATAACATCATCGTCGATGAATCGTTTCGTGTTTCCTTACATCGACTGACAAGTAGTCGTCTAAGGTTGATAAGCAATGAGGCGAGGCCAGTAGCATACGTATAAACATATATGTTTACTTGTGTATTTAAATAACGTCGTACCATTGAAACTATAAAACATCGAAGAAAAAACTATGCCGATAATTAAGCGTTGTTGAACATATTGCACTTCAGGTAAAACTCATCAATCAAAGCATATTTGCTTATTTTGATCTAATAATAATCTCTATGAATTATTTAAACCTTTAAACTGCTAGGCGAAAAAAAGATATTCATCTGCATAAAAAAGAAGAACGCATATATTAATATTTAATTTCATTCTATTAATAAAAATAAAGAGAAGTGAGAAATGTAATGTCATCATTTGAGTAGAATGATAAGATGATAGTGATCTTAATAGAGCTAATAGCAGATGGCTGAAGTATTTTAATAAAATAGCAGCACTTGCAATGTTTGAAGTGACTAAAGAAAAAGTGAAAGAACGGCCACTTTTCTCTATTTAAAATTTTGACCGTATTACTTTTGAATAATTGTTTTCAGAAGACTTTCTTTTGTATGCCGTGTCTAAAATAGTTTCTAGTCATTTATTCACTTCTATCGTGAGTATCATGTAAATCTTAAAAAATAATTAGAAAAAATGTACACATATCTCATCCCTCGGTAGTGTCTTTTGCAATAAACCTTCTAAAGTTTAATTGATGATATTCAAACTAATCATCGTCATGAAGGAAAAAGTCGAATAATGCCAAGGTTATATTCAAATATATATTCACAGCTGATTTGACAAATTTTTCTATTCAAAAGAATATTTTTTGTATCCTTCTAATTTTTCTATCATGTTCTTCGCAATGAAAAATTTTCTTTCAATATTCTCAATTTTTTCTTAGGTGTCACAATTTCGCATACAGAAATAATAGTGCTAGCTTCTTTACCCAATAAAATTAATTATAGTTTAACTCCTCTGAGAGTTTGATGTGGATAGTAAGCAAAAGTAATTCCAGAAGAAATTTGATCATTTTTACGGATATTCTGGAATTCCCATCTATCTACCACTTAGAAATAATAGCAGAAAAAACTGTCAAAAGAAATTAGTTATTAATATCGTCTTTTTTTTAGAAAATCTTCTGACGCGTTTTGACAAAAATTAGAAAAAATTGCGAAATTTTTTTGTTTAATTTTAGAGTTTTTACTATTGCTTGAAAGTTTCAAATAATTATACAGAGTATCGTCGACAGGAGACGCCAGCCATGTTAATAGTGAGTACATGATAGCATCTATGACTTTTAATTACTTAGTTAATATAAAACGAAGTCTGAATATAAGGATGAGATAGTTTGATATTCAAAGCACCTCTGCCTCTCACTCTCTCGATACTTAATTGATTGTTGTTTATGGTCTATTTAGAAACTTTAGATGTAAACAGGTTTGACGTGAGAATTTTTTTCTTCTTAGTCTCATAGTCCTCACGAGAGAAGACAAGTAATTTCTTAACCAAAATCAACACACACGATAAGACTCTCGAGATTTGTACAATAAATATTCATCTATGTTATATTTGTTGAGCATATATCATCGTTTGATTTTCATACTGTTAGAAAAATAGTCTTACTCTTTATATTTAAAAATAGAACTTGGTATTTGTTAGTTTCTCTTTTATTAATATCTTTCTATTCTTGTTGAATAACTTGAAAAAGATTAATAGATAAAATGCACTAAATATGACAAAATTTTCAGACTTGTCTGTTTTCTTGACATCCGAGCAAATGATATTGAGTTTGAAATGTATATAGGATTGCTTGAGTATAAACATTGGCGACTTTCTTAAATATTTTCAAATTCTTTGTATTAAATGATATGAAACTTTTGATTTTATTTTTTTATAAAGTGAACAAACCACGATAATTAAAGAGAACGTTCGAAAAGAAATATGATCTAAATTTATCGATGCTGTCGAATCGACATGTGCCATGCGATACTTTACATCGTTCGTTTACTGAGAAAATATGCATGTTTCTGACATGAAAAGAAAGTCGTGATAGCCGGTCTATCTATTTAAGCATTTTTCTATCTATCTATATATATTTCCTTACATCAATTGCCTATTTCTCATTGTGATGTTATTAACAATGACAAGTAAAAGGTAAGACAAGCGATGTGTTTAGAAGAAATAGTTTTATGATGCATACCCATTGATTGATTAGATTGGTTCTAGAACCCTACTTCTTATAGTTCCATGACATTTTTCATTCTTCTTCTTCTTCTTCTTCTTCTTTCCTCATTCATTCTCGCTTTTCTATTTGTTAGTGTCTATCATATAATTTCTTTTCTCTTTTTGTTTCTCTTAACACCTCTGTTATACATTCATTCTTCTAGTTTTACTTCTTGAGATGGATAGACTCGGTTCAACAGAAGTTCAAAAACAATTTTGACTTATGAAACATAATTCATCTCTTGATAAACTCTAATTTTTTCTTCTTTCTTTTTCATAAATATAAGTGTTCTTGATTGTTTTTAATATCTAGATTTATTATTATTATTGGCAAAGAAATAAGCGTAGAAAAATAATATTCCATAGGTATGTTATGTGAAAGTTTATAAAGATTATATCTGTAAAAAGAGAAAAAAAGAGAAAAGTATTTTTAACCCTTTCATGACATTGAAACGAAATAGAGCATATAAAAACTTCTTAAGAGATAAAGGAAATCTTTTTTATCCTTAAGATTGAATTCTATATTTGACTTGATTTTTGAAAGCAATTTATTCATAGCATACATCTAAACTTAATCGTAAAGAGAAAAAAGTTTTTGGTATTGTCTAAGCATTGGTTTACGGCTGAAGATGCTTATATTCTTTCAGTGATAATAATGGTAGATCGTGCCCATTTTGAAGGCGTGAGAACTGAAAGGTAGCAACAGGCAGTTGACTTCATTCCGCCACCTATGATTTCATCATTAAGCATACTTCTAAATACTATTGAATAATAACGAGTAATCATTTAGTTTATATTCTAGAAATCTTTTCATATTTCTTCGTAAGTTAAGAAGAATCAATAGTTTTCTTCTGAGCACAACAAAGCTAACCGCCGACTCAGCTACCAATTAAGCAGCTGGCTTTATTGAAACGTGTTTATTATTACCCATATGAGATCGAGCAGTATCTTTGAATTATTTTCTTAGTATTCTCAAAAGAGACCTCTGTTATCAGAAATATTGCTATTTGGCGTGTACGTTGAATTACATCGATCTATATATAGTTTAGTGAAGTAATAAATTAGTTTGATAAGAATAGAACGAAAAAGAAAAATATGCCGATTTCTTCTCTCTCTCTCTCTCTCTCTCTTTTGTATTGATCAATGTGAAGTACGTGCCAGACACAAGAAAAATTAAATGTCGTTTCTTTCATTTTAGATTTTCATTTTGATAGCCATGATGAAATATGATTTTATTGATCGTCGATAACAATAATAATAATATTATTAGTAGTAGTAGTAATAAAATGTGACGATGCCAACCGAAACTTTACTGACTGTTCGTGAAATTATTCGAAATTCCAATCAGTCTAGATCAATTAATGCACTAACGGACATACTTCCATCGTCAACGATTAGTCAACTTTCTACTACAAAAACTTCTGATATTTCACCATTGGCATGTATTGGTTTTTCTGTACTGATATTAACGACAGTGATTGGTAATACACTTGTACTTGCTGCACTTTTTCTCGATAAGCGACTTCATACACCGTCATTTTTTCTTATTGCTAACATGGCCATTGCCGATCTATTACTTGGTGAGAGGATTTTTCTAAGAGATTCTTCAATCAAAAGACTATTTAGGTGTATCGGTCCTTCCATTTTCATCTGTACTCGAACTTCTTAATAATCGTTGGATATTTGGTCAAAATTTTTGTTCAGCATGGCTTGCACTTGATGTTCTCTGTTGTACAGCTTCTATTATAGGTTTAGCTGGTGTATCGATCGATCGATATATTGGTGTGACTCGACCATTAAAATATAGTAGTCTAATGACCATACGACGAACAATTTATTTAATAATTATTATTTGGGCTGTATCGATTTTAACATCTGTTGTACCTTTATTTGGTTTAACTGATCGAGGAGCACCAGCGAAAAATATCAATTCATCAGATGTAATATCAGAGACGTGTGAAATTAATAAAAATACATTTTATACAATATTTTCTTCAATGATGTCATTTTATATACCAGTTATTATACTTCTTATACTTTATTCACGTATTTATCAAGAAGCAAAAGAGCAAGGAAAAAAATTAGAAAATGAAAAACGACGTCTCTATGAAATTGACTATCAAATAGCATCTGAACATGCTCGAAAACAACAAAATCAATCAAATGGACATTCAGTCAAAACTCGAATGTCTTCAAACCGATCAAATGATACTAAAAATGATGTATCATCAATGCTTTTAAATCGTGAACGTATTCCCGATGAAGAAAGTGCTTTCGATCGCGATTTATCATCAACCTATGAAGAACCAACGAAAAAAAATGGTTCAGATCTTCAGGTATTTAAAAAAAACTTAGAATATCAATGCTTTTGTTAGGTCTCATTGCATTTTTAGTTGCACAGAGTGTATCTATTTAGAAAACTATATTATTGAAAAAAGTTCTTTAGAATAATAGATGAGACAGATGAGTTAGCAAACAATTTAACTGGACCATTCCGGGAGGAATTAAACGATAAAAGAATCAGACATACTTTAATAAAATGATGGTAAAAGTTTTCTTTTCATAAAATATACTTTTTGTGCGTTAAAATTATAGTGGAAAATTGTAAAATATAATTAATTATTTAATAAACAGCAAAATATCTGCTAATTGAAAAAAAAACTATTCTGTATTGAAATTATTTTATCTCATGCTTACGACAATAATAGAGTACGATGAGTTTTGATCGGTAAATAACAATCACGACTTAATCAGTCTTCATGCGATGAAACAAGAAGGTCATCAGAGATTTTGTTTCAAGCGAAATTATTCCAATATGAGGAAAAAAAGAACGTACAAACGTTAATTCGATGAAGTTATGTTTGTTATTTGTAGTACGAGAATTGATAAACTTCATCAATGAATATCCGTTAATTGTTCGCTCTAGATTCTTTTTCTCCAATTAGTTCTTTGCACGAAACTAGCATTTACTAAAACTTTCAGGATGATAGAGCTTGTTAAACTGAAAATCTATGGAAAAGCTATTTGAGACAATAGAACGCTTGTTGTAGTTTAAAAATGCAAGTAAATTGCAATTTCCTGTATGTAATATAGAAAAGACATCACAGTTTTATGTGTTAATACAAGGGTAAATAAGTAACGTTTACAGATAATAGAAAATCATAAATGTATGTTCAAAAATGGAAACAGCAGTTGGATTCGAATTTCAATGTATTAGGGTCGATCGACTTATTTTTGTTATTAGAAATATGATGCAAAATAATTCAAATTTAGATAGTTTGCAGCTTACAGCAGAATGCTTATTGACTATTGTAAAACAACTATAAGTCAACGGATTGTTTTGATTATAGAAAGTGATATCAAAGTTCTCCATAGGAATCATTGTATTTTTGTTTTTGATTCTTAAATATCAATACTTTATCCATGCGATTCAAACCAGATAAATATCATATGGATGTCTAAGAATTAAACGATCGGTTGTCCCCTAACGAATAATTTATTTCTAACACACCATCAATCGTGCCAAGAAACTTGCAATATGAGAATATTTAGAAAAATATCAATATTAAATAAAAATACGAAACCTCCCAGCATAGAGAAATGTTGAATGATGATTATAAAAGAAAAACTATGTCTCTATTAAATTTTCTTTGATCTCTCATAAGAATAATATATTTCAGCTGATAGAATCAACTCTGCCGAAGTTTGTCCTTATTGATTCATATGCAACGTGTATGCATCTTCCTCGAGATCTGAATCGTTTGGTCGAAAAAATTGAATACAAAATTAAAATGCATTCAAAGTTAATAAGAATCTTTGTTTTTCAATTTCTAGAATGTTCCTGATGATGATGTATCCCATAATGGAATTTCCGGGAGTCGCCGTAAAAGTCGAGTACGTTCCTTAATTGACAAAAGTATATTATCCACCATACGAAAAAATTCTATTCTTCATAATTCTCATTTTTCGCATTACAACAATAGCATGTCATCAGACGATGAATTAACTATATTAAAACATAAATTACATAATCTAAAATGTGAGAAAAAAGCGTTTCGTACAGTTGGTCTTATTCTTGGTGCTTTACTGATATGTTGGTTTCCGTTTTTTTTAACATTACCTCTTACGGCAATACTGAAAGATTACAAAATAATCAATGATGAAAATATTGCCAATACATGGTTTAAAATTACTTTTTGGCTTGGCTATTGCAATTCAGCAGTAAGTTACAACAGACAAAAACTTGATTACTATTTCTTCACCTGATTTTTTTTTGAAAAGTTAAATCCATTTGTCTACGCTTTTTCAAATCGTGCAATACGTCGAGCATTTCGTGAAGCGATATTCCGTCGGTTTTGCTTTTGTTGTATTTGCCGAAAGAAATCAAACCCTTTTAATGAGCCATCGTTGTCTCGACGTCGTGGTACAGATAGTTGTCCAATCGGAGCAGAAGTATCCAAGATACCTACGAAACGAGCTAGTTTACATTTCGCAGATGCTGTTCGAGCAATATCAAAAAACGAATATGACGTTGACGATTCGTCTAATAGACTGCCTCGAGACCCTAATACTCATAGACCAGCTGTTTCATTTGCTGACTTTCTTAATGAACATGATCCCAACAATGATACTTCTCGTGATAATCAAAAACCAAATTCAGAATTCATTTCAACGCTGCCACAGAATAATTCGACCTCGAATTCGAATTCTTAAACAAACGCAATAACTTGTCTTATTGGCTCAATGTACCGGTGAATTATTGTGTTTCTTTTTTCTTGCATTAATTTTTTTTTTGGCATAAATAAAAAATTTTCTCTTCTTTCTCTAGCTCGTACTGAGCCTATCTGTGTGACTTACATGGACCACATTCCGCTTCAATATTTTTTTGTTTCTGTTTTTCATCTCTTTTTTTGCATGTTTAGTCGCTTCTTTTTGTAAATTGTAACAAAAACCAAATTTATTTATAGAAATAAGGTCTTTTTTTTATATATATAACATAGTTTTGAAAACTATCTAAGAACAAGTTAGATGATAGAAATTCGTTCAAACATGCAACGTCCATGTTGCTTTAGGCATAATACATATAGTAGGGATAGGACAATTATACTGTAACGCTTTTGAGTTACTTGTGGTTTATTCTTTCATATGTTATGGAAGGACTACAACGAAAAAGGAAGGAAAAGGACAGGAGAAGAAGATTAAGTCAAAAGCGGCTGATGAACAACAATTAAACAAGGGTATTTATATGCGTGCGCGAAAGAGAATAATGATAAAGAGAGGCACTTCTCCCAGCGATGAGTGAGTGTATAACAGGTGAACCCATCACATATACCTGTGTAAAAGACTAGAGGAAATATATTTACTAACAATGCCGTGGCGAATTTATTTTACATAATCTAACTGAGTATTAGTTATCATGTTAAATTTAATTTATTAGCTTTATAATAGTTACAAAAGCTACAAATCGTCTAGAATTAAAGATTTTAGTTCTGTTGGCAGTTTTCACCGTTTCTACTCAATACAGATTATGCTGAATATTCAAATAGTCGTTATAACAATTCTGCTATAATTACTGACAAGAATTAAAATGACGACTAATGGAAAGTATGCACGCCATGTGTTCTGTGCATCATTGACACAGCTTAGTTTTAATAATACTTCAAATTAAATTAAATTTAGCTGATTATGTGAATCATGAAACGAAACATAATTGCAAGATTAGAGAGCGGTTAACATAATAAGATTATGATTCACGATAGATGTGAATGTAGAGAGAATCCCAACTGAAACATACGACTATAATCTGCTCCTATCGCAATAATTGATATTTTATTGAATCATACAAAATATGCAACTTGGGTACATCATATAACGAAAATTTTTATTTCTAAATTAAAGTTCACAGTACAGTATATTTTACTTTCTATGGTAAAGTTGATTAGTGCAATAGACTTGTGATATACAGATTTTCTTAAAAAAACACGCACCAAGCGGTTGACAGCAAACAATAGTATATGAAATGTCACCATAATTGATGGTGAAAATTTTCAAGGTGTTTGATGAGTTTTTCATTATCAACTTATTAAATCTTTCTAGGGTATGAAATGGATTAGCTTGGCTAGAGCGCATTGGGCATTTTCCGTTTGAAAATCATAATTAAAGTCATCCAACCATTAGGATTTGCTTCTTTTTCTTGTTTTCCCATAAAATGCATTCGAAAGATTAATGTTTCTTGCACTCATGTAAACTGTACTCGAAGATCACTATCAATATTCTGCAAGTATCGATCTTGAGAGAGTTTAGATATGAATATTCTTTGAGCTCGGATCCATATTTACTCTCCTATTGTTGACAACAGTGTATTAACACCGAGTATTTTAATTATTTGAAAAGTTTGTTCAGTATCATATGAATGCCATGGCAGAGACCAATAAATAGTGTAACTAAATGATCATGATGGCAGTTTTATTTTTCTATGAGAACATACGCAAAATCAAATGTACTCACTCTCGCGATAAAATAAGAATAAAGATCAACAATGAAAATGCAATGACTGCATTGGAAGTTTAACTGAATATTTCTGCTTCAAATATTTAGACAACAATAGTCTTATGTTGTTCAATAAAATCTACTCGTGAGAGAAAATTTGATGTAAACGATATCGTAGAGAGATCACGGACAACGCTTGGATAGCTCAAAAGTTATTCATTTTCTATTTTTACGGATTCATTCTTGGCACGTCCTATTTTTTTAAGCACCATATATCTTAGAGTATCTCATACACAAGAATTATTAACAGAAGAATAGGTTATTAAGAAAATAAAATCTCATTTTAAAACCATCCACTATAAATAAGTTTTTTTTCTCTCCTCCCTACAGGCAAAAAAACATCTAAGTTAAAAATGAGTTTGCTATTTCGAATGTTATTTTTGGTCATTGTATTTCCAAAGATTTTTAATCTCTCAGTGTTATTGATAGTGTCTCAAATTATAGATATTTTAATCTAGGAGAAACTGGATAAGCCCGGGGATTCTAGTGAGATTCACAAACAACTTATTGTTTAACATACAAATAGAAAATTCGAGATTTACTGAATGTCTATTGGAAATAACAAAATGTGCTGCAACGTCTACATACAGTATTAATCTTAAAAATGATGAAAACGGCTTAAAGCTTTATAATTAAGAACAAGCAATTCTTTATTTTCCATAATGCACTCAACGAACGAACTAAACGCATTTTCTCTAGTCTTTTTATTTTATTTTTTTGGATGTATTTCCATTAACATATATTAGTTTACAGTTTACATTTATACATAGCTCTATCGTCGAACATAAATGTCATAATAAATGGCGACGAAGACTTCTTTCATGATGGAAACAATGCATTACCAATTCTTTCATATTTGTTAGCCATCTGTGCCGATATATTCATCAAATAACATCTTCTTCGCTTTTCTCGATAGTTTAGTATCTAATTATTTATCAATATGTGTAGTTCACTTGAAAATAAATTTGTCTCGTTTTATTTTACAATTCTTTGAGTCACTATGATTTTCATTCATTTCGTCAAAGAAATAGACAACTCATGCTAAATCTGAATATAGATAGAAGTAAAAGAAAAATATGAATTTCGTTTTCTCGAACAATATTCGATCATTCACTCATTGTCATTCTCATGAAAATGGTCTTCGTTTGGATAGTTAATTGTGATATTAAAGAAAAACATAGAAGTTAATAATGGCTCATTGCCGATTGCATGGCAACAGGAATGAGTGAATTGTTAAGTAGAGCATTTAATTCGATACTTCCCATTTCCCATCATTGAAGGAAGTCTTATCAGAAAAAGAACTAATACAAAGCTATTTTTAGCATCAAATAAATTATTACATCCTGAAAACTCGCAGTATATTTATGTCAGAGAGCTCATGTCTGTCAATAGAACGCAAATGAACATAAATCTTCGATTTTGACACAAATGCACACAAATCTCATGCTGCTGCAGGAACGATTGAAAGCTATACCATATGACGATGCAAGTCGAGTACGCATTTCTTGTTTTTATGTGAGAAAGATAGTATTCTATTTCATATGAGTACTTGGATAAAAGTCACAATCTTTTAGAAATAATAGCTAGTTTATGTTTGTCATTGGCAGACCTATTATGTATGAAATTATTGATTCGTCGTTATCCGCAGCAGCAATTAAAAATTATTTCAAATAGATGTAGAAAGAGAAAGGTGCTGATTTGCATGATGCACATCTTGCTTGCCAAAGAGAACTTCTATTAGTTTTAAAACAAATAGAATCTATTTTAACTCAAACAATTATAAATAATAATACGTATATATCTCTTCGTTCTGCATCCAATGTCAAAGACAAAGATTAACTGCTATCCAATTATAATGTATTCTTACCACTGTATATATTTTGGTACTCGTGTGTCTTTCTTTTTTGTTCTATAAGTAATTAGTCAAGTAAATGATGTGGCGGTCAAAGGATACAGATATATCATAAAGCTCTGATAACAAAAGTCACAGAAAACATTGTACACGACGTGATGTGACAAGACACACAAAAATTCTTCTAGTTTTCAACTCTGATTAGATTTTCATATAGATGACACGCCAAAATATATTTGGATTTTCATTAGACAGGAATCACATCATTTTCGCTCTCTGAAAAATTATTCGTTTCATTAATTCTGTCATATCGAAATGAAATTTTCCTACGCATGAATATTTCATTCAGAAAATGTGTGGCAAAAACCTGCTCTATGTATATGACAATCTACTCTTTTTTTTATCTCGATCATCAAATTCAAGTAAATCATAGTATTTTAATTCTTTTAATGCGAAAATAAATGGAAAAAAGGAGAAAAAAAAGAAAACTTAGAACAAATTGAACTGCAAAGGCGAAAAAAGAGATGAAGAAGATGAAGAAAGGAATTTTGTCCCAGATGATGAAGTAAGGACATGTACAAATGTTGTTGCGAAAGAGAAAAAGAAACTTAGATAATCGAACAGACAGACATTTTAAAACAAAAACGAAATAAAACACTGCACAAGTGGACACCTGATAGCGCGACGCTACTGGACGCATATCTGAGTGTAGGATATTAGATCATAGATGGGTGGCGTATTGCAGTGAATATATTAAAATTTAAGAAAAAAAAATCGGTGAAACGATTACATTGAAATAAGAAAGAAAAACATTGAAGATACTGTTCTATTCAATACACAAAATATTTTGTTTTTGAACTATTACCGCCAAATACTCTTCATTAGGTTAACTAGAATGTGTTTGTGTATGTGTGTGCGCAAAGTAAACTATTCAAAAACAAAAAAAGAGAAAAACAACAACAAAGACAGTACGCATACAGACAGTTTTTTTTGCTAATGACTATAAAGCATAGAAAGTACGCGCATTTGAAAACACTTCTTTGGAATATGCACGAACTGTTCAATGCATGCAATCATACATACAAACAGAAGAAGAAAAAAAATAAAGAAAAATTGAGAATTGGTCTAATATTAAAAAGAAACAAAGAAGTTGAAACACACACGCACGCCTACAAATTAATAATACGTTTCTTGTTCAACCCAGCCACCTGGATTTCGACGTATTATAAATTTGCGTACTTCATCATAGATGAAGATTGCTAATGAAAATGGCATAGCTGGTAACCACCATAGAAATCTAAATGAAATATTTTGATTATTGATTAAGAACTTTTGGTTTACATTTGAATTCGATACGTACTTAAGTGGATACATATTAAGACCTTTGTCAAGGTAAGGTGTATAGCAAAGAGCAGCAGCCAGAACAGTCTCAAAAACTAGACCAAAGTTAAGCATCCAGTTGCTTAAAAAGAAGGAAAAATAAAATTGTGTTGATTAGTTCAAAAAACAAAACAATATTAATTCTACTTACGTCATGCCTTGATGTGCCAATGAATTTCTTCGTGTTTTACAAATGATTAAATCAGCCCATTGCACAATGACAATTGAAACAAAGAAAGCAGTGTGACATGTATATTCAAGTGTTTTACGTTGATTGTATGTCTTAAAAAAGAAATCCATAGATACGTTAGCTACTACTATTTTCCATAAATGAAATTCAAGTAAAATAAAATATATTACCCATTCTTGACCATATGAGTCTTCAAGATCATTAATTCCTTTTGATTCCCATGATTTACGTAAACCAAGTAAACGACTTGGCCAAAATCCATTTTCAGCCATAATAACTAGATAAACAAAAAATCCAGCTGATGCTTGAATCATACCAATTTGACCATAGGCCATTGAAATTAAACTAAAAAAATTCATGTATAACATAAAACAAAGACAATACCATTTTCTTGAATGTTACCGTTCGTTGACAAGACGATCATGTTTTGGATCGCGTGGTCGTCGTTTCATAATATCGGTTTCGGCTTTTTCATAAGCTAATGAAATAGCCGGTACCATGTCAGTACCCAAATCGATACATAAGATTGTAATTGTACCGAGTGGTAATGGAATATCCATAATAAGATACATTAAGAACGGTGTAATTTCTGGTATATTTGATGTCAATGTATATGCAATCGATTTTTTTAAATTATCAAATATTAAACGGCCTTCTTCAACACCGGTAACAATAGATGCGAAATTATCATCAAGTAAAATCATATCTGCTGCTTGTTTACTAACATCCGAACCAGCAATACCCATAGCAACACCAATGTCTGCTTTTTTTAAAGCTGGAGAATCATTAACACCATCACCGGTAACAGCAACAATGGCACCTTGACGTTGACAACCTTCGACAATAATTAATTTTTGTTGTGGTGATGTACGAGCAAAGACAATTTCGGGATGGTCACGTAGGAGTGCATCGATTTCACTTGGTGACATGCTCTTTAAATCATTTCCATGTACAACGCATGCTTTAGCATGAGTTGGATCAACTTGTTCAACGGGAATACTTAAGCGTTGTGCAATATCTTCAACAGTTTCTTGTCCTTCAGAAATAATACCGACAGCTTTAGCAATAGCTTTAGCTGTAATTGGATGATCACCAGTAACCATGATTACTTTAATACCAGCTGAACGACATTTAGCAACACTAGAAAAGAAAAGGAAATTTTTTTATTTACTTTTTGAAACTAATATTCTCAAGAAATTACGCTTCGGGTACAGCAGCACGTGGAGGATCAATCATAGACATCAGACCAAGAAATCGTAAGTTTGTTACAGGAAAATTAACTTCATCCGAATCAAATTGATAACCACGTGGATATTCATTGACTGGTAAACGTAAATCACAAAAACCTAATACACGCTCACCAAGACCACCCAATTCAAGATAGGAACGATTGAAAGCTGTTTTCCAATCTAGATAAATAGAAAGAAAAGATTAAAATAATCGTTAATTCAAATATCTGTTTTCTTACAGTCATTTAATTCGATATCAGTTCCGTCAATATAAATTGATGTGCATCTTTCTAATATACGTTCAGGTGCACCTTTCATAACTAATAAATATCGATCATCACCATCTTGTGTTTCATGAATCGAAACTTGATATTTATTTGTTGAATTAAATGGTATTTCACTTATTTTTCGATTTTGTTCACGAAATCTAATAACATTACCAATCTAATCGTAAGAAAAATAAGAGATGATTATAGATTTCTTTTTTCTTTGATCTTACTGATAATTCAACACATTTAAGTAAAGCAGATTCGGATGCGTCACCGTTACATTCTCGTTGTAAGACAGGTCGTCTTAAATTCTCTTGATCTTGTTTAAAATCAGCTCGATTACATAACATTGAGCAACGACTAAGAGCGAGCTTAATAAAGGAAAAAAAAGAAATTTAATCATTAAAATTTTATATTCAATGCAACTATTTACCCATCCTGGTGCAGTTTTATCGTATGTTGCATCTAAACATAATATAAATAAAAATCATCTTGAAAAAACAAACACGCCTTCTTTCAAAGCTTACTCTGTTGATTATCGGTTGTATCAGCTTCAACAATTCGATTGTCAAACCACATATGAGCTACTGTCATTCGATTTTGTGTTAATGTACCGGTTTTATCGGAACAAATAGTTGATGTTGAACCGAGTGTTTCGACAGCTTCCAAATTTTTAACAAGACAGTTTTTCTTCGCCATACGCTTAGCCGTTAATGTAAGACATACCTAAAAGAATAATTATACATAAGCTAAAAGCAAAATTTTCTCATATTACTAACAACTTACAGTTACAGTTGCAAGAAGACCTTCAGGTACATTAGCTACAATAATACCAATTAAAAAGATGACTGCTTCAAGCCATGGATAACCAAGAACAAAAGCAATAACGAAAAATGAGACACCAAGAAAAACAGCTACACCAGTGATTATATGAATAAAATGTGCTATTTCACGTGCGATTGGTGTTTCACCCGTTTCCAAACCTAATTGCAATATGGATTTGTTTTTTCTTGATTAAAAATTTATTATATTTTACTTGAAGCTAAATTAGCAATACGTCCCATAACAGTTCGGTCACCAGTTCTTACAACTATTCCAAGACATGTACCTGAAGAAGAAGAAGAAGAAAAAAAATTCATGATATTTCATTGTTGAAATCAATAATTTGTTTTGTGTATCTCTCTAACCTTCAACAGCAAATGTACTGAAGAATGCTAAATTTTTTGTTTCAAGTGGATTTTCATTTGTAAATTCGGGTGCACGTGATTGAGGTTCAGATTCACCAGTTAATGATGAATTATCAACTTTGAAGCCGTGTGCTCGCAAAACACGAATGTCAGCTGGTACACGATCTCCAAATTTAACCTCAACAATATCACCTACAACTAATTCTTCAGCTTTTAGATTTTTTTTTTCACCGCCACGAATTGCTAATGCTTGCTAGAAATATGAAAAGAAAAGTCGACAATCAATTTCATGTTTTCTATTTCTATTCGATCTACATACAGGTGGTACCCTAAAATAAGAAAAATATACAATAGAATAAGATTTTGAATGCAATTATATATTTTTGAAATAAATAGCATACATATTTTTGAAGGATTCCATAATTCTTGAACTTTTGGCTTCTTGAAAATATGAAAAGCAACCCGTAATAAATACGACAACTGTTAGAGCAACACCAAGCCAAAGCTATTGTAGAACAAGAAAACGAATATAGAAATTTTCTGATTTAAATAATTTTACATTGTCATTCGGTGCTTCTTCATATGTTGCAACACTAATACCATGTGCAACAAAACATAAGATTGCACCAAGCCATAATAGCATAGCAAAGCCACCAAACATTTGGCGACAAAATTTAACCCACTCGGGGATTGTTTTCGGTGGTGATAATGCATTAGGACCGTCGCGTGCAAATACTTCAGCTGCTTTTGCTACTGTTAAACCCTATTTATAGATAAATATATAAAGAATTTAAAAAAGAATCAATTAAAACAAATTTAGTTTACTCTGTCCGGATCACTGTCATATCGTCGATAGAGTTCTTCAGCCGATACTTTATGATCATCCTATGAAAACAATAATTATAATTTACATATCTAAACTATGTGTAATATCTATTACGATTTCCAGTTCACGTTTAAGATCATCAAGATCATGTTCATTTTTTTTTGCCGGCTTGGCTTTTTTATCTTCTGCCTAAAGAAAACAAAAGAGGAAGCTAAACAAAATAATATTATTAATATCTTACCATTGCTTAATGAGATAAAATAAAATATGTTGAAAAGGTTACAACTCGATCTTAATTAATGATCGAGATCTAAAAATATTCGACAAGACAAAATATCTGGAATAAAACAAGAAAGACGAGAAAAAAAGAAGAAAATAATATATTCTTTCCTTCCATTGCTGATTTGAGATGATGATGGTGGTATTGCTGATGCGATCGATCGCATCCAGGCGAAGAAAGCAAGAGAGAAAAAATAGCTGTCGAGAAATATTCTATAACCATTTTCTGCCATAAGCGAAACAAAAAACGACAAATGACGTCATCATATTAAGGAATAAAGTTGATAGGAGGACTCGCTAATTAAGCATTACATAGTAGAATTATTTTGTGTTTTGTTTCCCTACTAACAAATATTTATAAAACTCAAAGTAAATAATACAAGTATATATTGCTCAAAGCTCATTGCTGATCTTACTCGTTTTTCTCTTGAGGTTTTCTTTTCTATCTCAGCTGGATTAATAATTACATAAAAATGCGTGTACAATCCATTTAGTGCTTTGCTGTTTTTCTTCTTCTTCTTCTTTGATGTAGATGAAAGGAAATGAAGAAAAAAAGAATTCAAGAAACTGACCTATTTTACTGTTCACGCGAACATCTTTACTGAACTGATTCTCGTTTAATAGTTATTAACGTTAACATGACAAATACGAAGATCAATATAAGAAAAACAATATTGATTATGTACTAACCTATAAAGAAGAAGAAAAAAAGAGCAACACCTGAAAAATAACAGTTGCTAGTACATTTTTTATGTTTATTAAAATAAAGAATGAGATAAAAAGTTTATATTCGTACTAAAAAAGGAAAAATATAAATTCAAATATTTACGATTAGAAAGAAGAACGCTGAAGGTTTTTGTTTCTGCGTCGCTGCAAACTGATTCTGCTCGTAAAACATATCACGGCCGTGTTATTTTATGATCTTCCGATAAGAAGTTTTTTATTTTCAAGGCTTATAAATATCTGATATGGATAGAAGTTTTCGATCTTTGTATATGTTTTTTTGCATGCATATAGTCCATTTCATCATCTCCAGGATAGACAAAACGCGTTGCTATAATAAGAAATGTCGGCAAAAAAAAACCGGAGAGAATACGAAGCAAACGCACGCATCAACACGCATATGTCATTTCTTCGACTCGTAAATGTGCAACTAACCCGCTCGGAGAATAGAGGAAATAGTGTTCTGTTCTCGATCGAAAGTCATCATATTCGACAACGAAAGAAAGAAAAAAGATAGAAACAGAGAATAAGAATTTTTTATTCTTCTCTTTATTAAATGACTTTTGATCCATTTTTCTCTATCATTTAAACTAAGATCGACCGATAACGATAAACTTATGTACTCAACATAAACAATAAATATCTGTCGGTTGACAGATCATGATCAACATCTTATTTCTATTATTTTATTTCATCGATGTTGACTAGCCAGCTCTATTTATTCAATATATTTAATCAATGATACTTAAATCATTTAACATCATCAAAAGATTAATAATAAGTTGTTTTTCTTCTCTATTTATTTTGTAAAGATTAGAATTACGCGCGACTGGTAGAATAATCAATTTTTTCACCTATTATATCAATAATAAATAGAAATACCTTTCCTTTGATGCTCTAGATACGTTAAAATCTCAATCAAAAGAGAACGAGAAACCGCAAACCAACCTACGTCTAAACATTTATACTTACCTTAATTCATGAAAGTCATACGTAATATGTTTCTAATATAAACTACTATTTTAAACGTAAAACGTAAAACGTATATATTGTTTTCTTCTTTGTTATCAGATCGCAATGAAAAAGGCGACTATCAATATGATTATCGTGCAAACTGTTTTTCTTTTTGGTAAAAGATATTGTATAATCTCGTGCTCTCCCTCTCTCTTCTGCGCTCTTCAATAACATTGTCAGTTTATTTTGCCTTGCCTGTCTATCTATGTATCACACTCTGTCACTGTCTATTGTCAGTAGAAATGGCAAAAAAAAACAAACGAAAGAAAAATAGAAACATACGATCCTGTCACACTGGATAGATTCATGACTATTGTCGTTCTTCTTGCTAACTAATGACAATATGAAGATGATAACGCGGAACTAAACATATGTGTAAGAGAGTCTCAACTGATGCGCAAGTGCAGTCGTTTCCCACACACACATACACACGGCGCTTTACATCATTACCAAGACACTATGCAGCTTCTCTTGTTCTTTGTATTCTATATTTTTGCTACCGACAATAGTGCGCGTTCGGCAGCAACAACGACGGCCAATCTTCACGCGGACGCATAAGCTTTTTGCTTGTGCCGTTCGACACTGTTCGCAATAGCAAAGCGAAAAAAGCCACCATCACATACCAAAGTCTTTTTTTTTATCAATAGCGAAGCGAAGAACTGTGATGATAGTGTGATAGCGGCATTAAAGTAGGGAAGAAAAAAGAGAAAGAAGAAGAAGAAGAAGAAGAAGAAGAAGAAGAAGAAGAAAAAGAAGAAGACGAATAAGAAGAAGCAGAGAAAACGAGAAAGAAAAAAAGAAATCCAGCCTACAAATTTTATAATATGAAACGCACAAAAAAGGCAAGTGTCGATGGTAAGGATATAAAAAGAGATAGAGGGAGAGAGAGAGTAAGATAAAAAAAAAATAATCGATTGCAAAAAAAAGAGAGAGGCCTTGGGAGAATCAAGTAATTTAGTAATCTGATATTTTAAAACGAGATACGTGTTTGACTAGACAATAATGTACATTGAAATGAAAGAAAGAAAAAAAATCGAAAACAATAAGATAAGCATTGGCTTGATCAGATCAAGGTGTATTTTCAATTAGGGAATAAATCTACAGAAAAATCATGAAAAAAGAAAGAAAAAGTAATCATGAAATTAAAGTAAATCAATAAAATACCTTGATACGCAGGCGGTTCATCTGTTGAAGTTATTGCTACTGATTGAGCAACAGTAACTAGTCTTTCATCATTAGGTTGTAATGGATGGCGATTATGTTTTGATGGGCTATCAGTTTCATTCAATATTTGTAATGTCGATTGTTCGGGTCGTTGTAAGTGATATCTATCAATAATTGAGGATTCGAATGAAGTTTGCACCGATGAAAAATGTCGATTGTGATGATGACGATAACATTCGCGAAAAGAAAAACTAATACATATTATTGCTGCAATTGAAATGATAAGAACAATTAAAATCGTTTGATTATTTTTCGATGACTTGTTTTTGTCAATTGAATGCAAATCTAAAGAAAGAATGTAACATTTATCCAAGCTCAAATATTTTTTTTTATTAAGTTGATATTTCATTTTGTGAAAAAAGGAAAAATTTTATTACCTGATAAGACAGGAATAGTTATATAGGGTCGTTCTTTTCGAAGCCAGCAATTACATTTAAATGTAAATTTAATACGATCATGATTATTTTCTACTACAATTCGATCCAAAAGCCAATCAGATTGAATCGACGGAAAATTATCACGGCGCACCTAAAATTCCATTGTTTAAAAGAAGAAAATAATTCAAAAGAAAATTTCGCACCAAAATAGATAAGATCGTTTATGCGTACTGTTAGCAAATATCGATTTTCGAACCTCGTTATTCATAGAAGTCATGTTTTTTATTGATACGATCAAGCTTTAAAAAGAAAATTTTTATGCTGAATAACAATAAAATTATACGATCGGCGTTGAATGCATAGTAAATCAAGAGAAAAACTTAAATTGAATATTTCCAGAAAAAACAAATTGCTAGAAAAAATATCCTTATCAAATAGAATTCAAGAATATTAATATCAATGATAAATGAAAATACTTTGATAATTTATTTAAACGTATAGAGTAGCTTTAGTATTCTCTGAGATAAAATATTTATTGTTCAAACCGTAATTCTCGGTGTCAAAGAAAAATCTTCTATCATTTATTTCCTTATGCTTTTGTGTAGTTTTCTTGATTTTTTTCAATAAATAATCCTTGTAAAACAGTAGTATTTCTATGAGAAAAATAATAGAATAAACAGAAATGAGTATATAGTCGAGTAAGAACATATTTCAATGATCTGTGGCATCAACTCATTTATCGTGTTTTTTTCGTGATTGATGTAATCGAAAAACAATGCTTTTACGACCATATGTGTGAGTAATGCTATAATAGGGTATGGAATAAAGTCGATCTAGTACATCTGTTGATTAGGTAATAGATCAAAAGAAAATCGAACCATTTAACACTGAATAATCATTTTTAGCGACAAAGAAAACTTTTTTCAATTTGATACATGGGTGTTGTCTAATGAAGAAAACAAGAAAATTATTTCATGAGCCAATTGGGAGGTATTCATTTTATAGTAAATTTTATGGTGTCTAATATTTCTACTACGGATCATATAGTTGCTATGCGTAATAAATTTTAGCATGCAAAAGCGCAATTAATTAAACATTTCATCATCAAAAAAAAATTTTTTTTCTAGTGAAATCGCTACTCTTTTTTTTTGCGTATTTTTTCAGTCGTATTATTCTCTTTTCTTTCTAAAATGATCATGGGGATGTGCATTGTAAGTGTAAATATTAAAATGCTAAATAGAGATTCATCAACATAGAACTCTCTAGGGATTTAATTGCATTGACATCGGTGTTCATCGAGGCACTTAGATTAGCGTTGAACGCAACATAGAGAGAACAACTCTATTGCAATCTGCCTTTTCTTTACGGCGATCTGCTCTAACAAGCACTAGGTGTTACTCTAAGCTAACAGCATCGCGTCGACGGTCAGTAAACTGAAACTAGACATTCCTATGAGATCATATTACACGTAAATTCTATTGTTGACTTGCGTTAGCATCAATAATTGAAGTGACTTGATTTTTTCTTCTTTTTATCAAACGAAGAAAAAGATATACTCATTTCTTGTGAGAAAAATAGCATCTGTGATATGTTCGGCCAATGTATTTTATTATTTACTGAGAAGAAAATTAGTATTAACTAATGCCTGTCGAGTTAGTTCCGGATCCGGATTTAATGGATTATGTTGTCAACGCAATCTGAAGAATTACAACTTTTTGCATTTGAATAGATTCAACAATTTCAACTTCATTTGTTATGAAAAAAAAATACAAAAACTCTAATTTTCTTACAAGAATTTTTTCAATAGATTCCAATTCATCAGTAAAAATTCGAAATCGATCATATTCTCCATATTCAAATAGATTTTTCAATGGAAAAATATTTTTTCCAGCCAATACATTTTCATGTGTTAATTTATATTCATTAGTATAACCATATTTTGAATTAAATAAACGAAGAAAAATATTACTATCAGTTCCAGAAAAACGTTCTGTGCCCGTATATACATGAATAATCCATTCTATAGAGAGGCAAAATTGAATAAAATATCAAAATCAAACAAATCACAAAAAATCAATTTTACCTTCACCCGAACAATAAGGAATGATAAAAAGAATAAATGCTAAAAAATCCAACATGAAAATATTCTCATCTGAAAAGAATATTTTTATGTAATCGATGTCCTATTAATAATAACAATCTATGAAAAGTATAAAATAAAAATGAAGAAGCTTCAACATCTAATAGAATAACAAAAAAAATGCATATTAGTGTCACTAATCACTCGGAATACCATTCAGATTTTCGTAAATCACTTCTGCACATTGGACATTTTGAATTTTTCTAAAACAAAATTAAAGCAATAAATTTTTTATGAAAACTTATTAAAAAATTTAATTTAAACCTTGAGCCATTTATCAATACATTTACTATGAAATCTATGTAAACATGGAATAGTTCGCAATATATCATCGGATTTGTATTCATTTAAACAAATATCACATACAATACCAACTACTGATACGTTCTCAGCAGTTGTTGTTGGATAACATTTGATTAAATGTTCTGATAAACCTAAGTCAAGAAAACTATCATCACCAGCATTATCTTGGTCTGATGAACTATGAGCTTCTTGTTCAAAATAAAAATCTCCTTCATCATCAGTTTCCCAACTAGAAGATGAAAACAAAACCAGACATATTTGATTACATAAATTGTCATCCAACAAACCTATCACTCTGATCAGCTAGAGCAACATCAATTTCTTCGATCTGCTGAGATTGTTCTGATACACCATCTATATTAATATAAGAATGTAAATAATTCATATTAGATTCTATTACTATTATATAATACCTTCGGGCTGCAATTGGTTTGCTGTACGATCAGTTGAAGATGATACTTGTTGATTGCCTTGATTATTGGAAGACATGATATATCTTAAAGAAAATAGTTTCCAAAAAGAAACACTAACAAATCATCATGACTCATGAAAATTGAGAATGAATGGATAGCTCTCTATCAGTCTGTCTTGTTTTTCTTCTTCTATATCTTTCTTTCTTCTTTTTTTCTGGGCAGATAGAAAATTTTCAACAGATGTCGATAATACACAATCGAAGTAGCTTATAAAGAGATGAATGAGAGATTAATTAACAATAATATGGTTTATTTTCTATTTCAGTAAAGTTGTATTTTTCACGTGGCATGCTTCTTTTTTTTAAATAGTAAAAATCAGACAATGAAATTGAGATATCTATCCATGTTTGATTTACTTTCTTGATTACGAAACCATCGAAAATAGAAATAGATGAAATATATTTCTACTTTTTTAAGTATGCATATCTATTCTCTTGTAAGAAAAAACGAAATTGAATATTTGTTATCATTGTTCGTTGAACAACAACTTTTATTACGTTATTTCGATAGTTGATATAAATAAAAATACGATAGAATAAAAGTCTGAAAACTGACTGAACAAAAATTGTTTGCTATGAAAGGTAACTAAGAAATTCGGAATAGAGATTCAAACATTCTATTTGTCAACGTATAATTGATACTATTTATATTGACTGAAATAAGTTACAAAAATAGAAAAATAAAAGAATCGCAAATTATAAGTTATTATCAAGTCTGTGCATTCTTGTTCAATAGAAATGCTGATGGCAAATGTTTAATTTAATCATATGAATTCGACCTAAACTATAATTTATTTATTCATAGATAATTTCTACACTTTCTCAGTACTTATTTTGTTTTTACATGATTATTAGAAATGTTATACAAACTTTTCTTTTCCATCTATTTACCAAGTTAACAGTGATTCTAATTCTGACATTAAAAAATCTCTGTATATAGCAATGTGAATTTGAATAATAATGAGGATAGTAATCTCATTTACAGACTAAATTTGTCCAAGAACAGTAAAAAAATGCTATTTAACTTTCGAACAACCAACATCTTATTCAAAGCATAAAAAAATACAATCGTTCAATAATTAATTGTATAATTTATTTTTGAACTAATTGATATTAGTCGTTTCTATAGCATTCTGTTGCATTAAATTCACTTTCTGTTTGAAAACAAGTATTCATCTTTAAATATTGATATCGAACTAAAGTAATTATAATGAGAAAATAGTGAAATCAATAGTAGTTCTTATGTATAAAAATTAGAACATCCGTTTTTTTGTTTTAATTGAGTAGAAAATTTTTTTTTTAATTTGTTGTTTTGGTATGAGCTAAAAATAGCGATACGATAGACTATTATCGAATGTCAACGATTTTCAGTAATTCTAGGATGCTTCAAATATCTAAAAATAGCATGAATGCGTGTGCCAATAGATCAAATCTAAGGAAATTCATAATATTTTAATATCGGAAAAACTTATACTTCCTAACGTTATGAAATATATTTTCTATAAAATTTTTGTGACTCGACAACTCATAATCACATTAGTTTCAGTGATTGACACAAATGTATTTTTTAGAAGTGTATGATAATAGCTACACACTAGATACTCCAAGTACAAGGGCACGTCGATCACACAGATGATAATTTTCGAAATAACCAATACAATATAATCATAATTTAATAAGAGAATAATCAATTTATCTAATAGTTTTTTTTCTATCCCGTTCGTGTTTAGCATACATTCGAATAGGAATAAATCAGTATAAAAAAAAACTAAAAAATGTTACTAGCCAGATCCCAGGAGACCTCTTTTTTTGTGAATATTAATTTTTATAAAAGTATTGTCTTAAAGGGCACTGAATTCTTTATAAAAATAGATGATCATCAAAAATTCAATGACCTTGTCTTAACCAATAAAAAGCCTTGCATACTATGAGAAGAAGACCGCAGTTGATTGCTGCATTGCTAGAAAATCTATTATTTTGTAGTTGATAATGTTGATAGCTTTAAAGTAGTAGGTCATCACAAAGTTTGCTTGTAGAAAGACCAAAACGAGAAAAGATAGCAGAACAAAAATGTCAAATCGATAATTATGAAAAAAAAAACATATCGAAAAGGAAAAAGACAATAAAAAACAAAGATCAGCAGAGAACGTATCGAAACTAGAAAAATACTCAAAGAATCGAATTATTTCAAATACATGTTAAGTCTAATACTCTATAAAAAAAAGAGACTATAAAATATTGAATAATCTTTGGATATTAAATTTTTTAAGCAAACTCAAACGAACTTCATCATACACGTATATAAATATACGCAAATCGTTTCCGTTTTTGGATTCAGAATCAAAGGCAGTGTGTATATAATTGTTATTCAACTTCCAAAGGATAATCGCCGATAGCCATATGATGAAGATCTTATAAATTCAATAGAATATTTATATTAACGAAAAACAATGAGCCGAATTTCTTTATTCTTTTATTTCATAAGTAACCAATGATGTATTAAAATGTTAGCATCATGAAATGAGATTCAACTTATTGTTTAGGTTGCAATTTTCTACATTTATTCTTTCTGGCTTTCTAGAGTACATTCTACAAAATGTCACAATCTCTGATCCTATGTAAGATTTTGCTTTTTTATGCTTCGTATTGAACAGCAAATGTTAATGCTATCGAGATGTTCAATTATTAGAGTTTGACACAAGACATTGATCAACGGTTTTGAAAATTAGCGATATATAAGAGAACAATTGAAGATTATCTTTATTTCAATCTAAAGAAAACATTATGGAAATTATTACACAAGACTATTTTGTAAGAACAAAATATCACATTTTTATTCGAGAGTATAATCACATTATTTTTAGAAATTAATTATTACGACAATAAACAGAATAAGAAAAAAAGCCACCGTGTGAAACATTATTTTTATCAATATTCAAAAGAACATAATCAATTAGGAATTGATTATTTAAGAGATGCTGTTCGACAGATGGGACACAAATTGGATTTCTAAATTTAAAAAAATCAAATAGATTTTCAAAATGAATTAAAATTATTTGACTTACTTTTAACCAGTTATCTATACAATCTTTATGATATCGATGAAGACATGGCAAACGTCGTAATGTCTGATTTTTTTCATAATTATCCATACAAATGCTACATTTATTTTCTTCAGGATTTGCATTTGGTAAAGGACAAAATCTTTCTGTTGGTAATCGATTAATTTGGTCATTAGTTAACGCTATTTTATTGTCTGTTTGATCTAACTCAAGCAAATTCTAATTAGAAAATATAAACAATAATCAAATTTGATTCGAATTTTAAAAACTTACTTCGTAATCATCAGGGCCGAAATCATTATTATGATTTTCGATATGTCCAAGCCCACGTCCACGTCCACGCCCACGTCCATTACCACGAAAAGGATTAGCACCCCGAGATCCATTATAATGAGAAATACGAACCGGAGTAAACAAGTCAAAATTATCAGTAAAACGACTATGATTTCTACCAGGTGTTGGAGAAGGATTTGGAGGAGTAACAAACGATGGCATCTGTGAAGTTGCAGCAGCACTCGGCCGATTATTTTGATTTGTTGCTGAGTTTGATACTCGTTGCTGATCACGTTTTTTCTGTTGTTTTTGATTTTCTTCAGCTTGTAAATGTGCTGCATATGCTGCATCACGAGCTACTAAACTATTCATTGAATTACTAGTATTATTTGAATTCTGTTGATAATAGGGTGGAAATGATGTCATGCTAAGCTTTCCATATTCTTGTTCTTGGAGTTGAACTGCAATAGCAGCGTCAGAATCGATCTCTTGTTGTGCTCTTGTATTATGTAAAATCCAAGGTTCTAATGATGGATCGATAACATTCATTAGATTTCTATAAAAAGGTCTATCTTGATGTTGTTGAGCTATTGAATCATCGTCCGGATCATTGGTATTTGCTACAATATCACTATTAACCAAAGGCTAAAAAATACCCAGAACAAGATTATGTTTCTATTCATTTTACAATAATAAAACTGAACTAGAGTAAAGTATCTTTCAAACTTACAAAACTTTTGTCCGATTGGGCAGGTGTTAGTATTTCTAGAAGTGCACTAAAAAGATGCGTCACTCGCGATAAAGATCTTCTATTATCTGCCATTTTATTATGCATTATATTGCAACAAGGAAGAAACAACTTCCGAATTCTCTGCAGAAAAATGACTCACATAAAACTATTCCGCCGGTTTTATATTTCTTTAAAAACACGAAGCAGCAAATGTGGGTATAAAAGAAAAGAAGAAAAAAATTCAACGTACTCTGTCGACATTAAAACTTGCGTTATGTAGATAAATAGAATCTAAACTGCCATCATCATCGTCAGGGTCGCGAATAAGTGATTGAAAAGGATTACGACTAGCTGCCATGCCACGTAACACCAATAAATATTATATATATGGATAAATTTAATCTAAAGTTTAATGAGTTAAAAACTATAGCTTAATTGTAGAATATGATTTTTTTTTAATTAATAATATTTTAAGCCTTGGAACCAGTGAGAAACATCCATAGCAAAATTTTTGAATGGTATGAAAAACAAATTTCATTGATTTGATACCACAAGAAAATAACTTTAGTAGATATCTATCGTACTCTACTCAAATATTCCTTAGGACACCAAGAATTTCAGTATCTGAATTAGTCGAGAACTAAGAAAACATTGAATTTTTCTCAGTTTTTCTCCTGCAGATCTTCAATCATGTATCATATTTGGACTGCATACACATCTGACTTATATATGAATGTAGCATAATTTATTTAATTATAATTGAATCGATCTGATCATGTTCTCCCTTCGCACATTTTCGAATAGTCCTCTGCATCACAAATGTAAAAACAAGGATAAGATTTGAGTCATTCTGAAGGCTCTCATGCAAACGCATAGAAACATAGGAAAATATTTAAAAACTGCAAATTTTTGAAATAATGACCAACTAATGCTTCTCTCAGTAATTCTATCTACTATAGATATATAATCATTTATAGATCGAGACTCAATGTAATACAAACGCCACAAAAATACGCTCGCACAGAATTCCAGTGTTGCTCTTCGTACAGCATTTATTCGGTTATTAAAATCTTCAGTTCATTTCTGTTAATCAGTGAGCATAAACAAGTAAAAATCTGAAACGAATCAGCATTTGAAAAAGAAAAACATCGATAGAAGAAAATGCTATGTTTATTACTATTGGTATTTTATTATAAAAAATACGATTGTGCGAAAAAAAGGAACATGTGAAAATAAGAAGCATACCCAGGTCGATCAAAACGGAACTCCGTTACGGTCCGTTTACCGGAATCAGTTTTACGGACCGTATCTCTATTGTAAAATAGCCGTAAGTAGTCATATTTTCACCGTAAACGATTTGGTATTACTGTGTTCAGTAAAGACACGTAGTATGAACCGTACATTGTGAAAATACGGCTACTTACGGCTATTTTACAATAGAGATACGGTCCGTAAAACTGATTCCAGTAAACGGACCGTGTCGTTCGACCTGAGTATAAAGATATTCATAAAATGATGCGTCATAAATGCTTCTCTCAAGGTACTTTTATTACCATGTGGCTAGTACATGAAAGAGAAAAAAACCCAAAAAACGATATTATTAAAGTTTCCTTCGTCTATGTTAAAGATGAGTTTATTTCAAGACCATTGATGAACTTGAAAATTATCACTGCCATTTCGAATGAACTAAGTTTTTTGTTCGTTATTACAGAAAATTCGTTTGATAATGATACTGTTATTAGTCGAAAATTTGAGATTCATCAATTTTTACAGATTCGATTATTCGAAATACCATTTGTTTTAATCCTTAAGAGTGAAGTTGGGTATTTGTCTGCATTCAAAAACTTGAACAAAGAACTTGTGTCAAATAAACAATATTAGAAATTTGAACCAGGTAAAAAAAAGAGAATTTTCCTACAGATAAACGACGCAACATTTCATAATCTCATCTTTAATTAGGTAAATATATTGATAACAGTAAAACGAGTCAACTATCAATACAATCGATGCAAATAATCGAAATACTTTTCTTGTCTAATTGTTCTTGTACCACTGGATCAATTCATTTCTTTTATAAATGCCACAAATGAATCATTGCGTTCTAGGGAAAAAACCTTGAATATCGAAGCATTATTTGCTTTGTAATATTGTAAAAATCAAACACATACACGTGAGCAGTGTTTCTAATAGAAATCTGAAATTAAAAAAAATTTGTACATTTTGTTTATGTGAAAAACGTGTATCTTGACTCTTTGATTGTATAGACAAAGTGTATCAAAGTGTAAATAAACGAAAAGAGTTCAGATAATCTAGAAAGATAATGAGAAAAATTCTTTTTTATCTGTTTCATAGAGAAAGAAAGTCACATAGATATAAACAACCAAACAAGAGCATTACTAGGAGTTGCTATTTGTATCCAATATTATCACATTTAGTTGAATACTTTTCATCCATAGCATGTACGATTTTTTGATGAATTAATAAATACATTTTTTACGTAGAATTTCGACCTCACAATGTGAATCTGTTGATACAGCAAGTGATGATGACGATGGCAGTAATTTTATTCCGTCCAAGCAGACAAAGATTTAGCGAAATGCGTTTTCGTGATCTAAATCAATGTTATTTTCTTTTTCAAAGTGTAAGCCTTACATTTTTGTTTTCTGAGCAACGTGTAAATCAGTGTATTTCGGAAACAGCACGTGTTCCGGACATGTTACTCTTGCTGTGTGAACTTGCTGTTAGAAACACTACACGGGAGTGTGTAGTAGGAAGTCGTCGAAATACTGGGCGAAAGAACGATTGGTAGTCATTTTTTAAGAATGAAAATGTGATCGTCTATGCTAAATTACAGATGGCGTTCATTAACAATAGTAAAATTAAGAATAAAAGAGATTTTGTTTTTATAAAACTATTGTAACATAATTATGATTTATTCTTAAATTCAGACAAATATATATGCATTGATTAGTATTTCGAATTCTATTTATATTTTAAATTGTTCGAAAAAAGAACATTCTTCATCGATATTAGCCACTAGTGATAGAATATTTGTTAAGAGATCATTCTTGTTGTTGTAATAAATCGAATAATAAACGATAATCTGCATCAATAACGAATGGTGGTTCTTCTTTGATTTGTTCAGTGGAATTCTCTAAACGATTTTCTTCTTGTTGAAAATTTTCGATTGATTTTAATGGCTCGCTAATTATTTTGTTGTCATCCAGACTTGATGCTGTCAATGGATTTTGAAGTTTGATTGAATCGTCAGTTGGAGAATTTTTCACAAGTCTTAATGATGCATGTCGATAGCGATGATGTCGAGTATTTGAATACCTGTTTGAATTCAGTGTTCGATATTGTTGATTGATCATTTTCTGCTTTGTTGTTTTGAAGTAACGACGAAAAATAATACGAGACCATGTCGATCTGAGTCGATTTCATTACCAACGAGTTGACTCTGAATGTCGTACATTTCATGTAAGTATATTACTGAAACGACCGCAATACGTAATTGTAATACAAAATGAAGGACATCGTTTTTGTTTTCTCATATTTTCTCTATTATTAATTGCATTGTGTGCTATAACGAACGTGGGCAACACTAGGTTATTCTGTACGGTCATTTTTAATCGTTCACTTGTATTCTTATTTGTGGTCTGTCTATGTCTATGTAACGTTAATGTATTGTATTGCAAATACGAATGAAATTTTGCATATACATCAAATAGTTAATTACAAAATCATTCTTAGCAAAATAACAATATGAAGCGAAATAAATGCTTTACGAAAAAACAATGAGAATAGAATTTCATCAGTTTTAGCAAATTTTATTTTTCGAACTTTGTGGTTACACGTCGAATAAAATATGTAGTATCCTTTGCATAGGATTCATGGCGTGATGTAATCTATTTCGAAATTGATATCACAATTACGATAGATTGTTAATATCTTCAGAAATGTCGTCTCTATGAATATTTTCACTGAATGAAAGCTTTTTGAGGATAAATATCAAATATGTTTAATATGAAAGAAGGAAACGTCATAGAAAAAATCTCTCTTGATTATCGACTACAATTATCGAGATAGAATTAAAATTCAATATCGTTGACAGATGTAGAAAGTTTTGTAATAAAAATAAAGAACCAGATAACGAATCATCATATTTAACCAAAATCCGTTTGGTGTTTTGTTTTTATCAAAACATAAATAGACAACCCAAGTTCACTTTCATGTATATTCAATCAATTTTTGTTTTTTTTGTGTACTCAAAAAGTGAGTATACTCTAGATTCGGTCAGTATGTCCGTCCGGCCGTTAACACGATAAACTTTGAAAGCCTCATCCAATTGTCATGAAATATTGTACACAGAATGATCTCATTAATATCTTAGTCGAGTTCGAAGATGAGAAGGATCCGTCAAAAAATCGCTGAGCTATCGAAAAAATTGTCATTATTGACCAGACCATCCCTCAGGGGGCTACAGGGATTTTTCAAAAAAAAACCTTTTTCGCAGAATTATTTCTGATTATTGTCATAAAGAACGGGAATAACAAGCGTTCGCGTAACGCCTCGTGTTGTCACAAAATGATACAATCACTACCTTATAGCCTACTACAAAAAGAAGGAAAGGACAGTCGCTATCATTTCTCTGATTTATATGTTTTCACAAGTAAAAAGAGGAATGTTAGATAAAACTTTGTTTTTAAACATTAAAGATTGGAGATATGAATACTTAAATGCGATGCCAATAGGCATACCAAATATTTAATCCATTATTTCTTGTAATAGTTTTACACAGGCAAGCGAAAAGTTACGGTGATCTCCTTAGAATCTTAATACGAAACGATAGATGTTATACATATCAACCAATTCAACAGATGTGGTTTATGGACTCATCACACATTCAATTTAAATATTCCAGGATGAACTCTATTATACAATAACGATCGTTCCTAGCCAAAAAAATCACCCTCCCCGATTGCATAGTGTGTACTACAATGGGAAAGTTTTACTTAATGTATGTATCATCATTGAATGTAATGCTGATAAGATCTCGTTCTACTATTAGTCGAACGATTCCTTATATAGAAGTAGATATCTTTGTTATATGTTCAACAGATTCATTTAAATCAAACATAAATTAAATTCTTTTGATTTATATTACTAATAACAATGAGATAAGATAAATAGAACGATTATTCTTCTAACGGAAATATTGATGTAGTTTAGTTGTTATTATTTGACGTAGAAAAACAATAAGATCTACTAGATTTATTTTTATTTCTTGCAATAAGTACATCCATGGTATATTATTTATCAACAAAAAAAGAAGAGAAAAAAAAGTGGTAACAAAAATATCTATTTAACTATCCCAAGTTAATTTTGTTGCATGATATGAACGTTGTAATGATGTTTTTGTAAAACCGAGATAATCAAGTTCAGCGATACTATGAATAAAGCGTGCTCTAGGAAAATTGAAAAAACAAAGGAATTGAATTAAATTTTTCTATGATAAAATTTTAAAAACTCTTACAATATCGATTTATCTTTATCATCAACAACCATTTCTTGTTCTTCTAATAATACTGAAAATGACTAGAGAAAAGAAGCGAGAATATTTTGATGATAATTTCAATAAAACTTACATCGAACCAATCACTGAGTGGAATTTTAGTACCAGATTCTGTATAAATACGATAGAGTAATGCTAGATCAGGTGTTTGTTCGCGTTTGCAATGAAATGTATCCGTTAATTCTCGAATAAATATTCCTCGAGTCATAGGCATTAATCTTTCATGTAATAGGTTATCATTGATTTTAGTCGAAGAATTTATTGTTAATAATATAAATGACTCGCAAATTTCTTTAAGCCATAGAAAAACTTGTTCACGATAACGATTTAATTTTCTATCACCAACTGAACGTAATGTATTACTAAGAGATTGTATATCATCAGCAATAGGTTGTTGTTGTTCAATAAAAATCTTTTTTGCTAATTTACTTGATTTCATACATAAAGAATTCCCGTCACATTGATGTTCCATAAATGAATTAAGACATGTATCAAGCTGATAACTAGTAGATGAATTTACTGATAATGTTAATTCATTAAATATGGGACTATTCGATAGATACGATGCGTAAAATGATGAACGATAACGACCAAGAGGATAATTTGGCAATTGGTTACATGAAACGTATGTAGCATTGAATAGACAAATGTTAAGTTGATTACTTTGTTCAAGATTCGTTTCAGAAAAAGCAATAAACTAAAATGAATAAATATAGGCATGGCATTAGATATTCGCAACTAAAGAAGTCTGTAACTAGTAACAGAAAATTTGTAGATCTATTCTTTTCGAAAAGGATTATATAATATCAAATACAAAATGCATGTCAGCACTTTTGAGTACGTCAAAATGTTCAAAGCACGACGAAGGACATCAAATCTATCTTAAACATCATGCAGTAGAAAGTATTATGCTTATCCTTGATACAAATGCGCTAACACTTCTGCGCGCAAGGAATTGGCAATTTTTACAGTTGCTTTTAAAATGTCAATAATAAAACTCTACACATTTATTATTCACAATGAATTTTAGATTTGTATTCATCAAATATTCAGTTTTATATCTAACAAGTTTTTTGAACTAACTAAAGATCATTTTTACTTTTTTGAAATTTATTATTAGTTTTTGTTTACCGTAGGTTAGACTGTGTAAAATATTTGGGTGACATATCAAGATTTTTTATGATAGATTTCGTCGTAACATAAATTTTAATACAGTTTCTCTGTAATTATGTTTGATTATTTATATATCCAAGTTTTTAATTTGATCGTTGGATATATTATCGGAAAAAAATCAATTTTTAAATGACTATATTCATTTAGTGAATATGAGCAAACAATGATGTAGTCTACAATTATTCAGATTTCGGATTTTCACGAAATCGAATTTTCAGTCAAATTCTCTCATAAGAGACTTTGTACGATTGATTCGTGTTGTAGTATTAGTTTTATTGTGACACTTTCAATTTCTATTGTTAGTTTTATCAAAATGGAATGATTCAAAACAGTTCAACGGGCTTGTGAATCAATACAAATTAGAGGTGGCACTTTAACTTTACTTTAATCGTAAAGTTTAAAGTTTAACGTTGTTTAAAGTCGCCTTTAAACGCTTCTTTTTAATACTTTTTACTGTACTGAAGTATTTAGTCATGCCATAATCAGTTAAATTTATTCGAAAGATAGTGACTTGCACTCCTTTTTTGTTTACTAAATTACGCGTATGTAACGAATGGATTGACCGTGCTAATTTAAAGATTCATCAATTTTGATAAACAACTTACAAAATCATCGAAGTTATGAAATCCTTCTCGATCTTTCTGAGCAAAACTAAAATTCATTCTACTAACTTTCAATGCGTGTTCAAGCCATGCCAATGAATAGGATTCAAAATAACCATTATCAATGAACTGCAGTTGTTCAGCTGTTATTGCAAATTTCTCATGTTTATCATTTTCTGAAAGAAATAACTAAAACAAAAGACAACGATTGATAATCAAAGATGAACAAGTGAACATACGGCTTTAATGATATGTTCATAATATTTTCTTGCACTAGAATCATAAATTGTGTCAATAGATAATTTCGATGCAATGCGACTTGATACAAGTCGTTGTAATGAATGATCACCACCTGATAAACCAAGAACGAATGAAATTGACATTGATTTTACTTGTAAACTAAATTGAAAACAACGCTTGATCGTTTTTTCTTATGAAAAACAAAAGGACTAAACAGCATACCTAAGTAATGTAATAAAATGCTCAAATATAGAAATATTAATTGATTCGAACTCAGGAATAATAAAAATCAATGAACGCTTCTCATTTTCTTTTAACTATAAATTAATAGATATCAATCAATTTTTATAACAAATAAAACTACGAACCTGATTATAATTTGTAATAAATTTACTTAATTGAAAATAAACATTTTTATTTTGATTATCTTTGTCTGGATAGAACTAAAAATTAAGCAATGCGTATTCTATCATAAAAAGAATAAAATCAACAATTACTTTATTTAATTCACCTTTAGTGGTTTTAAGCATATTATGAATAGATGAATATTGATCAACGCTTTCAAATTTTACAATAATAGAATTAAATTTTGAAGACAATTGATCGTGAAGTTCATCGAATAAATGAACATGTTCAGATATATTCGAATCTAAATTTAGAAGAAAAAAAATCGATCTATCTTGTTGTCATAAATAAACATTAAACTGAATATTTACCCATGCATAATGCCATAATTGGAATATGTTCAAAACATCGATTTGTTTTACGACGGAATTTATCATTCTTTTTAACAATATCAAGAACACTGTTTACTAGACGAGCATGTAATTGAGATTTAACTTCATTGAATACATTTGCTATGCTATCTATACGACTTGTATCGAGTTTTTCATTTGATTTTTTATTTGTTTGTCTTTGAGTTGTTCGTGTGACGGAATGTACTTCGACAATCGGATCCATGGATAGATGTTGATCTGAAGAAAATAATAAATAAAACAAACAAATACTATTGTACGTACGAATATCCATACATTCAGTTCTTGTTCTTTGTTCATTTCGTGTGACGATTCACATTCATGGAATAGATCGCAACAGAGGGCAGTTGATATCAATTTGTTGTCGATATCATCATGTTTTTTGTCTCAAATCTTGGAAATAAATAAATAAAAGATGAATAAACAATTGGTTAGTAAATGATTTTCGCTATCAGAATTAATGATTTATCATGTTCGTTTTTGAAAACGACGGAGAATTAAATCTATGAATTATAACGGAACATTCCCGATAATTTTCATTTTGCCTAACAATTTTTAACAGGTCCTTGTTACTCACTATCAATTGTCAAAAATGATTTTTGAAATTAATATAAAATAATAGACTGAAAACGTTTTTTTTAAAGAGCTCAATTCAAACTGTATTTATAGACCGACATAACCTAGGATGTTAATAAAAATATAAATGTTGTGATAGCATATAGCGACAACTTTTACTTCTTACATACTTTTGTTTTGAAAATTCTTGATTACTCTATAGACCATCTCTCATCAAAATTTGAAATCATATCATTAGCACTATCATTTTTTTTGTTATATTATTAGACTGTATGAAACAAAACTGATTATAAGAACTGAACTTTGTCTTTGCAGTGAAAAATTTTAACATTATTGATTAGCTCATCTATGCGCTGATGTACTAAAACACAGGAGTACATCAGAGTACTCTTTAACGGAATATTCTTCTATTCTATCGGATGGCCCATAAAGAATGAAGATTTTACCATTTTTTCAATATCTCAATTAATTTTTCATATTCTTCTTTGCTCTTTTTCCATTTGATAGAAAATTTGTTTTTCTCTACAAAAATAGCACAAATTTATTTACTAAAACAGTTGCCATTAACTTGTTTCAGTCGATACAATTGATTGGTCCAAGATGCACAACTTTCAAAAACTACTTCAGGGCGGATTTTCTTCACACTACGTTTTCGTTCATTGATAAAAGCCATCTTAGATGTCACCAGATCCCAGTTCATAGTCCCCACAAATTCATCCCAAATACAATAACCATATGAAGTACTTCTTGTATGTACCGCTCATGATCAACTGTTCCTTCCTCGAAATCACCAAAGAGGACTCCCCTTTGGAACATGCTCCCAGCTAGACCATAACTTTTTTAGGAAATTTCTGTGTTTGCTTGATGCCACATTTCGCACCAGCGTCAGCACCACTTGGCGTCCAGATCCTCTCGTTTTGGAAGTTATAAACTCAATCGATGTGGAACATTTTTTCGTCAGAAAAAAAAAATCTCAACGTGTCCTCTTTACGAAAGTTCGTTCGCATAGAATTTGCAAATTTTAATCTTTTTGCTTTTTGGTCTTCAGAAATTTTTGGCTGGACTGGTTTCTTGTAAGATTTCAGTTTTAGATCATCTTTTAGAATTCTCTGAGCGCTTTTACGAGATATTCTCAAATCACGTGCGATTTTACGGCACAAAAAAAAGTCGTAATTGATCATGTCGGTATTTTACCGTCCTTATGTTTGCTTCAGTTCTGACTTCTCTTGGGCGACACGTTGATTTGAATAACGTAATCCGGCCGGTGTCTCGAATCATTTTGCACCACCTTTCGATAGTTGATAAGCCCACTGAACCATGAAGATCCTCATGGATCTTTATACAAGATTGCCCATCTCTATACTTTGAAAGTATTAGATTTTGGAGGTCGTTACTCTTCATGTTTTCGAACGAAAAAAATTGTATGATAGCACAGTATGTGTTCTTATGAATTTATGGAGCAGAAAATTCTCTTTCAATTGAAAAGAAAATATATTCGTAAATTGAGGATAGTTTCGAGATATTCGTGAAATACTATAACCCTCATTCTTTATTGGCCACCCGATAGTAAATACACCTAGATACTTAAAAAAAAATATATATTTTTTAGCATTGTATTCAAGTTTCTTTTTCAGAAATATGATTGAGTTTATAATAAATTTTCTCATTTTGCTTTTGATTTTTGACTTTGTTGTGAATGCACGGTGAAGACTACCCTCTCATATGAAAATAGAGCAGTAGCTGTAGATTTTTATTTAAAAATATGTCACTCAAATATATGCCTTAGATTCACTAAGCCAACAAAGAATAGGTTAGGTGAAAATCTTTCATAAAAATCTGACTTATCTCTAAGATCTGTAATGAGGACACAGCCTACTTGCTTTTGTCGGTATGGGTGACTTAATCTCGCATAAGTGGGGTCTTCAATTATAGAAAACTGATTCTTTCGAAAGAAAACAGTCATATCTAGATCAATTTTAAAAAAATGATGGTAATCCATAATGTAGAGCTCAACTTCTGAACATTGTTATTGTCAATACATCACAGTACTATGACCACGCTCTTTACTTATAAAGTTATACTTTTGTTTCTGATACATTAAAAACGTGAGAATAACATTCTATGTAGCTGTACAAAGTATTTATTCCAATCATATCAAAGTCCGATTCGAATAAGCGGACAAACTTGTATATAATTGAATCAAGAAATATTTTCTCTTTTGGATTGATGAAGGAGTCAGTCAAAGAAGATATTCAAGAGAAAAATTTATTTAATTTAAGAACAAATCATCCTTAGACAATGCTTGAATTTATTCAACAATGGAATAGTAATAGTCTCTCTCGTTCAGCATGTCCAACTACTATTCAAAGATTACTGTCGATGCAATATGATCTAGTTGTAGAATTTTATGTCTTAATCTCATGCCAATGTGCATCACAGTCTTCAATGAGTCTTGATTTATACTACCGAACATCATATCAGGCGTCTTTTATTCTATGTTGATTGTTACCAATTTTTACTCTCATGATTATGACACGAACAATATATGATTATATACGTGAGTTTGTAGTTTTACTTTACTGGATTCTTGAATGTTGCAAAATTCAATCAAGAAACACATATATTATTCTGTCACTTATTAAGTGCAGCACGAAACTTGGCCATCGAGAAGTTAGAATCGATTTTGCGACCCGTAGGTATTGCTGCTTCTCTGTGACCTATCACACATGAAGTTGGTATACCATAAGTAGCTTGAAGAGCTTTAACACCTTGTACATAGCTCNCAGTTAGTTGAGTATAGAGCATCTTATACTGTTTCAAACTGCTGCAAAACTCAATTTTTCACTTGAATATAGACACAGGAAGTGATGGCTGAGAAAATGACTCATTTAGCTAATAGTTATTTTCGAAAGTAGAAAACCAGTATTACTGGTCACCAGTATTTACTGGTGGACCAGTATACTGGTACTGGTGCATCCCTATTTCTGATACATTAAAAACGTGAGAATAACATTCTATGTAGCTGTACAAAGTATTTATTCCAATCATATCAAAGTACGATTCGAATAAGTGGACAAACTTGTATATAATTGCATCAAGAAATATTTTCTCTTTTGGATTGATGAAGGAGTCAGTCAAAGAAGATATTCAAGAGAAAAATTTATTTAATTTAAGAACAAATCATCCTTAGACAATACTTGAATTTATTCAATAATGGAATAGTAATAGTCTCTCTCGTTCAGCATGTCCAACTACGATTCAAAGATTAGTGTCGATGAATATGATCTAGTTGTAGAATTTTATGTCTTAATTTCATGCCAATGTGCATCACAGTCTTCAATGAGTCTTGATTTGATTTACACCGAACATCATATCAGGCGTCTTTTATTCTATGTTAATTGTTACCAATTTTTACTCTCATGATTATGGCACGAACAATATATGATTATATACGTGTGTTTGTAGTTTTACTTTACTGAATTCTTGAATGTTGCAAAATTCAATCAAGAAACACATATATTATTCTGTCACTTATTAATTGCAGCACGAAACTCGGTCATCGAGAAGTTAGAATCGATTTTGCGACCCGTAGGTATTGCTGCTTCTCTGTGACCTATCACACATGAAGTTGGTATACCATAAGTAGCTTGAAGAGCTTTAACACCTTGTACATAGCTCTCCCATTGCACTTCTGGCCAATGTGTATGACTAGTGTCATCAGCTGACGTACATTTACTTTCAACTTCGATACCAATTGCGCTTAGATTTCCGAATATTGAGTTGTCTTTGTTGCTACCAGCATGATAAGCCTTACCAGCTACAAGAACATACAATTTTTCTGAGCGACCTAATCCGAGTTGAGAAATAGCACCCGACAGACCCGTACAACCATCTTGTACTATACGTAGAGATGGGTATTCGCCTGTTACTCGACCAGCTGTGTGATGAATAATAATATCTTTGACTGAACTCATGAAACCATCGCCTCGTGTTTTTCAGCTAGGTTCTTCCACAACCGTGCGGTTAGCCTTTCGAAAAAGAGTAGCAAGATCAGTAAGCATCTTGTTTGCTGGTCTAGTTACTGCAGTTTGAACTCAACTGAAGGGAAGTTGAGCACATAAGCAAACGAAAAAAAAACAAAAGCGAGCCGATAGTCCATGCTGAATACCACGTTACCAAATCGAAGACAATCTATGTTTTGGTATTAACTGAGACGGCTTGCGAAATTACTCGACAGTAATAGTTTGCACCTTGAAAACATGAGATTAAGTAGAAATATCATCACAGCAGTGCTACATGGAATAAGATATCAATGAAAAACACATTTTTATCCATAGTCCTATAATTGGTTTGTCTTGATCCCTTTAATAATTATTTTTCTGCATAAATACTTCAACCGAGCTACAGTATTCGGAACACATTTCAATTTTTCATCATATAAGGTTACCTGTAAAAAAAAAACACACTAACGAAAAATCAACACTTATTAGTGCTTAATCCAAGCTGAAACTACCCACATAACGTAGTTGGATTTCGATAAAACAAGCCAATAGTCGTTAGCTGATGATCGGAATATAAGACGTAAAATAATCTACGTATATCATACTATTATTCCTCGAGATTTATGATGCTAAAACCAAAATACTCAATATTGACTTATAGTTCGTTGGCTCCCATGCCAATCTTATACACAGAAAACGTAACATTAAACGACATCGGGCAGAGTTAGGTATTTGGGAAGGGGGGAGAAGCTGTACAGTAAATAAAAAAGATACTAAAAACATCTCCCTACAGATGTCACAAGGAAATTTGCTCGATTCCTCTCTATGCAAATAAAATCAGCGATGTTAAACATAAGAATACTTCACAGCTATTGCGGAAAAATCCATTAGCTTTTAGTGTCGATAAAAAGCATCTCAATCTTCGGTGTTCAAAACTAATTTTTTTGTATGTTTTCCATCAATACATTGCAACCTTTATTTCTCAATAAGCAGTTTCATGAAAATACTTTCTAATTGTTTACCTGTGCAATGAAGAACGTGCATGCATGCATGCATGCAGAAATTACATCATGAGATTTCATCATTCATTTCAACAAACGAAATGGATCAATCATAAACTCACACGCGCAAAAAATGAGAAGGACGCTGTGAGTAGGATTTGAACCTACGAAGGAAGATCCCACCTGACTAGCAATCAGACGCCATAACCGCTCGGCCATCACAGCCACATCTTGTACAGGCATATGGTGCCTATTCATTGTCGAAGCTGTTTTTTCGAAAAAGAGATCAACGTTGTAAAAGCACAACATTTTAAGAACATTCGTTTCACTTTCTTCCATGATGTGACTTCCAGCAGTCCTAATAATGTATTCAGTTACACTATACCGTCTACGCTAAATGGATTTGTCTCTTTTAATAGCTAGACAAAATTCCGAAGGAAATTCAGGCATTTGTTGCTTCATATGCATTACGATTAAATATTGATATATTCTCACATCAAACTCTCATTCAGAATTTTGACACAATGCGAAACACGTTTTTCAATGTGCCGATTAAAAGTCTTATGTTCAGGAATAAAAATATGTCATCCACTTTCAAGTATTTGATCGATAGGACTGAAGTGCATGTTCTAATACCATAGCCATACCGATAGCTTTTTCGTCTTCCAACCGTCTACAACTCACTTGTAAACCAACAATTATATTTTCGAATGTTTCTGGTCCTTTGTACGCATCTTTGGCTGTTTGATCAAATGCATTTGTTACTTCGATACAACGATATTCATCTGTAATTTGATCTAAATTCTGATCGACTTGAATGACAGGAAGAACAACAGAACTTAGTTGCAATAAATTACAAATGCCAGTATATCCAACACTAAACATGAACCCAGTCGGATAAGCTGGTAGTGCCAGAACAGGAGAAATAATGCCGTCAACAGGACAACCAGTTGAAGTTATTTCTGATGTTTTATTCCATTTTGCAAGATATTTTATGGCATAGGTAGTGCGAGCTATATTCAATTGCCAGTTCTCATAAGCGCTCAGCTCATCTTCATCGATCCAGTGAAAACACCAGGCAGCTGTGGTTCACCACTGATATTCAGAGCAGTTTGTATGTCTTTTCCACCATCGGCAAAGTACATTTTCAATAAAATTTCGATTCCCTACAAATTGAAAAGTCATAATTTATAGTAGATTGATATTAATGATAGTCACGTTACGGCTAGTTTTTGATACTCATATATAATTTTAAACAGCGCTTAATATACGAAACCTATAAATAAAAACAGGCTAACTAGTTTCAATCGAAAATGATGATATATACTGGTAATTTTCTGCAGTACGTTCAAAAAGCAATAGTACAATAAACATAGCAGAACGATTGCGTTTTGTTTTGGATCTCTTTATTCAACGCTCAGTGAAAGGCTAAAAGGTTTTGAATTTATTGTCTGCCTACGAAAATTGAAGAGACCGTACCGATTCTTCGATTACAATAAGAGTTTAGTAGTACACTGTAATTTTTTTAAATTCTATTTTGTAGAAAATCAGCTTTAAATACGCTACAGCATTTGGAAACTTTTATGATTCATTCATCGAATTTCTATTATTTAAAGCATGCTTGATTTTTCAAACAATAGAAATTCAATTTAATTTACTGCATAACATTCAAACTTGAATATCAATATTTTATTTTCAAGAAAGTAGAAATTCATCACTGAATTCATATAGGCATTCCTAGAATATCCTGTGCGAATTCATATAGGCATTCTATTTTTTTTACAGCGTATACACTAGAAGCGTTTATCTCCAACTATTGTTGATAAAATATTCGAGTCAATTTTAAAATTTGAATAGAAATACAATTTTGAACGATATAGTTATACCGATAATGACCTTTGCTAAGAATATTGTTGTAGAAAAACACTGCTCCTCGGACCTTCACACTAGGGGTGTACAGCTCACGCTCATTTTGAAATGAGCGCGAATGAGCGGTCGTGAGCATGAGGGTTTTCAGTGGTCAATGACCAAAGCTGTAGCTAATTTTACTTCTTTATAACTAGTGCTACGTACCTCAAAATCACTCGCACTCATTCAACCCCCATAGCTGGTTGTCACTGATGACCGCTCACGAAAATGAGCGTGAGCTGTACACCCCTACTTCACACTATTTAATATACTAGCAATGCTAAAACAAAATTTACCTCAACTTGGTCCGACGTATCCCACTCTACAACATCATGACCAGCATTACGTACAGCAGCAACAGCTGTATCAATTGCTCGTTGAACAGGAGGCGAAAGATGAACTTGATGATCATATCGAATTACTCCAAAGCATAGCTTATTCGCTTGTCCTTCTTGAAACATATCCTCTCTCCACGGAATATTATGAACTTTCGGATCGACTAGCCATGGTTTTGTTTCTGTAATTACTTTCAGCATTGTACGAATATTTCCAAGAGATCGTGTCATAGGCCCTACAACACTTGAAACTGATTCTTGTCCGTTAAGTGAATTTCTAGCCAAACCATATGGAAATCGTCCATCAGAGGGTCGTAAACCATATATACCATTAAGAGCTGACGGAATTCGAATGCTTCCTCCAATATCTGTTCCAAATCCACAAATGCTTCCTTTCAATGCAAGAAGACTACCTTCTCCGCCTGAACTACCACCACAACTTAATTTACGATTTCGGGGATTTACAGTGATTCCCAGTAGATTACTACGAGTTTCAGCTACCATGATGGTCTGAGGTAAAGCCGTTTTAACATAGACCACAGCACCAAGAGAGAGAACACAATTAACAAGAATCGAGTTGTATTCGAGTATATCATCCAAATAACCAACATAACCCATGGCAGTTTCAACTCCTCTGATATTAAATTGATCTTTGAAACTAATAGGAATGCCATGAAGTGGTCCCATGGTTTTTCCTCCCGTTGATTTATAATGTTCGTCAAGAATCTTGGCTCGATCAAGAGCTTGTGTAAAAAGTATTTCTGCTAAACAATTGACAAGTTGATGTGCAATAGCTGCACGTTTACAATAAGCTGTTGTAACTTCCACTGCTGTATATCTTCCTTCGGCAATACGATGGGCAAGTTCATCGATTTCATTGACTTCTGTTATTTCTAAATCGAGTTCAGATAAAATCCCACACTGTGCAGGAATCATAGTGCAATCATTTGGTAGCGCTGTTAAACTAGATTCTGGAAGTCTCCATTCTTGAGGAATTAAATCAAGAAGGGACGAACGCTTTTTTATGGCTTTTTCTTCCCACTTGTGTGTTAACGACATTTCAATAGAGAAGCGACAACCTAATGATAAAAATATACTAAACGAACTGTTTCTCGTTGATTTAAGAAAGAAAAGCGAACTACACAGATAAAGAACGTATGTAAATGTTTGAATGTTGTCTCAGCTTTATGAAGAATCTATCTGCTATGTTTGATGCTCTCGCATGATAAACAGCAAAGAATAAAATATTTGGTTGCATTTTTGCTTTCTTTTTATAGCGCAGCTTCATTCATGTGAGAAAAGAAGAATTCAGGTGTAGTGTTTACCTATCAATATTATTTACTACTGCAAAGAGAACAGAATGATGAATCATTGTTCAATTGTTTTCGTCAAAATTTAGAGCGATTTCATAATAATATTTTTAAAAGATAAGCTAGGATGAAGCTGAATCTACGTGGTATTGATTGAATTACAGCTAAAACTGTTCAGTGTAATGCCGTTTCTCTTAATTTGTTTACCTTATAATGATCCCATATAAAAACTGTAATTACTTTGGTTGTTAAAAGGATGCAAGCATACATTTGAAAGCCCATACAGGCGAAAAGAAAAGCACTGGTCATTATCTAGTCAAAAAAATCGTTAAAAATGTTATATGCAAACAATTCAAAATTGTTCAACAACTACCTTCGATTGATAAAGTTGCTTTTTTGTAGCCTTATTGTGCTGTCGTAGATTCACTTTGAGATTGTGACTGTTGGATCATGATTTTTCCTAGTATTTATGACACATTTGAAGAATAATTTAGGCAGACATGAAAATGATATTGTATGGCACAAATTAATTTTGGTATAATTGGTAAACGAGCCACATTCCATATCGCTTGAATTCAATGAAATCTCCAAAAATATCTTATGTACTCGAGTATATAGTGATCATTTCTTATAGGTTTGACACGCTCTATAGGAATGAGACTCGGTGTTTTCTTTCTCTGGTCATTTATTTTTTAGTAACTGTTATTTGTTTGATAGAAAGAACAAAATAGAATATATCCAAAATTCTACTGGATAGAGAAACTTTAGACTCGGCAATTACCCGCATCAACAACAAAATATTGTCATGGCAATCGAAAGATAAACTTACAGGTCACTTAAGTTGATTCGTTTCGTTTCCTCGATCATTTCCAATCCAAATAACGTAGCCTTATGCTAGTCCTCGAGGATAGGCCAATTGTGTTAGACGGTCGCCTTCATCGTGACCATCAGTGACAAGAATGTCTTTCCATTGCATCTTTGTTCCATTTCATCACACGATGATTATCTCTGTCTGATACGTAGACAGTCTGTTGCCTATGCAATACGTTTTTGTCACTTAAACTACCAGAGATCTTGCGATTTCATTACAGTTGTGTGCTCAAGCTAGATACAGAGATTCAGTTTAGATACAAAAATCCTTAAATCAAACTGCGTCTAGATTAAAATAGAAGAAAATAAAATTAGCTTCTATAGAAAAAGAAATCCCTCCAGTTAAGTGTGGTATACAATATTTATTTCTCGACAAAATGAAAGGAATATTTTTTCCAGTAACAACAACGCTCAAAAATCTCGGGAATTATTATGTACGTAGATATAGTTATTTTGAAATGAAATTATTCATTCGATTCAGAAAAGAATATGAAGAATACAGTATATGTCTAATGAAATAAAATGTTGAATTCTGTTTCTTGTTTATCGATTGTGTTATAAGTATATTGAATTTCTATTATAACATTTGAAATTTGATTAACTGTGAATCCATCACTATAGTTGTCCCGTGTTATATTTGAAATACTTAATAGAGAATTAGGATATTTAATTTGAAATATTGTTGATAATATCATTGGCTTTTCTGTATTGAAATTAATCAAAAGTGACTTTGTACTTGAATCATATTGAGCTCGAGTAACACGTATAGATGGATATTCAACCAGTAAAACTTCTGGTTCATTATTTAGAAATTTTTCATAAAATTTACTATTATAAATAGTTCTTAGAAATGATCTTGTATTATATCCATTTTCACCCATTAATAATGATAGTAATATATTAGAAGTAACCCAATTAGAATAAAATGTATTTGTTTCATAATAATATGATTCAAAATAATGATCATTATCTGTATCTAACAAAGTTCCAAAATTATTCTCAAACCATGAATAAGTACAATTTAATTTCTCTGTTGCTTCTATTGAACATTGTTTTTCAACAACCGGATAGAATGATGTTGCAACCCAACTATTCAATTGCATTCGGACACCAATATAGCCACCACTATCCAAAAAACATCCAGGTAGTGTCGAATTTTCAGATGGTTTCCAGTATTGATTGTTATACATTATTTTCCATCCATCACAAATAAAATTAGATGTTTCATTATAATCAAACCATGATGACATCCACGCTAGATTCCATCCATCATTACCTGTTGATGCAAAAAATGGTACCCAAATATGAGTTTCTCTTTGATATAACATTTTAAAATATCGATCTTTTTTATACAATGGTATATCTTCTAATGCATGCGTTTTCAAATATTCTTTCCATTTTGATGATATTTGAGAAAATTTTCTGCTGTTATTATGAACAAGATCATAGAGTCGAAATCCGAGATGTGGATGATTTTGACAAATTGTATAAATCCAACCTGGTTCACATGATACACCAGCTGATGATTCTTCGTTCATTTGGTCATAAATGGCATAAGCTAATTTAGTTGTTGTATAATGGATTTTAGTTATTGGATAATCAGTTTTATTCCATAAGAAATCAAATCCATCAGTATCATATCTGAAATCACCTGAGATACTTTCATACAGCGTCAACAATTGTAATAAATGACCACTATACATTATATTTTCATAGGAAACCGGATCAGGAAATGTAGCTGCTTTTTTCCAATAATGATCAATATATCCCCATACTTCAATTTTTAGCATACGTTCAATGGTATCTTTTAATATTTTGATTGCTAATTCGCGATAATTTGGTGTTCTATGGGCTAATGCTGCAGCTGTATAACCGATGTGAGCCAAAGGATATCGAATAGCATCTAGATCGAGTTGGGAACCATCATAGTTTTTTTCCCAACCTTTCCATGTTAAGTTGGTTCCTGTTGTCTGCATATATGTCAAATATGAAATAAATCGAATTAATTTCAATTCTTTTTCAGATAATAATTGTTTTGTAGCATTGTTATTATTTAATAAATTTCTTTTAATTTCGTCAAATGAGTTTTTCTGGTCATAATTTATTGAAACACATAATGATCCAGATAAAAAGTTTAGAAAAATAAGAAATTGAATAAAAATTTTCATAACTGATTCAAGGACTAGGTCAACCAACTAGATATTACGAAAAAATATGAAAATAATTCTCCAAAAGCAATTGGTGAATGTGCTCGAAATTGTTTTTGAATAGAATTCTTAAAAAGAGTGAAAATTGAGTGAGTTTTTCTAATATCAAATATGAATTCGTTCGACCCCAAAGTGATAAGAACGACTGAAATTACTTTGTTTATGATATCAAACATTAAAAACCCTTTTTATTATTTGTTTTGTTTTTTTCTTTCTTAATGATGATAAAATAAAATAAAATGTGCACTCAATAGTTGAAGATTGACATAAATAAAATATCATATAAAATCGTTCTATCACCTTTGGTTTGCTGAGTAATCAGAGTGAAGTCTCTATTTTTTTTTCTGGCGAAAAATTGAAAGAATGTGAAAACATGGTGCCTGCAAAAAAGGACTCTCATTGAACTGATCTTAAATGGAATCGAATAAGATAGTTCATAGCAGTTTTGAAAAAAAAATTATTATGAGTACTAGTTATGCAACAAATGTATTAATTTCTTTTTTTTAAATTTCTGTTCTACCATTTTTTCAAGCAAAAATACATATATAAACGCCTACATGTCATGGTCAAATTTTATTCTGAAAAAGAATTTTACATTTAGGGAAATATTTAATTCCAAATCGCTCAAATGTAAAGATTTAAACTTTGCATCACAATACGCGTCAATAGAAGTTATTTGTTTACAAAAAGAAACCAAAATGAAAGTGAATAAATCTGAAAAAATAGTGCTTTATCTGTAAACTTTGCAAGCTTGGCATCATTTGGTCAATTTCGATTTTAAAGATAAATGGAGCATTAAACATGAAAAACAAAAATTTATTTATAAATCCTTTCTGATAATGTGCTCTTTCCTTGTGTCTCCGAAGATAAGGTTTCAACGATGTCGAAAACATGATTAAAGCTACATGGAAAAAACAAACGCATCGTTTTCGTTCAGTCAACATGGGCTACATTCAACTTTATTGTTAAATTGTTTTAAAATAAAATATTTAAAGCATATTATGAAAGGCTCTACAAGGTTTTGATTTTGAGGTACGTGTTACAACCCAGGACGAGCTTTACGACGTCCGTATACGGTGAAATACGGGCCGTATACGGCCGTTTTCTGCCGTATACGACGGTAAATCGCCGTATTTGGCCGTATTACATGGCTCCGTATTACGATCGTAAATCTCCGTGTCGTAATACGGTGAAATACGATCAAAAACGACCGTAAAGCGCCGTATTTCGCCGTATACGGCACGGAGATTTACGATCGTAATACGGAGCCATGTAATACGGCCAAATACGGCGATTTACCGTCGTATACGACCGTGTATGTTCGACCTGGGAACGCTCAGTTAGCAATTCCAAACTCGATTCGTAATTGAGCGGCAGAAATACAGTCATTCGACATCCTACGGATATTCAGCTACCATTATATTTACCTAAGCTTTTCAAGGAGTAGAATTTATGGGCAGGGAACATCTTCAGTGTGTTTCTACTTAAAATACGAGTCTTATCCGAATATGTCGGTACAGCAAAACATTTCCATGTTAATTAGTGTAACGGAATATGTCGTGAATTCCGATGAATCTATATTCAGGTATAAAAAGAAGGGTTTTCTCATATGTGACGAATCTCTTTAATGCAAAAATAACTCTGCTGTTAAAAACAGAATGTTTAAAGTCAAAACAAGATATAGAAATCAGTTTTCAAGATGATTGCAGAAGAATTGAGTATTCTTATAACACTAGAATCTTAGAAATGATTAGCATACAAGCAACACAACTGATGAACGATTAAAATCAAGAAAGAGGAACTTCTCGATAAAGGAATGGATTTTGAAAAGGTAAAACATAGCATTTTTGGAGAACTGCAGATAAATGTTACAGGAATCATACGCGATTTCTGCCAATTGTGAAAATAAGATAAATAGTCTCGAGAATATTAGGACTCATCGACTACAGTGAAAAAATTTCCTACAATGTGTTCGTTTGCTTTATTCCACGAGGGAGAAGTATTGCTCGAATGATTAAGTAATTTGGATATAGATTTTCAAAGTGTTTCTCAAGTAACCTAAACAGATCAGAATCATCGCCGATCAACTCAAGCAATCATATTTCTATATGAGATGGCAGTAAATAGGCTATTTTAGACGTCGTGACATAAACTGATGACAATACAAGAGTGAATATTATAATCCGTATACGTTCATGCTAAGTAATCATCTTTGACTATAGTAGATGAATATGTCGACAGAAGTTCATCACGAATGCTACGACGATGCATTTAATGGCAAGAATATCACAATGTTACAGTTTCATTGGGAATTTATTATTAAGTTTTTAATCTGTAGAAAACTTCATGTTTTTTTCTTGTCATTACAAGAACTACAAAGCATCATCAAGTGGACGACAAAACATTTGCTTAGCAGCAACTGGTTCAAATGGAGCCGAACCTCCAAATAATAAAACTGGAATATTGCCAAAATAAACGTCACTTTTATCAGACTGTTCGAATATTTCATTTAAACGCTGGTTAAATTTTTGAAAAAGACTATGTGAAACCAGTTAAATTTCGTCGATGATTATCAAAATTAAAGCAATAATATGAATAGTCCAATCAATAATATTCAATGCAACTTTGCTAGTATGTGCCATTTTTAGTAACCCTTTTGGTCTTCATGGGCGATTTTCGAACAGCTGGTTCACTAATGGACTAAATCCGATCAATATTTTTTCAATCAATAGAAACAGCATAGAACGAGGTAAGCCATTGACAATATTATGAAAAGTAAATGGTTTCGAGATATATTGAGATCGATGTGAATCATCTTCAGATCGGATCAATGCTGAAAGATGCGGTCTGAAAAAATCGTTCACATAGTTTTTGTGAGTTGGCTAACTTCAACACCTCTTGAATTCGTGTAGAAGTAGTGCTGGTTTGGATATCTTCATCAGTTGTCGGACATATAAATGATGTTGTTGGCTTAACTATAAAATTTTGAGAACTTAGATCAAATGATTGTTCAACTGCAATCACGATAATGTGGAAAACTGTTTTACTATATGAACTTGATTTTTCAATCAAACTTGATGAATGACTGTGGCGCTGTTCTCTGGAAAAATCAATGAGCATAATTAAGTAAAAATATATTACTGAATTGTATACAAAACCCTTGTTTACCATTTAAAATTTCTACGATTGGATCCCGACATGGTATTCGAAGGAAAAGAGTTGAATAGATATTTAAAACATATCGGTGGATCAAAATTAATACATCAGATAGAATTTTCTACGATTGCCTCTTGCAATATGTTTTGCAATTCTATTGAAAGAGATCGATCACAATCGAAACAAATTAAAAATTTCTATAAAGTCATACTGTTAATAATCGCTGGAGTACATAGCTGTTTTGCATATCGATATGTAAGCGATTGAACGAATTCATCCTCGCTGGAGTATTCTTTCGTCTATGCATGACTGAGCCTCATATAAAATCTTATATCTAATTGATAAATGACATCGAGAGATACCTATGGTTTAGAGCTGATAGTTCAAAATATTTACTTACCTCATACAGTTCACGATGATTCAATTTGGCCAACTTGGTGATGACAAAGTATTCCATTGCTTGTCTTTATTAGAATGCTTTTTAACTTCCATATGGCTGATACAAGTACTGTTTAGCATTTGATATGCTCCGTTTTTTTCCATGTTCACATACTTTGCTACATAGGAAAACAAGTATTCAACCTATACCTATGGATCCGTTACAATTTGAATATCATGGTTACAATGAACTGCTTTGAAAAAGATTTCACAGAATTATTCGTCTTGACTAGAATAGAGATATGAGAAAAATATATAATTAAATACACAAATAAAGAAATATATGAATCAGTAGTAACCTCTTCAGTCCATCTCTTTACAACACGGTTTCGATCACCTCTTGTCACTAAATACGAGCTTCGTATAATGTGCGAAAGTATATTTCTTTAGCCAATTCAAAAGAACTTCCAAATCAACATCTCAACCCTTCGAAAGATTCTTTTTTCTTTTGCTAGCTGTAACGATTAGAATTGCTGACTTGATTAACTTGCTTGTATGTTTCGTTTTCATGTAAATAATTTTTATTTATATCTTTAACGTTCCCTATTTATTTGTCGTTGGATTTGTATCGTGGACGCATACAAGCTTTAGTGTTGTCTATAATGATTGCAACGTTAACTAATAACTTTCTGAAAACAATTCACTAAGCTTTTGAACGCATAAATCTGTCGTTATATCATTGATATTTTTTCGCAAGTAGGTGCACTTTTGGATGAGTTTTTTATCTGGCAACAATATGTTTAGAAGTTTGCCGATAGGTTCAATAATATTTTTTTCTTCTTCCGATGTATCAAGAGAAGGAATGTTATCAGACCAAAGTAGCGTATATGCAAATAAGGAATACAACTTCGCTGGAATTCAATCTTGAAAAAAATGATTAATTATAATGTAATTAATAAAGACATGACACTTTTTGGCGCGTATTAATTTCTCAAAGTGCCACATTCTTGTTACAAGCACTTCACTTTCTTTAACAAGTTATAAATAATCATGATCAGAAAGGTTATGAACTACGTTCCCATCTGGATGGTGCATATAACCAAACCGAATTTTAGTATCGGTATGTGTTAGAAACTCCATCTCACCTTGTGAATTTACGCGCAAAAAGATATTGGATTTAGACAATGTTGTATACATAGAACATAACATTTTTGAGGTACACACGAAAAAGTAGTTATACCTCGAATAGTGTTCCCAATTGCTAAAATCCTTAAAACGATATTTTAATTATGTGACTTTTTCTACTATATCATTCTAAATAATAGACAATACATCTTTCAAAAGCAATGAATTTATCAATTGCTAATATTTTGAAATCATACAGTAGATATGACATAAAGATTTACTAATGTATTGCAATCCTATACAAGTCATGAAACTAGTAAACGTATATAGATATATACGTATGTTAAAACATAAACGACTTTTTTAATTGTTGTTTTTTGCATGATATTCACAGCGCTACAAATATCATATCTTTGAATCAAATTCGTTGTGCACGAAACTTTCAAATTAGATCTGATTGTCATCTTTTCTCAGTTGATATCAGTCGGAATTTACAATACTCATGAAGTTTGAGTTTAGCAAGTCGTTTCAAATCAAGTTGTCCTCCTACAACACTAGAATTAATCTATGGATATGTACAATCAGAGAATATTACAAATGATCTTATACCACACAACAAAAAGCAATACTGGTAATTTGATAGAACAACGACTGTTAGACTTGTCGATTGGCAATTCGTTTTAGTTTGACATCTTGAAAAATATAACCAACACGAGAACAGGGATAGTTT